CAGAATTGAGAAAAAATCTTCTGCTGGTCGGAATTCAATAAAAATCTTCTGCTGGTTTTGTTGAATATGGAGGACTACCAGCTCTTCCAGCTCAGGTTTTTTAAAGACAATTTAAAATGGAGCCTCTGGATTTAGATTAAAAAGGTAAACTTCGATAAAGACGGCAAATTCAGTTCTAAATTTTTTAAATTTAAAATATTTTTATTTTTATATATATTATTTTTATTATTTATATATATACATATATAAATATTTTTATATATTTTTCTAGCGATAAAATGAATTGAACATCGATTCTTAAGTTCCATATGCTACAAGAATTTTCTATGGAAAATCGAGACGATGTTGACGATTGTATCGCCAAGCGATCCCCTGGCAATTTTTCTGAACTAGCAAGCCAGCGGAGCCAATCCAGACACCATTGATAAGTGTTTTAAAAAAAAAATTTCTTATTTGAAGAGATTGAATGCATAAGCGACGATATAGCGCCCAAAAAATGAATGGCAACTTTCGAGATTTTAATTATTTTCCATAGACTTTGAAGGCGCTTTATCGCTAGTGCAGCCAATAAAATTAGTAATGGTACCACTTTAGAAAGAAAGATTTTTGTTTACTTTCAACGTAATTTATGATTTCATTTAAATTAATAATGATGTGAAAAAATTATGCAAATTACTCTCAGAACAAGTGAATTTATTTTGAAAATCCGATTATTAGCGATATATAATAGTGTTTATAGTGATCGACTGCATGGGTATAGAATAATAAGAACAATGAATGAATGGAACTTAAACAATGGAACTTAAGCACTGATGATTGCCAATACTAAATGATAAACTATGAGCAGAAGGCTCATTGTGATGCTTTTAAATTCATCGATAACTGCAGGAGGTCTGCAAACAATCAATTCCTCATGCAAATATCTTTATATTTGTATTAAAATCTTTATACAAATCCGTCAAAGCATCATTAGATCATTTGCAAAAATAATCTTAATAAGCTTAAAAGAAAAATGAAGAGAAGTTTTTGGGATATTTTCATGTTATGGCCATGACTGTGCATTTTCAGTAGTCACTTAAGCTGAGAAAGAAAAGTTTTTGGGACAATATGGCCATAACTGTATATTTCTAGTACTCACATAACTGAAAAAAGAAAAATTTTTGGGATATTTTCACGGCATAACCATGACTGTATACTTGTTAAGTTGAGAAAGAAAAGTAAGATTCGCCATATCGCCATGACTGCCCTCCATCTGACATCTGACAGCACTCCAATACCCATTTACACTGATCTTATTTTCAACTGGGCAATTGCCAAATGCCAACATTTTTGAGCAAATTTTTTTTTTTTGGACGTTATATCTCAAATGTTCAACTTTACTTCATAAGAATTTTAACAATTTTTTGCAATAACCCTAAAGCATATCAACAATTTGCAATTATTTTAATATAAATTGTGAAATTGGGAAAGATTTACATTTTTATTATTAGTTTATTATGAATAATATTTATTATATTCTCCTTATTGCATCTTTCTTCGGAAACGAAATTTTGTTTGAAGCAGTAATGAAATGAAATTCAATAGATTTAATCTTGAAATTGGCAATTTGATTATGCTAAGAAGTGTGAAAGAACGTAAAAAAATTATCATTTCTAATGAACCTCGTTGTTATTTTTCTATCTATAAACAATTCACTTATCTATTTTTCAAATCTTTTGGTAGTAAAACCTTTCTTTTCTTATAAATTTTGCCTTCGGGCATAAATAAAATAATTTCTACGAAGGCATTCTAAATCTTATTTACATAATTAATATATATCAAAATAACTCACTACAAAAATCCAATTCACTGCTATTTTATTAAAAAGCCAAATTTTCTATTTTTTATTTCCTATTTTTTATGCAGTTTTTTTGTTCAATCATATTGAAATAGTTCATTATTTATTTCAATACGAAGATCTTGAAAAATTTTTTAAAATTAAAAATAGCTTAGAGGGTCTTTGAAATCATTTTAAATCTCAAGGGAATTTTGTTATAGTGATAATTTTGTTTGTATAATATTATAGCTTCAAATGAAATTTATCTATCGATAAACGACACAATACGGTTGATTACTTGTGGTTTTATTTTCAAATAGACTCTTTTAAATTGCTCACTTCTTTCTCAATAATTTCATATTGTAATCTATCTATTCGCGTGGGAATACAATTTAAATGAAGACTAAAAATTTTTAGTGAAAGATTTCGAAAATACATGCATTCATCGACACCGTATGATTTTTAGTGACAATATAATTTTTGTCTTTTAATGATGACAATTCTGGGAATGCCACATTATAATAATTTACAAAACTCTTTAAATAGATCTTTGTGAAATTCTTGTTTTTCGACTGACAAATTTTCAGCCTGCATATCAGTGTTTTTAAAATTAAACTTATCCGCATCTGAAATTTTTTGCTAAAATCGGAAAAATTTTCATCTTTCAAACTGCTCTTCCATGATTAACTGACAACCACTGCCAATTAATTTAACCGATCAAACAAAATTTACCGATCAAATAAAATTTTAATATTTAATATTTAATAATAAATATTACAAAATTAGTTTTCATTAAAACAATTATTTGCCAAACTAATTGATTACAATTTAATAGTTAAAGTATTTATAGATATAAAACTTTTTGCAAGTAAGCAAGGAAATAAATTAATGAAATATTTCGAAAAGAACTATTTTTAAGTGTTAGTATTAGGCAGTCGTTTTGTTGATGATAATGTGAATTGTCAAGTATGACAAAGAAGGAAAATAAATTCTTTTTTCCAGATTTAAATTAAATTTACTAAGTAAAAATGACAATTATTAAGATGAAAACGGCATGCGGTTCGACCGATTAATAGATAATCTTCATTATCATTGTTGTCATTATCATTGTTATGACAGTTGCAGCTATTGTAATAATAAATTATCTTCACAATATGGAAATTTTTGAATTTTTCAATTACCAATTTCATTATCAGTATCATTAACTTTAGGAACATTACCATTAATAAAATATTTAAATATATCTCTTTTGTTAATCAGTAATTAAATTGATTGAAAATAAAATAGTAATTAAAAATAACAAGCCATACTAATCGCATTATTGCAAAATCAACATTTAAGTGGTTCGGCTATTTTTTTTTAATTAAGCTCGTTTTTAGTAGAAAGAGACATTTTTTACCAGAGGATCACTTAGAGATAGAAATATAGACGAATCTTTGAGAATTTTTTAATGACAAATTTATTCATTGATAGATACGATAGATCTCCTTGCGAGGACGATGGAGGCCAACAGATTATTATGCCAAAAAATGGCAAATGTAGATAGCAGATAGTTCGGCCAAACTCTTCCTCAATCGAAATATAGTACTGTAATTTAAGTATAAAACAAGATTTTTTAAAAAATAAACAAATACTATTGTGATTTCAAAAAATATCATCGAGAATCATTGTGATGCAATTATTATGAATGAAAGAATATTTTGGAAAGCATCCTTTCTTTTTTGACAAAATTTTTTTTTGAATTCCTTACCATCTGCTTATGAAAGAAAATCGCGAGGTTTTGTTCCGTTTTCTTTAATGTGCAAGAAAAGATTATAGAAAATCAGAGTAATAAATGGTAAATGGCAGCAGATGAATGAAAAATGCTAAAAGATTTTTATTGTAATCGTAAAGGCGATTGAAATGATTCTTTTGAAAAATTCTGAAAATTGAGCTTATAAAGTAACAAATGGGATGATGATAACGCGATAAGTAAAGCTATTAAAATATTTGTTCAAAAGATTTATTGTAATCAAGCCAAAATTCAATGATTTTAATATTTTATAATTCTAATAGTAAACCATGAAAAAAATCAAATAAAAATTACAAGCCTAGTGAAATTTAATCAAACTATTTCATTAAACATTTATAAATCACATTTTCATTTAAATTATTGAAATATCGAAGTGATAAATAAAATTGATATGATAAAATGATCAAATATAAAATTGAATATTTCTTCATCTATTTGAAAAAGCTTCAAGGGAATATAATAATGTCAACCGCTACGAAAACATTGCTTCAGGAGACTTATATAAAGGCGTACTTATGATAACTCAAAATTTGTGGCATAAAAATATAATAGGATTTGGAAAAGTGATAAAGAGAAATAGGTGGATTTTGGGGATATTAAGGAGATGTAACAAATTTTAAAGATTAATAGAGGCATAGTAGTATGCATAAAAGAGTAAAAATCCAAGTAAGTAGGCATAGTTCCATAATTTATGCTATATGAAAATATAACAACTACATATTACCGAAATAATTCGACTTTATTTGTAATTTTCAATTTATTCGAAAGAATTGAAAACTGAGGAGAAAGAATTTATATGCTATATTTATGTTCGTTTATAATACAATTATGAAAGACTTAAAGGAAATTCTATGAGCAATAATTTCAGTTTAACAAATATTGAATTATTCGACGTTCTTGATAAATGAATTAATGATAATTGATAAGAGATTACCAAATCTATTGTTAATTTTGTTTATTTATTCATCAGTTTCCACGAAAGCAATTTTGCCATTTGTATTTCTCGTTGGCATAAATAATTTTGAATGAAATCCGTCTCAATTATTACTATTCCATTAATAGGTAATTCTTAGTTTTCATTATAAGCTTTAGCACCAAATCAATATTCTTTTAGTAGTACAAATTATAACCAAAAATCCGGATTATATTTCGACCATATAAAATATATTATTCTGTTTATAGTTTGTTAAAACGTTTATTTTTTTAAGCAAATTTTTAATAAGAACTTTGCCAAAGAATTTCCTCGGTTCAACTAAAATTCAATCTTTATTTTTAAGTTTGAATTAACGTAGATTTTTTTATGAATTATAGATTATGATGGATATTTGTATGAAATATGAAATTTTAGTTGATATTTTCAAGTAAAATATTGCAGTGATTTGGTTGCCTCTGATGAATGGATTGAGTGACTCAACAGGAAAAACATTTGTATTAGTTTTTCCATGGAATAATGATGACGATGGTCTGAAAGAATCGTTTTTGGCCGTTGATTTAATAAATCATTCGATGGAGAATATAACTGTTGACTTGTATTACAATGAACTTGAATTTATAGAAAGGGATATAATTTTACGGCCTTTTCATATTACTATTACCATTGAAGAAATGAATTATAGGAGGGTACTAGTTTTTAGAAAAATTTTAAAGATTTGGTCCGTATGAGAATTTTAAATTTTGGCGATAATATATCGCCTTTTAATTTCTGGATATTCTGGATATTCTGGATTAGAATCTTGCTGTTGTATCTTCAAAAATGTCTTTTAGCATATATTTAGCAAGGCTGTTGTTTACAAATATATTTATGGAGGATTCAACCGATATCCAGATTTGAGAATTTTTATTCGTTCTTCATTACCTATAAACGTTCTTGCATATAGTTTTGTTGAAGGCGGCTCTGGTGATATTACTACAGGCAACAATAATTTATTCACTAAGCTATATTTCATAACTATTATTTTTCATAATATAATTCTTATAAATTTTTATTTTTTTATAGCTTTAATTTTTAGTTTTAGTTAGTTTTAGTTAATAATTTTTAAAATTTAAAATAAAATTTAAATAAAATAAAATAAAAATAAAATAAAATAAAATTTAAAATAAAATTTTAAATTTTTTTGTAAATTTTATAAAATATTTTTATAATAATTATTTGCCCAAAAATTTAGTAGTATTGTGGAAAATTTCTTTACATATTATAAAATGATTAAATTAAGTTTTATTTTACTTAAAATTCAGTATTACCTGAGGATATGGCTGGTAAAAACTATGCATTAACTTTACCCGCACCACTCGTCAATTCTGGTTCAGCAATAATTTGCCTATTGCCCACTATTAGCGATACTAACGTGAATCTCACAATTATTACTTCAGACTCATTTGAAAATTATTATATTGGTTTGAAAGTAAGTTTGAACTTTGGTAGCACTTTTACTAAATATTTAGAAGTCATTTGATTTTTTTCTGCCGTTTTGAAATTTTTTATACTATTGCATTTTTAAGGTTGAAGCTAATAGAGATGTTGTTATCTATAGTAAAAAGGAAAGTTTCACTGTTTATGCGAATGGCGATGCCCCTTTCCATATGATTGTGGCTGTACAAAATTTGCCTGTTTCTCCTACCTCAACAATTACCGATTTCGGAATGTTGATGGTACCACCAACAGGTCTATCAACAGGTTTGATTATAATTATTCGCCATCAAATTCTCAAATAAAGTCCTTTCATCGCTTGTTTTCTAGATGATTCCGGAAAGGATGACACTCATTTCTCGCATTTCTCAACAACCAAAAGTTTTTTAATAACACCGTTCGCGTGGACCAAATCGTCATTCGAAATTGTTGGGACAAATGGCAATTCTTCATGGCATTCAGTTGAAGGCGGTCGAAAGCAAAATACACATTCTTTTAACAGTAGTAATTTTGGTATCGAATGCGCCTTCTTATCGCGGTAGAATTTATTTATTGAGTTTTACGAATTGAATAAATTGAGGCTACGCTTAAATGCATTTTAAAATGAGACGCGAAAGGAGTTCTCAAGTTCGAAGAAATAATAACTTATTTATTGGTTAAAATTATCTTATAGATCTAATCCAATAAATATACTTCGATATGGAGGCTATGGATTATATTCTGATGGCTTTGAAGGAGGAGCCTTCCTTGACATTGTCCCCTCATGGTCCGAATTTATTACTGGCACAAGCGCTTTTGTAGTTCCATACGAAAGCAATACAGTCGTGGTATTTTTTCGTTTTTTCTTTATTCACTTTTGTTTTTAAGAATACTCACCATTACTGGTTAGACCCTCTCCTCTGGCCTGTCATATCAAAATATGGATTTTTGGACAATTTTATTCCCATCGAATTAGAATTAGCATGGACGTACAAAATTGAGCAACAACTCACTGAATTTCATTAGGGGCGAGATTGTCGCTCGATGAAAATTGGTGCGTTGGCGGATTCAAACCCAACCTCAATTATTTTGCCATTGAACCATATTTGTTATTGCCTTTTTGTTATTCTATTTCTCTTAATAATTAGGATCACCTTTAATTTGCATTTTATTTTTAGATTATCGGTGATGAAAGAATGATGAAAACCGTCTACTTTGATTTCGCACTTCCATGTTGCTTTACGACGCTTGAATACTATGGAAAAGAAGCTTATTATCTGGTTGGATCTGTATCCGAAGGCTTTCATACTTTTATGGCTGGAGGGAAATATATTATTATTGTTTCTGGTGAATTCAATAATACTGCTTTCGGCTATGTACCAGTATTGAATAGAAGATTGTGAATATTTACGGCATTTCCAGTCGAAAACTTAAAAACTTGTTTTTAAAATATTTTGTGCTACACTCAATAGGAATTTTAGAATTTCCTCAAACAATATAAACTTGGTTACTATTAACAATTAATTGATGGTGCAATTTAAATGAATAAAGTCATATTGTGGATATAAATAATAATAAACCAGTCCAAAATGAGTTTGAAATTTAATTCTCGCTTTTTAAATTTTTATATTTCCATCTACCTTATCCTTTTTCTAAGGCTAATGCCCCGGTTAAACTTGCTTCCAAACCTCTCGTTTCATGATTTTACTTATTCGAGTTTTATAATTTAATATATACATATACATATAAAAAGACTGCCACTTGCTATATGGCGGCGCTAATTATGCAGATATTATTTTCTAGCAGCTTGGCATGTATTTTGTCTCAGGGAGGCATAATCAAAATTAGATAGCGTTTTGATATTTTCTACTCTCTTTCACCATTTTTCGTAATCGCAAAGGAGAATTTATCAGGTTATTAAATAGGTCTAATATTTTTTGGCTTATGATGCCGGTTTCATACCAGTTCCACAAAAGTTTTTCTAGGAGAAAGCATTTTCTGGATTTGAACCTCGTATATATTTAAAAATTGGCATTTTTTTTACATCTTGATGCATTTGTGAATACAAGCATTTCATTTTAATAGTTCTTTAAAAGCGAATTCTGCAAAGAATTTCTGCCAGTCAAAGCGGCTGCATCGCCACTATATTCACAACCTTTATCACATCTCGGGCCTTCGGACTAATTTGCATGTTACTTAATTGCCGATAAGCTGTGTCTATCAAAGAGAAAGGAGGCTACCATATGTCACCATTTGTTTCGAAATTTTATTTTAATTCGATATACATGCATACAGACTGACAAAGATTTGGTAAAAAGCCATGTGAGGTTCCATGAATCTTTTTTGTATATCGTCGCATTACGTCGTCGTATACTTCAGAGCATTTATCGCTTGGCAGCAGAAAACACTGGCAACATGTGGTGGTACCAGTGTTTTGTGGAATTTCTTAATTGAAAGATATTCTAATCCGATCAATTGATTCGAATTATCGGAAAAAAGGCTCACTTGAATTCGATGTGGAGCAATAAATTCTGGCATATACTGCAAAACAGAACAAGAGGTGAAATCATTCAATAAGTCATTCATTATGAAATTTTGCCTTAGGGAATTTTTTAGGGAATTGAATATGAAAACTATGAGCTAAATAAGCATTAATCTAGCGAATCGACTACGAAATACAATATGAAAAGCTTCTTCATTCATAAATTTTTAGCTCTTAAAGAATTTTATACAAATAATTTGCGGAAAAAATTATCATCTGTAAGTATTTTAGTTTAAAAAAATCAGTCAGCCATAATCTTAGAAATGATGTTTTTATGGGAATTATGTTTTTTTGCGAATGCCATATTTGACATTCGAAATTCAACATAAACTATCGATGAATCGTTATATACTGAAAAAAATGGCAATAGTTTCTATTAAGAATGCGAAATGAATTCAGGTTTTAACAGTTTTCTTATGATGAAAAAGAAGAATGATTTGATAAGAAAGGCACTTAATCAGTTAAAGCATTTAAATTCATAAGCAAACAAAAATATGAACTAAAATAAAATAAGTTTATGAATTTGAAATAGGCGATGAATGAATTAATGATTCATCTAAACCTGAAATCTAAAAATTCATTGGACTTTTTTTTCCAAGACATTAGTACTTAAAGTGCTTATGGATGCGACCTTCATTCTTGCCAGTTGTCCTTCCTTATAAGAATATAATGCTGGCTATCTCGTCAGCATAAGAGTAATATATTACTTCACTCCAATATAAATTATGTCCACAAACTTCTTAGATTATGAATTACGATTATAAGGATTTGAGGATTTAATTTAATTTAATTTCATTAATTTAATAATCAATTTTATTAATTAATTTAATTTTAATTAGTTTTAATATTTCTTTTTCATTCATCGTATCTGGTACATTTGTACTGATGGCTGCTAGCCGAATCAAATTCAGTAAAAATTTTCACAAGATCTGTCGAATATCCATAATCCATACTTAGATTGGCGAGAAAAAGCTGATAATTATCTGAAAATTTTTCTTGTGAAATATTTAGAGATATAAATTATTTATTATCATTTTATATGAAAAACTTTAAGTCCTGAAATCCTGGGAAGTTTCGTATCATTTATTTTAGTATTTTCATCCTTATTTGGCTGTGGCTTCTAAGTTTATTTTTCATGGATTTATATCTGTTTGTGTCGCCAAGATCGTAATTACTTAACTCCGTAATAAAAAGAAGAAAAAAAGAAAGGAAAGCAGTTGTGGAACAACGCTACAAAAATGGTTGCATAGAAAATAATCGCTGAAGATTCTACTTTTAATGAATTGGAAATAACACCTTAATTAAGATGAATCTGGCTAGATTTTGAGTAAGGCTTATTGCATCACTCATTATTCATAACTAAATTGGTAATATTTGCAGGCTTTAATTCATTAACAAAAGCTTAAACATTAGTTTGTTTCATGCATTTGACTACTCAGAATTCATCAAAATTTAACTGGAATCAAGATCAAAAGATCGTATAAAATCTTATGTATTATGATAGCTGTGACATTTTTATGTTCATTAATTGCTCAGCCTGGTTACTTTTATTTTATTTGAAATCTTCATGAACGGCATTTTTAATATTGGAAATTCCAAGAGTCGCGAATAATATTATTTCTAAAATATGATACAAAATATGTATATTAAAACTAACAATTTTACTTTGAGTAAACAATGTTTGAAGTAAGAAGCGTAAGCGATCTTTAAGAAGATTGACTATATTAACCTAAGATTTGAATTTTATGGAACATTTTAAAAGATTTTTAGCCATATTATCCACAAAAATCACAAAATTGTTGATGCATTAAAATAAATATGCAAAAAATTATGTAATATTTTAATATTAAAATTGTGTCAGAAATTTTCATAATAAGGCTGCAAATTTTATGCGATGAAGAAAAATTTTAATGAAATATTTATTAGTAAAAATTTTTTGAAAACTATGGAAAAAAGACGACTATATCATAATGTAATTCGTTTTATATAATAATTCTTATAATAATAATTTCTGTTATAATCTTTATTCCCTGACGAAATATGAAAAGAGAAAGTTTGCCTTTCGCTAAGACGGTGATCTTCGGCAGTTTAAGACTATCCGTTTGAATCATTAGTTTCGCTCTCCAAGAAATTGTCGCTTATCATGAAAATGAAACGATTCAAACAAAGTTATAAAGACAAGCTTAAAGTAGATTATTATTTTTAAACATGAAATACGCAGTTTGCTGTGATAATGGCTTTTTTGATAATCCTTTGTTATCAGTAAATCATATTAATGCGATACTAAAATTGACGACAGCAATAGTTTATAGGGTATTCATAGATATTATGGATAACAAATTCAAATTTAAAGAAATTGGTAAAAATTTTTAAAAAAATAAAAAATAAATAATTCGATAATGTGTCAAGATTTGAAAGATAATTTGAAGATAACTAATTGTATGAAAAAATTGTTTTTTTTTTAACGATTAAGATTCATACTGATTAAAATTAGTCATAACGATTAAAACCTTATCATAAGGTAAACAGAATAATTCTTTTCCTAATTTCATTTATGATTTATTGTTGGAGCATTCACTGGCATCGACAATGTACAGCTTTTTCATTTTTAAAAATTTATTAACAGGTTTTTGAATTTTACTATTTATTTCTACTTTTCTTTATTATATATAGAAATTATTCCTGAATTTTTCTTGTTTTTTTATGGATTTGTGAATTTATGAGAAACTTTTCACTAAGAGAATTATCTTTATTATCATAAAAGTCTAAAATATTATGAAATTTATTATGAAAAAAGCCTCTAAAATTAGGCTTTAGAATCATCTTTCACTATTTCTGGCTTTGCTGATTTCACTGACTAAGTGGATGAGGCTTTCCATCAAGAAATCGCTTTGAAAACGTAGATAGCCCTTTAACTCCATTTGGATTTCCGCACTTTTTCATCGAAAATGAAAAAAAACCTAGTTGATGATTTATACTAAACTGGTACAGAAGTTCCATTAAAATGATAATCCATAACGTGGGGAACCTTTTCATAAAATCTAGGTGGTTGTAGAGGATTTATCAGCTCAGATGATGCTCTGACAAAAGCCATCTTAAACCTTTTTATCGTCCTAGTAATCAGTGGAACCAGTCAAACCAGAAATGATTTAGGCTATGAGCAGAAAAATATTCATAAAACCTCATTAATCATTTATTTAGCTTTCATATTCAATTCATACAAGAAAAAATTTTATTTCAAAATTTTATGAAATTTTCATTCCAGTAATAATCTTATTGCAACGAGTAGAAAGTATCGCAGACTCATATGGCACTGATTTCATTACTATATTTCCATGGAATAATGGGAATGCGGAATCGAATCCGCAATTTGCGTTAGATATAATAAATCCGAATATTGTTGCTACTGCCGTAACGATATTTTATGGCGAAGTGAAAATCGAAAGCATGAAAAGGGAAATCTTACGGAAACAAATTGAAATCATTGTGAATGCTACTTCAACTTTTAATGTAATTTTAATATATTTTGTTTTTTTTTAAAATTTTTTGAACTATTTCGCTTTTTTTTTCATTCTTTCGCACATTTTCAGTATTTTCTCATGTTCTCTTACGAGCGCATGACTTTTTGAGCTGCTTGATTCTTATAAATATTAAATCGCTCCTAACGTCTAACTACGCTCGTTAAATATAAGGTATTTATTGGTTTCTAAGAGTTAGAAAGTGCTTCTGCATAATCAATCAAAGTGATTGCCAAAAATATCAAAAATGATATTGAAAATGCTAAAATATCGTTGGTATTATAAATGCGAATAGCCAATTCGAAATTAGCATTACATAAAGTGCTAAAGGCATATTTGGCAAAATTAGCTAATTGGATTAGTTGAAGAAATAAACATTGAGAAGTTTTAGCAAAAATTCCCGAAAAATGTTTCGTTTCCAATTTTTTCGGAAAAAATGAATCCAAAGTTTCCAAATACAAGAGTCGTGATCAAATCTGAACAACGTATTTCCGTCGTTCTTCATACTTACGATGGAGATTGGAATAAAATGTCAGGCGATAGTTTCATTGGTACGTACGCTTTTTTATTTGTAAATAAATCTGCGGTTATTTTCATAATTCATATTTTCCAGTTAAGCCTATCAATTAAATATGAAAAGTGGAGTCGCTGTTGCCTCCACTGATGGTTAATCGACTCTTTGATCATTTCATAATAATAGCCATATTAGTGCCAGTTGAATCCGAAACGGTCTCTCTAACAGACGTGTTCCATTTTTCAGTTTAAGATCGAATTTGGCTTGAAGTTTCATCAAGAATAAATCCTCATCAGTAGAGTTAAATATATAATTTCAGTGATGCCAACGTCATTAGCTGGTAGTAATTATAGTGTGACGTTGCCTGAGACCGATAAAGGAGCTAATTCTAGCGGTGCATCAATCTATTTTTTGCCACTTTTTGATGATACAACTATAAGGCTGGAAATTATTGAAAATGCGGCAACATCTGGTCATTTTTTTACTCTTGGTGTAAGCTATTTTTTTCGATCTAAAAACCATTCTTTTCATAAAATTTCCCAAAAACTTGATAGCATCATTCGTCACAACATTGTAGGAAGAAATACAAGATGTTCTCGCTATCAGCTAGATTTCACCTTAGTTCCAAATATAGCTCCTCCAATCGGTGGGAGTCGATATTATTCGCTTTTAATAGAAGATATCATTAATTCATTAAGATATCATTAACATTAATAATTATAAAATACTAGCATATGGCTTTATGCCCTTATAAAATAAATAAGAGCATTGTTCTTCGATTCAACAAACTGAAATAAAAAATTTCTTGAAGATTTTTATAATTTTAAATAAATTATAAAAATTACATAATTAATATAAAATTATATAATATAAAATTATAAAATTACATAATTACATAATTACGTAATTTATAATTTATAATTATAATTTTTATAATTTTTCTATATTTAAATTTATAAATTTCGATTTTTTTTTGCTTCCTGTCAATAATTTATTTTATTTTAAAATATTATTTATATTAATTATTAATTTTCATATAAAACATTTTTTTTAAATTATTGAACAATTTTATTGTTTTATTTTAAGCAAGTCGATAGCACTTCAATAAAAGTTTATAATAGCAAAAATTCATTCTCAATGTATGCGAATTCCGAAAAACCGTTTATATTGGTTGTTGCTGCTAGGCATTTGCCATCAAATGATAAAAAAAATAACGATTTTGGAAGTTTTATGCCAACTCCAATCACCTGTACTGGTAAATGTTTCAATATTTTGCACTATTACTATTTATTAAACAATGAATATTTTATGATAAGAAATGTTGATAATATATATCATTAGATAATATTGTTGTTAGTATCATTAGATTTTTATTCTTTTAAACCTAATTAATTCATGAAAATGTGCGAGAATTTCAAGAATTATGAGATCATTTAAATCAGAGTAGATAAATGGTTTTTTTCCCCTAAATTAGTTTAGTGCAACAAATTGTACTGAATTCCATCGCTTATCAGTGATATGATAAGAATTAATTTTTTTATCCATTTGAGATTATTAAGGAATCTATTTGTAATAAATGAATAAACGAATATATTTGCCAAGAAAGATATTATTTTATCAAGTTTAGTTGATGAAAAGATTAGTTCAGTTTGTCGGTGCTTGCATTTGTATTATTTTATTTCAGATTTAGAGACCAACGAAGATCACTATTTTTTATTAAGCATGTTTGAGAATGAATCCTACGCTATTAACGCTCCTTATTCTTTGTGCCCAAACTTCAATATTTCTCTTACTAGTGGAACAATCTTGGATATTGATGTTTCAAAGAAGCAAGAATTTTTTCAACCGTCACTCTATATTAAGGATTTCTCCGAATTAAAAAGGTGAAAGCTATTTTTATAATTTTAATAGACATTTATTTATATTTGAAAAATATATTTTAGTATTCCAATGGTTCAAATAACAACCTATGTAAGAGGTGATGGTTATTCGCATCTCAGAGAATTGCCTTCTTTCTCGCAGTTCGTTACTGGCTTAATAGGATTTGTTGTGCCAGACTACAGCAATACAACAATTATGCAAGTAATCCTTCTAGAGATCAATTTTTAAAATTCTTCAAAATATTTATAGACTTTTTCAAAATATCAATGTTTATATTATATTAATAGATAATCGCCGATGAACAAACTTATAAAACCGGCCAGTTGAACGGCAAACAGAGGCCAAATTATACGAAATACGACAAGTTTTACTATGGTTCAATTGATCATCTAGAATTTGGATACAATTATTTTACGGCTGATGGCAATTATTCCGTATATATACATGGAAAATATGGGAGCGCTTCATATGGCTTCAATGTTGCATATAACAGTACGCATGAAATTTTTTCATAATTACATTTCAAGAAATTATTATAAAATTATTAAAAAATTATATTATGGCTATAAAATCATAAAACAAAATATCATAAAGCAAATTTCTGGCTTAGACACGAGTATAATAACAGAGCTAATGTTAATGATGATGAGGAGTGGGGAGAGAATAGCTCAATGAGTTGTTGCTAAATTTAGAGCGAAGATGCTAAGGTTCTATTCCCTCCATGAGTAAACCTGTCCAAAAATCCGTGTGATGCTGGCGACTCTCCTTTACTTCTAGCACCAAATGATGACAAGTTTTTCCGATGCGACAAGCCAGCGGAGCGATTTTAATTAGTAATGGTGAGGACTCTTAGAAAAAAAAAAGATGTGCAAGTGATGATAGGGAGTTACTTGGCGACGAAAGTGGATCTGTAGTACAATGAAAATTTTTTATAAGCGCTTTATGCGAGGAAGGAGTCGAACCAGGAGTTGTCTCCTAACGAGGCAATCTGAGTTACTCGATGTATTTAACCACTCGGTCATTCCGCCTCAATTAATGAGATTAATTAAACGCAAACCTATTCCCGAAGAGTATTTTCATATATTTTATTTTTATATATATTTTTATAAAAATTACAAAAATTTAATTATAAAAATTTTGCTATTACTGCGATTATTTCGATGCTTTTTAGCAAATTATGCTTTTAATTGAATAATTTTAATAAAAAAATTAAAAAATTATAAAATTATGTAAGAAATTTAATAAAGAATTATTTCAGGAAGACCAGCTTGTACAAACGGTATCGCTTATTTGTTTGCTTCAAAATAACCATTTAAATATTTATTCAAATTAAATAATTTCTTTGAAATTAAAACTAGCGAATTACTTGAATTATTTGAAGAGGAAATTTGTGGTTTAATTCATAGAATAATCAATGGTCAAACAATCTGAACTGAAAACCTAACGAAACTTTAATATATATAAATATATTATATTAATATATATAGATTTTAATATTTTAAAAATACAAAAATTTTATTATAATCTTTTTTTTTTTAGAAACAACCAAAGTCACTTCAACCACATCTATGTCGACCACAACTTTTACGACAACATCGTCTTCAATTACTTCATCTGATACTTCAACTTCCTCAACTGATACTTCGACCATAACAACCACCACTCCACGTGGACCAATTTTGCAAGCGGATTCTGTTGCCACTCATTTCACGCTCGTCTTTCCGTGGAATATTGACGATTCAGGAAATATTTCGTTAACACTACATCTCATAAATCCAAATCTTGAAGATGCCGTGGTTTATTTGAAATATTGGGAAATTAATGGCAAAAATGCTATGAGAAAAATGGAAGCGGTTTCGGTTCCATCTAAGCGACATATAATGGTAAATTTTTTTTTTTTTTTATATTAAATATGACAAGATTATCTGTACTTCGTCGTTCTTTAACAGCGCAAATGTCTTCAAATGTCTTCAATCATAAATTTTTGGTTGACTTATTAAGCTCGTGCGAGACGCTTCTAATCCTATCGATCCGACATCTGAATCAAGTCACTCTTTTTTCCACCATCCATGCCTATAAATCACTGGGTTCTCTGTTTTTTTTAGAGTGTCCCTTCTAGCTATGCAACTCTTCTTTGATCCACTGAGGCGAAGCTTTATCAGATGAGTTCTTTCTTATCATATCATATTTTTTCTTTTAGTTCGCTTTTAACAAAAATTCATCAAGTGAATATATAAAACATGACGGTGTTAGCGAGATTGACGACACTCGTATCACTATTCGATCAACAGTTCCAATATCAGTTTTAGGGAGTATTTATAATGAGAAAGGATCTGGCGATAGCTTTACAAGTCAGAAATTTTTTTAAGTTCTTATCAATATTTCTTATCAATACTCCAATATTTCATTTAACATATTTAAATTATCTATAATAATTCGAATAAAAATCATAAAAAGCAATTTGAATAGATTTCAGTCTTACCAAAATCGATGGCTGGAAGAAGCTATGTCGTTTCAATGCCAAAAGTTGAACAAATTGATTATAGTGTTGTTTATTTTATCCCAACGAATGAACCAACAGAAGTTATGCTTACTGTAATAAATGAAACATCAACAGAGACTATTAAAATTAACTTGGAAGTATGTTTAACGAGCATGTAAACTGATTATAAGCAGATAAATAGTACAATGAAAAAATATATATAGTTTGTCAACGATTCGCCATTATAGGTTCATAAAATTTTTGTCATTGCGGTTAAATAAAGCCACATTTTTTTAGGAAGACGATATGTCAAAAATATTAGCGTATAGAGTCTCTAAGAGTGCCTTTACTTTATATGCGGATGGCGATAATCCTTTCGTGATTTTGACTGCTATTCATGGAATTTCCGCATCAAATCTGTCAAATGGTTTTGCAGATTTTGGTTGCTTTATGCCTCCTCCAGCTGCAGACATAGGTTTGATCAATAAGATTTTATTGATATTTTGGTACCGTAAAAATTTTATGAAAATCATTTATGGAACTTTGATTTCGAAATTTGTAGATGTCTGTAAAGAAAAAGGATTTTCATAGGAATTTTCGTTGGGAGCACGGCGATTCCCCTTCCAATATTCTACCTTTACAAAAATTCCTTTTGGGAATCCGCTTCACTATTTTTTTTTCTGTATAGATTTAGCTACGCGGGACTTTTATTTCTTATTAATATTGTAAAACTCTGCGGCCAGCGTTCTATTTCTTACTTTTCTCGTTGCGAACCTCAAACTTGGGTAATTAACCTTTATTAGTAAAGATATACAAAAAAATAAAGCGAAGTAATTGCCCTACTACATCGAATAATAGTCAAAGAAACCAGATATAAAAACTAAATACCCATCACTCACCGACCGCTCTCCCACTCGCTTTCCCTAATAAAGCACAAAAATGACCATAATTGATCTTTTGGGAGCTTATATTTGACAGGCAGACAGGCGAGAATCCGGATGATTTGCTCAAATTTATAGCTTTTTTCGCCTTTCGGCGACAATGTCATTTGTCAAAAAGGCTAGGTTGGTTAGGCATTTGACATCTATTATTCAAATAAATATCGAATCCATAGATTACAATCGGTTTATGAAATTCAGAATGTGCATCTACGATACCCTACGATTATATAACTTCAGTCGATACAGCAAATTATTTTCTCGCTGCGCCTCCATCAAATACTTGTCGTAAATTTAAAATTTCCGTTTACGGAATGAACGGAATGAATAAAACGTATGAAATTGATCCAAAAGCTGCTCAAAATTTTCTAGCGTGGACTGCAGATGAGTATGAAAGTGGTGTCATAGCGCGATCCAAGTACCATTTTGAAAAATAAAGATCAATGTGATGAATAAATGAAAAATATGAAAAAAGAAAATTTTTTTTTAGCAATGGTCCATTGCAAATTACCAAATTTGGTGGTTATAAAATGAATAAAACAAATATTGAAGGGATTTATCTCGACTTTGTACCTTCGATAGCTTGGTTTGTGACTGGAACGGCAACATTGTTTATACCTACCAACACAAGTGAAGTATTGGTATGCAATGAATATGATCAGAGTTTTATCTAAAATCCTTAAATTCGAGGACAATGAATAAAAATCTATTTAGATTTATTCAAATTAATATATATAGAAATAATCCGTTTAATAGGTAATCGGTGATGAGGAAACGGCTCAAGTTGCTTATTTTGATGGATTTGCTTTAAATTTCACCAAAATGCCTTACTATGATCAAAATCTATATTATTCCAAAAACTTTGGTACGGTTGGCTCACATATTATCTCATCAACTGGAAAATTTATAATATTCGTCTATGGCACAAATGCCGGAGCATCATATGGATTCATCCCATTCTTTAATAGTTATTATTTGCCATATTTTCTGCTTAATTTTCACCCTAAGGCAATCTTTTTCATAATTGAGATTTATTTCAACTATTTGCGCATATCTCTTCAATTCGATTTTATAATAAGATCTAAACTACTTTAGGTATTTTATTCTAGAAACATGATAAACAACAAGTAGATTTCATCTAAGAGATATTTAAATGTATGTTCAGAACATTAAAGCATGGTTCATTTAATTAAGGTCCAATTTCGGCAAAACCGACTCCCACTCCTACTACTCCTTCACCAACTCCGATCCCACCTCTTCGTAACGTTTCTGATTCGTATGGTACTTCTTTCGTTGGTGTTCTTCCATATAATAACTATTACTCACGACATACGCTTACAATAATTAATTCGCAAAATTTTTCTACTACTGTAGAAATAAAATATTGGAAACAATTGGAGCAAAAGATCGAAGTGATAACTGTAGCTGCCGTTGATTTCACTGAGGTATCAGTACGACATTAGCATTGGTTGTTTAATTTTTCAACCTCGAAACTATTTTACTCTTTTCATTTTTTCGGAATCTTTAAAAAACAATAATATTGTTTATAATAATCCACTAATACTGAATGATATTAACATGTACTTAATGGAACTTTTCTATAGTTTCAATTAGATGCGTCGACACTAGGTGGTTCGTTCATTCCTCAATTGAACTGGATACTTGATAATCGTTTCTATATCAATTCGATAACTCCGATATCTGTCGTTTATTCTATTTATGACTTAGAGGAAGGCACTGGTGATAGTTTCACATGTAAGTTTATTCTTTAATAAACCTGAAAATCCCTTCTATTATTTTAAGAAAGCTATTTTTCCATTTATTTCCCTGAAAAAATATGTATTATTTACCAAAATGTATTGCATATTCACTAAGGGCAATGCATTATTGAGAAGTTAGATAAATTATAAACAAATAAATAAACCAGTAGTCTATGAACGAAATTGGAGGAATTCTATTTCTTGTGGCAAGCAGCGATCGAAACTGACTAAGAATCTTTATTTTTTCATGGTCTTGAAGTTTCATCTGGAAATCACAGAATTTCGAAAGTTTTTAGGCGATAGAGAAGTTTTTTTCTTGCAATATATTAAATTTCACAAGACCGACTGAACAAAATAACATTTAGCATTTTAACCATTTCTCATATTTTGAACTTTTTGATCAAACAAGTACCAAATTTGTTGCAGTATTGCCGACAACAATGGCTGGAAAAAATTTTGCGATATCACTACCTATGGCTTCATCCACTAATTCTTCTATGCTTATACTTTACTTCATAGCTGATAGTACGACGAAAATAGTGCTAAATATCTTTGAGAACAAAACGTATTATCAATATGGCTTTTATACACCAAGAGATGTGAGTTAAAATTCATTGGCTCTTGTGATGTAAGTAGGCGAGGAATATCTAAATTCCCCACTCATGTACTGGTTCTTTACTTATTAGAATTTTTTAGTATTACGGCGTATTCGGCAATGCAGCCTACGTCATATATAACGAACAACTTACTGCTTATGCTGAAGGAGATGCACCATTTCAAATTATTGCAATGATTCAATATGTTGACATATCGCCGTCATCAAAAAATCAGGACTTTGGATGTTTCATGCCTCAACCTTTAACTGATACAGGTTCATTTCAGCTTTTTTTTCTAAAAACACCATTTCTAGTTAGATCCGCTACCTCCGCTGGCTTCCAAAAAAAACTTTATCAGTGAACCAAGGGGAGTGAAAGAGTCGCTATGATCATCGGAATTTTTGAAATTCCTGAAAGGCTTCTATCGCTATAATGCCCAAACATCAGTGTTCCGAGATGAGAGTTACAAAAACGAATGCGGTAATTTAATGATTATTTAAATGGCCAGAGGTGTTTTTTCCAGTATGCGCACAAAAATCGACATATGATGCTCATATTGCTCAGTTATTGGATTCAAATTATTTCCTAATGTCTCCTCCAATAGCCAAATGCGGCAGCTACGGTATAAAGCTTTATGCTTCGGATGGCACCTATCAATCGATGGATATCAACTCATCGGAAATGCAAGATTTGCAACACTTACGACGTGATGACTATGGAAATAATGTCGGCATTCTATCGACGTAAGTCGTATAGCCAAAACTGGGCTGATTTTTTCCTTCCTACATGGTATACGACTGGAAAATAAATGAAAATATTGCAATTTAGTTATGCTTTGTTGCAAATCACGAATTTCGGAGGATATGGGATCGCTGAACAAGGAATCTATCTTGATTTAGTACCATCTCTATCGCAATTTACTACTGGATTAGTTCCATTTTATGCTGTAACGGATGATAGTATGTTTATGGTAATTTAGTTTCATTTATTTTTTTTTTATAATATAAGTACTTCAAATAAATATTTATAAATATTTTATTTATAAATAAAATATAAATATTTAATAAAGATTTAAGCTTCTTAATAATTATTCTTCATTCTGTTTTTCATATTTTCATAGACAATCTGATTTTATGTGATTGGTGATGAAAAAACGCTTCGTACTGGCTTATTTGATGGAAAAGAACCTTTCTCTGGTAGTCCGTTGAATTTTTTCGATCAAAAATTTTATTTTACATCTGCAAAATGTTCGAAAGGACTTCATACATTTGAATCAGATGGTGAATTTAGCATCTTCGTTAAAGGATCCTATAGCGACCACGATTCAAAATCGTCATATGGCTATCTTCCTGCATTCAACAGTTTGATTTATAATTTATTTTTAAGCGTTGTTTCATTCGATTTCTTAAGCTTATAGTGTATTTTTATTTCTATAAAAGAATTTAAAAAGAATTTAGAGAATGCATAATCTAGTTGGTTTTTGGTGAATAATAGTGCGATGGCTTAAATGTTCAGTTATTACTCAAACAAAAGCGGAAGTGGTGGAGATCCAATCGCACCTATATTTCTAAATGAATTCACTGCTAAAAAGTCTTGTCCGATGAGGCAAACCAGAAATGCGCTGCTGAAAATTTTACTCATAGCTAATGAATTGAAGCAGAAGAGTCGGCGAGTATATAGTGGCTCAGATTATTCTGTTTGGAAGCATTCTACCCTTCCATCCTTCGAGGGACAGGAATAAGCCTGTCATTAAAAAATCTGAATCGTACTGGGTATATTTCTAGCGCCATGTAACTTTGCCAACGAAAATTTCTGACCATTCATATAATGAGCGGAAGACGGAAACTAGCCTAACCAGGGCATGGTGATTCTAATCACTATTTTATTTATCAGTGAGTTTCAGCAAATTATCAAAGATAAATAATTGGAAATATTTTCAGGACAAAAAGCAGTGCCTTATCAGCCAGAGCGTAAGTCATTTTGAATTAGATATCCAACGAATTCACTGGTAAAAAGAAAGTTATTACTAAAATTCTGATGATAAACGAGCTGATTGTTAATCAGCCAATAGCTCTTCTTTTTGGAACTTTAAGGAGGGTCATTACATATAGCTTTCTTTTACTGCTTACTTTATGTCACTAAACAATTTATGAAAGCATTTCCAGCTACAACTACAACTACACAAGGCACAATAACAACACCCACAAATATGTCATCTAAAGGAACAACAACTCCAATCGCCACCTCATCAACCACCACTACGCCTTCATCTACTGCTGCTTTCGAGACTTTAGATCTAAAATTGATTGCTCTTTCCTTTTTATTTTTTTTATTCTTGTTTAAATCATGAATAATATTTTATGAATATTTTTTCAATTTGGTACTAGCTGATACCATTTTTTTTAATTTTTAGGTCAAACTTATATATACATATTTGCGTATTGAGGATAATTTAAAGACAATTCAGGTGATTCCATATTAGGCTATTATTTTTCGATTTTTTAAATTCTTTTATTTTTCATGGCTGTTTTATTGCTAAATAAATAAGAATTGAGAAATTTTCTGATAAAATTATTATTAATTATATAAATGAACTAAATTTCAACCAAATAAAAATTAATATAATTGAACATTTTGAAACTTTGAAGAATGAAGCGTTAAGCCTGCACAATTCTTTTAGCCATGAAAAATTCACTTTGATAATAATAAAAATAATAAAAATAATAATTGTAAATCAAAAATGGTGAATCTTAAATTTGCATAAAAAATCTTTTCTCTTAAAGAAAAATTTGAAAAATTTAAAAAAAGAAAAATGTCCACCACAAATGAACTATTTGAATAAGAATTTATACAAGAAAATAAGCAAATTTGCATGATTTTTAAAAATCCGATTAGTTGTAAAACATTTCTTTTTATTTTTGAAAAAATTTGTTGAAAAAAAATTTACATTTTATTAAAAATTTAAAACTTGCATTTTTCATTATGCATGATGATTAAAGAATTTTCTATTTCGATCAATTTTTTGCAGCCTTTGGACCAATCATTTTTTTAAAAGCATTGATAACATTTATCATTTCCCTAAAATATAATCAATTTTTTTCTCGAATAAAATTCAATTGGCACAATTGCGAAATAGCTGAAATTGCTTGCACTACGGCAAAAAATTGTTTAAAATTTTTGCCATGAAAACCAAATAATAGAAAAAAAAAGTGGATTGCTGGCACCACTTAGATTTTTTTTTTCAATGTTAGATTTACTTCTTTCGGAAGCAAAATGAATAAAATATATTTTATTTTCCAAAAATTTTTCAAATTTCTTTTGATAAACTTATATAATAAAAGCAGTGATAAGCATTATCATAAAACAAATCAAATTTTTTCGCATTTTTCTCATTTTCAAGCAATCAAACATTGATGTACTTCTCTTTTCAAATCAAATTATTCTTTTATATAGGTTTGATTTTCGTTTTTTTTTTCGTAAGAATTAACTTTGAAGTTTTCTTGTTTTTAATAAAATTAATGAAATTTATTAAGTGAACAATTAAAAATACGAATTTCCTCCTAAATTTATTCATCTAATTTATATCATTCAGACGGACGTTAACGATTTAGACGGTGAAAAAACTTAAATTTTCAACATTTCAGCGTATTATATTGTAACGACAAGTCGTAGCATTTCGAGTGCTTCGAATATAGCAAATTTGCATGATGCAGTGAGCCCCGACTCATGTAACACGTCGTTCGTCTCCGTCCTTCCGTATAATGATGGCGCATCAAATTGTACAATTATATTAATCAATTGTCAAAATGTTAATACGACTGTAACAGTTAATTATCGGAGATTAAGTGATGGCCATTTCGTTAAAAGTAATTTCACCGTTAATCTTTTAGCGTTCGGCTTCGAAAAGGTTTGTTTTTGTGCGAAAATTTTCCACTTCTTAAATGTTCCTCATTGGCGTTCTGTTAAAATTTGAAACGCCTGCAGCTACTTACCAAAATTATGAATTGTAATAATATAATGGTAGTTGGGGAATGTTAATGGAGAACAAAGGTATCGCGGATGGATGCAAGCAAGGGAGAGGAGCAAGGGCTTATTAAGACTGAATAATAATATTTTGGTAAGTATGGTGACAGTATATAGGGATTCAAAGGAGCATCAACGGATTTCAAAGGAAAAAAACATTTTGAGAGAATATTAAAAGATTTATTCGAATTTTCTTTTGCTCATGCGTAACATAAATTTCACTGGTAAAAACTGTAGAAATTCTAACAGAAAAAGAAAATGATTTCTGAAGTTATTCAGTAAATTGAGAAATTTTCAAGTGAATGTCGTTGAAATTTGAAAACTCGAGAAGTTATTTATAGCGAATCTTCATTTTTCCGGCATTCTCTTCCATGAAATCAACTGATTGCTTCATTTCATGTGAAAAAATGAGCCAAAACTTTAAAATTTAAAAAGATCAAGAAACTGAGTATTTTTATCAAGAAATTTAGATCGAAATGGATACATTAGCGCTCACCTTTCCACCTTATCAATCGAAAGCCAACTGGTTTATTGATAGTCGTTTTTACGTTGATTCGAAAACGCCGATCTCCGTTGTCGTAACTACTCATAATGATAAGGGAATTGGTGATGCATATACATGTTAGTTAATTATTATTATTTTGGTTATATATATTTTGGTTATGTATTTCTAGAAATCTAAGAATTATTTAAAATTTTTTTTATCATTTCTTAGTATACAATTTGAAGTTTACTTTTATGATTTGGCGTTTAATCATAAAATCAACTGATAAATTTTTTGCATTTATTGTCTCTTCTCTTCATTGTGTCCAATGAAAAAATATAACACTATAACATTTCAGATGATAATGAAATTGAGAAAATAAAAAAAATTGCCTTAGGGATTTTTTAAAATGGTGCTTCGGTTGGGATTAAGCACTATAAACTTAGTTAGCGGAGAATAAATTTGCTATTTGAATCTTTTATTATTTATATTTCACCTAACATTTAAAGTAATTTTATCATTTTAGTGATACCAAAAGCAAAGGCAGGAACGAATTATGCATTATCACTACCCGCTGCATCAATGGGTGACTATTCTTTGCTATATTTTATACCCATTAAAGACATGGTGCTGAATATAAGATTACTTACGCAAAATATTTCTTATCAGTATTCAGCCTTTATACCGGTAAGTTAAATAATTTTTTTTCGATTAATGATATGATAAAAATATTATAAAATTTATTTGTTCTTATTTAGGCAGCAGATGAATCGAAAATAATGGCATTTGCCTTTTTTGGCGAACAGTTTACAGCATATATCGATGGAGATTCGCCATTTCATGTTTTGGCCATGATTCGACGCATTAAATCATTTTCGAATCTCATTGACTTTGGCTGTTTTATGCCTCAACCTTTGCTTCGAACTGGCATGTTTCTTAAAAATATACAAACATATTGAATAATTTATTAATTGCAAATTCACCATCGCACCACAATCACAAGTTTCGAGTCATTTTAAGTTTCATATTATTTTTCCTAGAGAATCTCATTTCCAGAATGTGCTCCTCAATCGGTCTACGATGCGCATATTGCACCATTAAATAATTCCAGTTATTTGTTCCTCACACCACCAACAATAGAATCTGGAAAAATTAATATTTCTTTATATGGTTCAAATGCTTTAAGACAAGTACATATTAATTCAAAAGAAATGCAACATTTAGAGGAATTTGGAACCAACGAGTTTGGAAAAAGCGTCGAAATACTAGCAACGTAAGGCTATTCTATAAATTTAGAAATCCGCTAAATGAAACTGCTAAAGGCATTGATCGTATTCTAGGGACTGTTTATTGCAAATCATGGATTTGGGTAGTTATAATGTTAACGGTGGCTTATATCTCGATCTTATACCATCGTTATCACAAATGGTTACCGGAACTGTGCCTTTCTATGTTCCGACTAATGATAATAAAGTTATGGTAAATATATTTTTTCAATTTTTTAAATTAATATTAATTAACGCTTGGACTTCTTAAATTTTTTAAAATCAGGTTGCAGTTCAGATTTTGCATTCACATGAGATTTGGTAACAAATTTGGTAACACATTGAGATTCTTCCTTTCATATGCGCCATTGTACTGTGATCAACCTGAACTGCAGCTAAAAATAAGTTCATGCTTGGTTTCATAAATATCTCATGATGGACGAGTGATATTTCGTTCAGCTATAGTTAAAGTTTAATTCCTGCGGCATGATAATAGCTTATTCTCCGAATGGTTCTAAATACCCACTATTAGGAAATAACTCTCTATTGAAATGGCTTCATCCAAAGAGCCAAAGCAATCAGAAATGGTGAGAGTTTCAAGAGGAAAAATACACCAAAGAGTAAATATCTCAAGAACTTTAGAAAAACTAATAAAAAAATTACAATTTCATATGATCGGCGATGAAGCAACGCTTGCAACCGGCAAATTTGATGATCAGCAAAAATTTATTGGTGTTCTCCTTTCCAATTTCGAAAAAAATTTCTATTACGGCAGTACCACTCTATCTCAAGGAATTCATAAATTTCAATCAGATGGACAATTTACAATTTTCATTAGTGGTTCTTTTTCAAATGGATCTTACGGCTATACACCTGCTTATAACGGTATTTTTACTCCTGCAAAGGAACTTATTTGACCAATCACAACAAAGATTTGAACGGTTAAACCGAATAAACACTCGTGAAGCTTTGACCCAATCTTCTCTTTTTAACAGAATGCTTCGCCGCTGCAAAAGATTCAATATTTCCAAATGATTTCCTACAGAAAAAATCCTCATTTTAGCAAAAAGCCAAATCGTTAGACCAATACTTTTTATTTTATACTGAAATTTTGTCTACTGCGAAAATCACTTTGCGTTTCGCAGATAGCTATTTTTCAAAGTCCTTTCATATATCTTCATCAGTACAAAAATTTCAGCACAGAAGGACATACCGTATCACCCACGTAAGTTCCTTTAAAGCATCTAAATTCAAATTTAAATTTAATTTTGCTAGAGATAATTTAAAAATTAGTAAATTTTTCAACTTTTCATCATTTGAAACCATTATTAAATATTTCTAATTCTAATCATGCAACATATTTAATATATATTTATAGCACCAAACAAGGCATCTCAAGCACTTTACAAACAAACGGCTCTCCTCTGGATATTCCTTTTCTTTATTTCAGTCATTAAATGATGGAATGATCAACGATTAAGAAACCGCCGAAATTAGAATTTAGAACCAATAGCATTGTTTTATCTCGATTAAGCATATTTTTGTTAACATAAACATCATATATAGCGAACAAAGAAAAATTTTAATAAAAAATATTTAAATTAAATAAGATTAATAAGGTAAAAATAATAAAATTTGCACCCACTTTGTTTCAGATTTTCTTTGCCAGATTATTTTTCATACCTATTTCATACCTAACCTATTTCATTTCATTTCTAAACGTTTTATATATTTTTCAAACTACCGTCAAAATTTATTTCATATTATATCCATATTTTCGTTTGACTAACCGGTTAATGAATTATAATGCAAAATGAAAAAATGAAAAAAATTTCTTTTAATAAAACCTGAATAATCAATGAATAATCAACCAACAAATTCCGATAAGATATTAAATTTTAATTTATCCAGTAATTGGTATCCACTTAGAAAGAGGACCATGCTCACGAATAAGCTTGCAGCCGACTCCATCCATCTGTAAACGACCTTCTTCTCTCATCTTTTCGTAATCTTCTTTATTCCATTTTGTGAAACCCCATTTACGAGAAACAACAATAAGCTGCCGACCAGGAAACTTGAATTTAGCTCGTCGAAATGCTTCTACAGCATGTTCTTCATGCTTAAATGAAAATAATTATTGTAACTTTCTTGTCAACAAAAGAATAAATGATCGGAACTTGAGGGATGGAATTAAAAAATCAAATAATTTCAGTAAGGATAATAAGGATTTAATAAGGATAAATAATTTCTGCAACCTCCGCTAACACAAAAAAACAGAAAAGACAAACAATGTGAAAAAGTGATTAATAGAAATGAATTATAATGCAAAATGAAAAAAGGATTAATAGAAATAATTCGCAAAATGTTTAACCTGCTCACGCACACGTACTGAGATTAAAACATCACCAATGTCAACACGCGCAACTAGCCCTTGAGGTTTTCCGAATGCACCACGCATTCCTGTTTGCAGTCGATCTGCACCGGCACATGATAACATTTTATTAATCCGAACAACATGATAGGGGTGTTTACGAACACGCATATGGAAGCCATCTTTACCACAATGTTTTACCATATATTTATTGGCACAAATACGAGCTGCCTAAATATTAATTGTTTAGAATTTCAAATTGGAATTTGGTCACATTATTTCTTCATCCTTTTATTGTCTGCGCTGTAATTTGTTTTGAACTTAAAATTATTTACAATATTTGCAAAAATATTTTATTTATAAAATAACTATTTATATACATTTATAAAAATAAAGATGTCTAGAAATATTTAAAGAAATAAAAATATTTAAAAAATATATAATATAAAAATATAATATAAAATATAAAAATATATAAATAAATAAATATATCAAATAAATGTTAAAACAGCAAAGCAATTATGCAACTAAAAATAAGCAAAATAAACAAAATAAACAAAATTTGATGAGCAAGACATTTTAAATTTAAGCAAAAGAAAAATAAATTAATATTGCTAAAATATACTATGGAAACCCATATTGTAACAAAGCCTCCACGATTAGACAATAATTTATGTTTTTCTTGAACTTATCTTATTTTCTTAAACTTCTTAATCGCTTATTTCACGAATAAAAGAAACGAAGCACAAATGTACGCATGTGTCTCTACAATGTATTTTAACAATTTCTTTTCTCAAGAGCCCTCACCATTACTGGTTAAACTCGTTTAACTGGCTTGTCGCATTGGGCAATATGCCAGGGACTCCCTTGGCGATGGAAATATAAGTGAGTCGCCAGCATCACCCAGATTTTTGTACAGGCTTACTCCTGCGGGGAATCGAACCTCAGCATCGATGCTCCCAGTTGAGCAATATTGAGCCATTCTATTCCCAATTCTATTAAATTTTTAATGTGTTTTAACAATTAAAGTCTTTTAAAAATTCTAAAAAGATAAAAGCCATACTTCGAGAGCTTCCGACGACAAATGTTCACGCTCATTGGACATTAAATGAACACACAATGGAAATTCATCACAATTCGCTTTTTTTCTTCCCAAATCAAAAATTCGTATTTTTGGATCGGGAACGCCACGACAAAAACGCGACTTTGGATATGGTTTATTCTTTATATAGCGGTAACACCGCGCGGGACGCCGACCCATTCTTTAATTCCTGAAAAAGAACGAACGTTGATATTTGTACTACTGTAATATAGAATATAAAAAAATTCATTAAAATTCGAACTATCACAGTTTTTCATCAGAAAAATATATTTTCCCAAAAATATGCTAAATACACTTCCCGATTTTCCCAATTTTAAAAGCAATATAGACATAGAAACATTAAAAAAAAGTGTATCACAGAATTGTTCACATATATATTTCGATATTGTCGTGGTGCCAAATATATTTTTGAAGCTGTCACCCTTTCCGCACCCGTTATTTTTTATTTTTTACTTTAATATATAGCTAAATAAAATTTTGTAAAAAAACTCGAAATTTTTATATATCTCATTATCTTATCAAATTATCTCATCAGCTAGACACTTCCAAAAATTAATAATAAGAAAGATCCACAAAATTCCAAAGGACTCAGCCACAACTCAAGAAAACCTATAATTGGGTTGTATAAATATTTCCATAATTTCAGGCTCTGACTTTTTTCTACAGCCCCTTTCATATCTTTTTAGTCTTATTTGTTCGTTTAATTTTCAGCTTAATGGTCAGCCCAAAAAATTAATTTAATTAAAATAAAAAATTAAACAATAAAGTAAAAAATAAGTAAAAAAGTGTAAAACCAAATGTAAAACACCAAATATTAAAAAAAGCCGGATTTTCCTTAAAAAATCACCTCAACAACTTTTAATTTTTTTTATAAACAAAATTTCGAACTAATTTTCAAGTTTACCAATGTTATATATGAATGGTAATAACTTTTTCTATTGATCCAGCGTTTGACTACTACCAGGATAGTACCATTGGCCAGACAGCCACACGAGGGTAAAAATAGATGCATTGAAGAAACACTATAAAAAGCTCAGGAAAAAGAAACCCAGCACCCCTTAACATATCTTTGTTTTTATCAACAAATCTTTCATTAAATCCCCCCCTTTTAGTGATTAGTGATTATCATTGCACTAACCCAAATATAGCAGGAAATCCGTGTAGTAACCGGGATTTTAAATAATGAAAAATTCCGTTTAAGACCAGTTTTAATTTGAAATATTGTCAAGTTTATCAGTTTTATAGCTGCGGTTATTTGGGGTATAAGGGATTGGTGGAAGAATAGTTGATGAAATAGGAGGGGAGGTATAGTGAAATGATTGGAGAGGAGAAAAGAGGATGGAGGAAGAAGAGAGAAAAGGAGGCGAAGATGGAAGTAAATTACTGCTGACAGAATAATGAGGTAAACGGTGGTACTAGCCAGGTAGCCGAAAATTATTAGTCTAATTACTTTCCTCAGTTTGCCAAAATCTCTTCCAGCCCTCCCGAATTGTTCAGTAGAGCCAAGTTGAAAATCGTAATTATTATTAATATTATTATTGTTATTATTATTATTATTATTATTATTATTATTATTATTATTATTATTATTATTATTTTAATATTATTATTTGTAGGCAAATAATGCTTGGTCTTGTTATTGGTTCGAAAACACAAAATAATATGTTACTTTATTCAATTTTTGTTTCTCAAGCTGAGCAACTTTATTTTGCTGTTGGACCATTATTAATCATTCCAAAAAATTTTTCAAAAATGGAGCGAAAAAAAATGGAAAAGGTTTTTTCCAAGTTTTTTTTTCTCTTCTCTAAGGGTCAAACAGAGGTCAAGCTTAAGCGCTATTTTACATCTTTTAGTTTTTCTTTTCTTTTTTCGTCCTTTCAAAGTTTTTAAAAAAGTCTTATTTTTAATCTATTTTTGCTACTTTTTTTTCTAAATTTAATTAAAATGTAAACTATAAAACTAATTTCAGGAAGAAAAGAAAAAAGAATTAAATCCTGGTGATTGGATTAATTTCGAAATGGAAAATGTCGTCTCATTTATCATTAATGAATATGTTAAAACTTCAGCATTATGCGAATTTCGCTATATGAATGGCGTTTTTCAAGTAGGCAAATTGGAAATTCTTTTGAATTCTAATAGCATAATTTGGCTGATTTCATTGGCCCCTAAGGTCTCTTCTAATGAGGTCTTTTTTACTAGAATATCACAAATTTGCCCTTAGTACCACAAAGATTTTAATGCAAATTCGTCTTTAAATTTGGGAATATAAAAATAGCAAGGAACTTATATTTTTTACTTTGAAATTTGTCAAAAAAAAAAAAATTTGTCAAAAACTGGTGCTAATATTCGCTAAAAAATCTCTCAACCTGGCTCTTTCTTTTATGGATTAATATTTTTATTTTTTTTCTTTAGGTTCAATCTTTATGTGTTTTTTCACCAAGTGAAACCAGGGAAATCCAGAAGTGTTATTCGGAACTGTTTGGCTATATTCACGTTGAATGTAAAATTGCTAAACGATTTTTGCCTAATGTTGCTTATAAGTGAATATTTTTATAAAATTTTTATCTCAGTCATAATTTTCATTTTACAAGTTCGGTTTTAAAATATTATAAAAATTCTAATTCATGTAAATTATTACGAAAAAAATATTTCGCTCTTTGTTTTTGGGAGAAATTTAACCGATATTTTCGTATATTTTTTTTTATTTTTTTCAGAAAATCATGATTAGAATTATAGAGAAGCCATTAAATCTTCTTTGTCAGTTTATCAATCTTTATCATTTTGATTTCTTAAATTAATATTTAGTTTGTGGTTGACATTTGATGATATTGCGGATGGCAAATTCGCTGTTGGATTTGGTGAATTTATTGATATAGCTGAAGAACAGTATCACGTTGGGCAAATGGTCATTTATCGATAATTTTGTAATTTACATATTTTAGATTTTTAATTTGAATTTGCCAACGTAAACTTTTTAGTTTCATTTTTAGTTTAAAATTTGTATACCAAATTAAATATTAAATATATATATTAAATATTCATATATATAATATAAATTATTTTATATATAATAATTATAAATAATAATATAATATAATAATAAAAATTCTTTTAAACTTTTCCATTTTTAGCCTTGGAACCGTAACAATTCCACGTTGGCCATAAAACTTATCGATTCCGATGATGAATCGGATGATTATATTTTCGTCCAGACGGCTCAGAACTTTGTAAGTTTTTTTTTGCGAATTAAATCTAACAGGATTGCAATTTTGTTGAAATTGTGAAGCAATATACGACCCAATATGAAGGGTGAAACGTAGCTATAAAACACCACTAATATAGGCTGGAAAAAAATACGCATGCATAAAAAGTTTATTGATGTAAACAGATAATTAGAATGTAAACAGATTAATATTAATGTGGTAATTATCACAAAAACTGGATCGTATTTTTCATAAATTTCCTATATTTCAGATCTCTAATGCCCGTGGTGTCACTGTTGACCAACGGACAGTTTATTGCAGTGAATTACCATTTCTGACATTTTCTTTAGCTTACTTACACGAACCAAGAAGGGTTGTTGCTGGACAACACATAACGTTTAATGCATTTTTATGCAACTTTTCAAAAACATATGTTATTAGTTCTTATACTATTCTACCTGATCCTCCTCTGATAACTAAAAACTCTAAGTTTGGAACTGTTAAAATGGTTAGTTTTTTCTCTTGTTGTTACATCATTGCCACGACAAGAACCACTATCTACTATACGGAACTCTTCCAATCGCGATTGATTAAAGAATAGAATAAAGGAATAACCGCATTAGAGGTAATCTGATTGGAGTATTAATTATCCAGAGAGTTCCATATGGCTAGATTCCTTCTACGATGTTAACATGTATTAGTAACAAAGAGCTCATATTTTTCGGTGAAGCGAAAAAGGTATTCTCCATTGGCGCACCGGACTCCCTTGCCTTATTTGCCAATTATAGAGTTCATTGTAACGGCATCATGATCTTCCTCGATTATAAGCCACTATATATTATTTGAAAAAATAGTAGCTAATAATTTATATGTTTTACAATAATTTATGAAAATTATTATTCTGTTTGTAGTACATTATTTCACTTATAAATTTATTTAATTTTCAGTTTGAAATTGGGCTAAAATCAGTTAAGGATTTGCCTTATGGATATTTTTGGTCTAAGAATAAAGTCTTAGGCTTAATTCACGATTCAAAAGGATTATTGCTTCCGTTTTTATTAAATGATAATTTAAAACATGATATAATACAAGTATTTGTTGTGGATACAGGACCGAACGCATTCAGTAGATTTGGTGTAAAAGAACTGTGTGATAGTGCGGTGGAAAAAATGAACAAAACAAAGCTGCGAGGATTTGTATTTTTTCGTTTATTTAAATCTTTATTTGAAATTATAAATGAATCACAATTTTTTTTAAAATTTTTTAGAAAAATTTTTTATACAAGAGTTTTTATGATGAATATTTAAAAACTTATTGGAGACGAAATTGTAAAAGAATCCTTCAGAAAGCATATTACAGATTTTCCATTTTCCATGTATGGCATGGGTATTTTTGTATTTTTTTCTTCTTTCCCCAGTTTTACCCAGCAAAAAGTATAAAAATAAAAAATCAAAAATCGTTAAATTAATAATCAATAATCATTTTTTTTAGCAACCATTGATGAATTTGGAAGGTATTTTCATTGGCCATCACATGGTTCTTGCTCCTCTTTATTCTACATTACCCATTTCATTCACTGCTTTGTCGAAACAAGGCTGGCAGCATTTGGACGTTGGTACATGGATACAGTTTAATGCTGAGAGTCCTCCGGACAGACTTGATTTTAAAGTTTCTGATTGGAAAATTTGTCCTCGAAAGCGACCTACAGTAAAAGTAGTCAAAATTGGTGACAAATACATTGTTAGTTTTTTGGCTCCAAAATTAAATTTAGATTGGAAATATCACTGAGCTATTTGGAGTGAAGTGGAATACCTTATTCAGTCTAAAATTTTTCAAGGTAGTTTGAGAGCTATTCGGCTATTCGTTATTCATATGTTTCTGCAAATTACCAAAGGGCTAAAAAGTAAAAGTATTACTGTCATGGGTAAATAAATAATTAGGATAGATAAGATAGATTGTCTATCTCTTAATTAGATTGTTTTTTTCATTAATTATTTTCAGTTTAATGTTACTGCATATTTTATACCAGCACTGCGCGTATTATTTGCGGAAACGTTTAAATTTATTGAACTTCCACAAGAACGCATATTAACTACATTAAATAATCTGAAAAAAGAATCCGTAATTAATATATGGATTCGTGAAAATGTTGAATTCGGGAAACGCACTCGTTTTGTTTTACATTCATTCAGTGAACCCCATGAGGTATTAATTTTTTTAATTTGGTAGTGATTGGATACAGGATACGAAGTGTAATTTTTAAATAAATTATATTAAAATGTTATCAGTTAAGAGGATAATGGCTCAGTAGGTTAGTGGGTTGTTTGTTTCATTTTAAAGCTGCATTGTTTAGGTTCTGCTCGCAAGATGCTCGCATTTTTATTTAAAGCTTTGTAGTTTGCTGGCAAAATTTCGGTAAATGCAGGAAATCTAACCTGAAATAGTAAATGTACTAAAAAAATTCCCGAGTTCAGTAGCAGCTTTATTGAAGTTATAGTATGAAACCATTGTATTTTATATATAAGCATTTTATAATTTATAAGCAAATGTACTCAATACAGAAAATAACTCCGTTCACAGAATTTTATCAGTCTATTGGAATATTTATTGGCTTTTACTTAATGTAGCTTTACACGAGATAGAACCTGAAGTTTGGACGATGCATATTTCGTAGTGTTTTGGAAGGTTTAAACGATTTCTCGAATATTTGCTGAATTAAATTTAGAGCGTTATTGAATTTTTAAGGATTTAATGGAAGATGGAACTGAAAAAAACATCAGGCATCTTGAGCAGTCGAAGGTCTATTTTATTATTTTTCTTCTTGTTTTATTTGTTTTATTTATTCAATATTTATTTTGCTTATATAAAAAAATAAAACTTGAAACTTCAAAATTGCACTCTGCAAATCCTTATATAGCAGTTCTTTTTTTGATACATCGATTCTTTCTTTGTACAATAGGCTTTTTTGAATATTTTGAATAATTAATAAATTAGGTCAGTTTTTATAGATTGACCAGTGTATTGATCAGAGATGTGGAGGACGCGAATTACTTCGTCGTTGTCTCAACAGTTCACAAATATTAGAACATTTTGTTAATTTATACGCGAACGATCTCCTTCCTCGTATGCTCTATGCTGTACTTAGGGAAAATTGAATCACATGGTATATGGTATATGGGAAAGTTGTAATATATATGTATATAACTTGCTCAATTGTTAAATTTAAGTTAATAAAATTTTAGTTCCAATTATAATAATTGGTAAACCTTAATATCAGAAAATATCAAAAATTTTTAATGGAAGATTTTTTTCTTGTAACATTTTTGATTAATTATTTTCTTTGTCGTCCTTTTATTTATTTTTATAGGATTTATTTGGTTTATATACAAAGTCAAATGGGAAAATATTTTTATTGAAGCATAATATTATTTATAAGATATTTTTAAGGATTCAAGATAAATACCCATGGAAAACCCATTTTTTGCCTAAATTTACCAGTAATTTGAAAAGTTACCTTAATTACTTTTTCATACAATAAGTTGCAATTAATTTCACTTTACAGTTGAGCATCAGTTTTTTTTATTTAAATTTGAATTTGTTTTTCGAGTAAAATATGTTTGAATTAAATTGCTTTATTTGCTCACTTAAAGAGGATTTGAAGAGTGATTTTCTTGGATTTGTTGAAACTAGCTGCAGTTTTTTTTTAAACATTCATATAAGCAAGCTTGAAGATTCGCAAAAGGTCTGACATTATCGGCGTCCGCTGCTTTAAGGCCACTGCAGATATAAGCGTAAGCTAGCTTAGAATCCAAGTCAACGCGTACATTTTGTCCACCATAACCTGAATGACCGAAGTTCCAATTTCCCTGGAATATGCGCTATTAATATTGGCACGGAAGGTTTTTTTCATGGTTGAAGTGAAGGATTTTGAATTCGTTTGAAAATCTCAGCCATTTTGTAATCATAAGATCCAGTTTTATTTTTATCGATTATTTTTCAGATTATACATTTTCCACCTTTTTTTGAGGGGAATCGGAATTCGGATTTCTAGAACTCTATTCATTTTTCAGGTTTGTTGCATTTTTTGAATTTTAGAAATGAATAGAATGAATAAAAATCTTAGAAGGAAATCAAATAATAAGGCATATATTTTTACCAATGTGTTTTTATTATAAATCCATCCAAATCCTTTATTTTCTGGATAACCGTTTATGATGTCCATTTCGTCAAGTTGTGGATATTGGATTTGGCGGAGAAATCGTTCGGAGAGAAGCTTTCCTTCAACGATCAATGAATGGACTTTTGCGAGATCCCGCGCTGTTCCAATTCCCATATTAGACGCCATAGGAATTCTTCGATTTTCCAGCTTGTTATACTATTAATAGAGAATGATTAATATTTTTATAAGGCTAATAGCTAAGGCTAAGGCTAACTTCATGCAACCTTCATGCAATCAGTACCTCTTAATCTTTTCCTTATCCTTTTTAAAATTTCCTTTCGCACATTCGTGAAAATTTTTATTGGAGAGATTGAACTGTCGATGGTAATTTAGCCTTTTTCTTCTTCTTCTTCTAACAATTCTCACCATTAATGGTTAGGCTGGATCTGCTGGCTACAATGGTATGACGTCTCCAAGTTGCTCGGTTGTCGCTAGTAGTAATAGGAAGTATTCCTTTTTCCATATATCGCTGCTTCTCCTATACGTTCAAAATCTTTTCTGACCGTTTCGATCTTGACTGACCCTCCTTTGACGCCAACCATCACAGAGTTTAGTAAATAAAGTAAAGTGGACGACAGAGAATACGCCCTAACCAGCGAAGGGGACGCTCTGTAATAGCATTATTAATATAGGTGGTATTTGCGCGAAGATGGATACTAATATGTGCGATTTTATCGGCTCGATTCTTAAACGTGGTCTGGGAGATAGAATGGCTAATGGGTTGTGCCCAATGCTCAGTTGGGATCGCCGATGCTCGATTTCCCGCTGGAGTAAATCTTACAAATCCGGGTTATGCTGACGGCTTTATTTCCAATTGGCCATGTTTACAGCCATATTAGCAAGATCGAGCGAATTGCACTTGTGTGGACTCGTATTTTTATCTTTATGGTGATTTCGCAACGATTCCATAAAGGCTTCATCAGCCGGAAACGTATTCCTAGCTGTCGTTATCCGAGTTGCAGTTTGATCCTTTGCCTGGCCACTTGGGATTGGAGTGGATCCAAGATATTTAAAGTTGGATATTTCCTCAATCTTCTATGAAGTGAGGATAAAATTGATGAAAAGGGCTATTTTATTAGCTTCTAGCATATAAGATGAAAATACTTTCGTTTATTTACATTGATTTTAAGTCCAATTCTCGCTCCAGTTATTGACACTTTGTTTAATTTGCATATTATTTGCATTTCATCAGTGTATTCAAGGTCTCTGTTGCTATGCTCTGGATTTCGACAGCTGTTGAGTATTGACAAGCGACGTCCATTATCCAATCTATCGCATAGTTGAATATTGTAGGGGAAAGGACGCAGTCCTGACGGACACCAGTTCTTATTTTGAAGTTCTGAGTCTGTCAGTTTCCTGATGTGCCAAGGTTTGCTGATAGAGTGCCTCTATCATTTACCAGAGCTCTGCTCTATCAATCGAATCCAAAATTGATAAAGCAAGTGATAATTTGGCATTAATTATTCTTTTTTGCTTTTATTTAAAAAAGCAGATTATGGAGGTTATTTTTTGTCAAAAAAGAGTCCATTCCATTGCTAAATATTTTTGTTGTGATAAGCATAAATTATGCTTGAGCAAAAGTGAAAAAGACTGATAGGAAAAGGAGCCAAAGTTTGAAAATTACATAATGATGAACCCAGGGTTAACAAAATATTTTATGATGATTCCTAAATTTTTTGCAATAATTCCTAAGAAATGATAAGTTTTTATATCTACATGATGAATTTGGATCCATGGCCAGCTTTCATATAATTTTTTATTATGAATATTATCGGCCAATTTATATTTTCTGGCTCCTTCTGGATTTTGTTCGGCTTCAAGTTTTATTTGCTCGTCAGTTATCGAAGTAATATATGCGACTCGATCGTTTTGCTCGTCATTTTCAAGCCCAATGGAAATTCCATTCAAACCTAAAACAAAAGATTTTTTAACAGTAAAATGAATTTAGAAGAAAGAGGCTGAAATCATTAAGGATGAGATGGATTATATGAGAATTTCGTAGTTCCTAACAATATGCTTACTATATGGTGTAGAACAGTGATCATCAAACTGGCTTATTCTCATTTCGGACGCCTTCTCGTCCTTTCAAAGAAACCGAAAGCCGGAAGCCAAATTCAAGTGAATAGTAGTAAATCATTTTTATTGATCATTTTATGCGATTTATTGTATTCATTCAAAACTTTTAGGTGGAAAAATTTAATATTTTAAAATATTGCTTTGGGGCTCCATGAATTTTTGTGGCCTTGTCCAGGAAGTCCGTGGAACAAAGATTGAACATTGGTGTAGAAGATTTTGAACCTATTTCATTAGTCAACGAATCGAACAATCGTAGCATATAAATAGTGGAACATGGCCAATGGTAATTAACTGCCTCAAGAAAAGATTAGTTAATTAAACCAAACAGATCCATTTATACTAAAGAAAATAAAATTTTTTAAGTTTCAATTTCTTTCTCTTACCATGTTTAGAGACTATTTCTTCATGGAAAAATTCGACGACACCTCTCTTCTTATCATCTAATCGGCGTACCAGTTGATCTACAAGAAATCCGAATGTTAATGCATGATACCCGCATTTTTCTCCTGGTTGCCATAGAGGTGTCATCCTTTCAAAGAATTTTGCCATCCTTTCGTGATCTAGCACATCGTTAACGCTAAGAATTTGATTATCATAAGGTAAACCAGCTTCATGTTGAACCACTTGCTGAAGAAATAAATGGAAGAGTAAGAAAAAGAAGAAAAATCGTCTTTTGTATTTTCATTGTAATATTTATTATCAGAGAAAAATTAAAGGAAAACTGAAAATTATGGCTGTAAATTTAACGGTTTTCCCACAAAAAATACTATGACCTTAGGGCATTTCCTATATTTTTTCCTACCTTAAGGAGTCTATTTCCGAATGTATCTCTCTACCCTCACTATGCAAGAAATCAGCGAAGGTATTTTTTTGTATTATAAATAAATACCTTATAAATACCTTTATCGTAATGCACCCCTTTCCGTTATTCGCAAATTTAGGCCAATATTTGCAAACAAGATCATCGTAACTTGCTTTTCCGCGATCAATTAAAATAGCAAGACATATCGATGCAAGGCTCTAAATAAGATAATATATAATTTATTCTCGTTTGCGGAAAATCCTTGCATGCATGCAACATGGAAAAAATGGATATACTTTAGTGGTAGAGAATAATATTGTCATTGTTTCTTCTCTCCAAGGCAATTTTTTATCCTTGTCCGAGTAACCACCATAAAGATCAGCGACAAGTTTACCACGATGATAAGCAGCAAATGCAGCGCCACTGGGTTCTAAGTTCATTTCAAAATTTCGCCTGCAGCTCAATTAAGTGATAAATTTAATTGATAAATGATAATTATATTTTGCTATTTTCGCTATTATTTCTTATTGTTGAAAATTTCTAAACGCATTTTTCAATTTTTCAATTTTATTTTTTTATTTTAAAATTTCCAATTTTTTAGAAAAAACAAATTCGACTTTTTTTAATTAACAAAATTAAATATTCAATTCAAATCTAAATTTATTCAAATTTTTAATATTTTATAAATCTTAAATCTTACTTAAAAACTTCTTTCAGCAAAGCAAATGATGGATGAGTGAAACCGTCCGTAGGAATATCGTCTCGCCGACTCTTGCAGTTTATTGATGCCATGCACCTGTAAAGCTTATATTCGCTTAAAGTTTTATTCCAAATTTCTGACTATTCAACTAAAAAAGAATGGTTTTAATAGAATATTAATATTATATAAGAAATTTGCGAAAAAATATTCAAAGATCTTAGCAGTCAGTGTAATCGTTCAAAGAAATAGTAAAGTCGTTATTAATTGTTCTTTTTTCGAAACAACGATCAAATCAATTGATAAGCTATCAAAAAGAATCAAATACTATTTATTATAAAGAAATTTGTTCTAAAAAAAATAATATTATCTATAATCTATACATTCATCATTCGTTTCTATTTTTGCATGATAAAAATTTTTATTTGCAGATAAAAATTTTTGCAGTTTCACCACTATCAGTCAGGATTTTTTTCCAGCTCATTTTTGCTTAGACTAGATCCATCAACTAACTAGGTTGAAACCTTTTTTCTGCATTAATTTTTAATAATGAGGCTTATAATCAATTCAAGCCTATTGATTGCAAAATAATATCTTATTATTTAATGATATTTGAAATAATTTTCGATAGTTATTATTATCAATTGCTTTTGGATTGATAATTTTTGCTGTTGGATAAATATATAAATTAAAACAAATTGAAAAATTTAATCAACGAAAGCGATGCCAATTAATCCATTAATAAATAATCTATTAAAAAAATAAGAAAAATTTTTTAATATTAATGAGGAAAAAGAGGAGGTATGAGAAATTTGGACGAATTTTATAGCTAAAATATATATAATAAACACTCGAAAATTTTAAGTAATATTTGCATGAGAATTTGCAAAATTTTATTTTATTTTAATTTTATTTTATCGTGGAAAATTTTTTTTTAAAAATTAAATTTTTAAAATTAAATTTTTTAAAAAAATCGAAAATATTTATATTTGATTTTAAAGTCGTTTTTTATCTTTCAGATGTATTCAGACGTCACAAATTCTTCTTTTAACAGTACACATATGTTTAGTTAACTTCGTCAAACTATAACGAATAGATGCTTTCATGAGGAAAATGCCACTTGGATTCCGTCACGAATGACGGATTCACTTCATAGCCAAAATAGCCAAAATGCTACGTCGAATTCAGCCATTATTTAGTTTGATTAGTTTGATTCAAATTGTTGCAGCAAATAAGACCAAAAGGCTGTTCGCAGAAGTTTTCCTCTTTTTGAAATCAACGATTGAATCCATCGCCGCCAAAGCCATTTAGGTTTCCCTCATCCAAAATTTTACCCGATTGCATTTAGTCATAAATTTTAATTTTTACAAAAAATTCAACGGTCTAATATTCAACGTCTCAACGTCGAGTTGAATGAATGAACACATAAAATTTGTAGTTTTTCCTTTTTTAAAAAGATCCACCATTAGTTGCAAAACATAGGGAAAAGGTATTCGTTCTCAAAATATTGCAAATATAGTAAAATTATGCAATGGGGACCGCAAATTTTATATGAAGGTGATCCAAGATTTGTGGCGTTAATCCTTGAAAATGAAAGAATAAACGAGGAATTTTCGATTATTCGTTGAAATTTATTCAAAAAAAAACTTCGATCTTTCTGGAAAAGTAGAAATAATAAAAAAAAAGAAAAGTATACTTAAAGGAAATCTTATGAAAAATGTTTATATAATTTATATTTATATTTTATATAAAAATATTTTTTATATAGCTTTTATATAATATAAAATTTATTCTAAGAATATTATCAATGAATAGAAAAGGAAAAAAACAAAAAACAACGGAAATTGTTTACAAATTATTATATTATTATTAAATATTATTATTATTATATATTATTATTAAAATTTTTTAAGGTTTTTTAAGAAATTTCGAGAAATCTTAAAATTTATTCGAAAAATGCTTCAGTAAAAATGCATAAATAAATGATGAAAAGAAGCTAACCTTGCATTGAACGAAGAGAATTTTATATTGGATTTAAATGAGCCAAAACGCCAAACCAAAAAAAATGCCATAATTTCTATTTTCGCGATTATCGGAAATCAGCTTATTGACGAGCAGAAAAGCTATAAATTTTAAAAATTCCAAGAATTTATTTAAATTAGAAATAAATTCTTCTTCGGAAATATTATAAATTTTCATGAGATATGATATGAATTCACGACTGAATGGTTTTCCTTATTTAGCTTTACAGGTCGTAAAACAATTCTGATCGAAGTAATAGAAATAAGGAGTGGAAAAGCCAACCGATTGTTGCTCAGATCACCATACTAACTACTTCGCTAGTAGCCAGCTGCATGACATGAATAAATCTATTACTGAAACTAAAAACTCGGATTTGTTGAGGATCTCCTCTTACTTCTCTATTTCCAAATGATTCACTTCAATGGCAAAACTGCCATATTTTTTGCAGTATCTCAAATTTAATCGCAGATGAATGCCAACCACTTACTTACTTAGTCACTTACCTAGTAACTGCAAACAAGCAGCAGTCAGAAAACTTTACTGTATTGCATAAAGAAATTCAATTCAAGTTACAAGATTATAAGACGATAAAAATTATCAAATTGCCATATCAAATTCATTTTTTTTCATTTCACCTGTTGTTCAGCAAATTGGTATTTTAAAAGAAATTTCGATAATTTTGATGAAATTAATAAAGGAAACTTTTAAAGTCTAAAAAATCAAAAAAAAAAGTCCGATAAGTCCTTAACAAAGGATAATTCTTTAAAATATATTCTAAGTATAACAAATGGAAATCACTCAATAATTTTTCAAAAAAATTTTCAACCAAAAAAAAAGTTTGGAATTTTATGCGAAAAAAGCGGAATTTTTTTTGAATTTGTTGAACAAAGTATGCTAATGGTACTAAACCTACAGGTACCAGGTATATTTGCTATATATACTAATTTAAATAAACTACAATTCTAAAGTGAATTTCGACCTTATTCGGTACTTTTCGGTTATTAGAGCCATAGTAAGATACAATAAATACCGAGGTAAAAAATACTGAAGTACGAGGTAGAGGAGTATTTGTTGCTTCCTTTTTTCTCTCTCTCCTTTTAAATGCGTGTTAACCCATCACAGTTTGGTTCCTACACAAATCGACCTTTTGCATCTATGTTTTCTCTCATATCACCGCACTAATTCCTCATCAATAAATGAATTATAAATGTAGAATTCGAAGGCCTGATAGTGAAGAAGTATTAGTATCCCCTTTTTTCTAGCACCACTTAATATTTTTGACTTAAATGGCTAAACTGATCGCTAAGGTGAGATTTGTTTGCCATAGAATCACTTGGGAATGGAAGTGCTCTCCAAACAAATATTATTTTATGCGATATAAATACTAATATAAAATTATCACTAAAATTGTCGCTTAATTCATATTTAATTATTTACAAGCTAATTGATAATAATTTCGAAATAAGAAAAAAATTTAAATTTATTGAAGAAAAAAAGAAATATGCCAAAAGTCAACTAAAGATAAGGCAAAAATTTTATGATGAACTTGAATAAATATGGATTGTTTAAATTCCGAATGTGCCTTTAGGATGGATTGAATGAACGCCTATCGATTCCAAGTGCATTCATTCGGTCATAAAATATGCCCAATTATTGGTTATTATGTTAATACAAATTCTTTTTTTTTTAGCATATTATTTCAAAAAAAATCGAAATTTATAGTTTATATTTAAATTTGACCTTTTATATGACCTTTCTATTTACGAACTTTCAAATGGCGTATTTGATTTGATTTACCTAGCAATAAGGATTAGATCTGCTCGACTTTATTTCTAAAATTTCTAAAATTCATAAAATTCATCCAATATTATCTGATAAATAATTTTGTCTTTTGTCAATATTGGCAATATTTTTGACATTTTCAATAATTGCCATTTTGATATTTTTGTCATTTTGGCACTTTGACATTTGTAATTTATGAATGCTATGCTAATAACTTTTATTTTTTCATTAATTTTTCAATTAATTAATTAATTAATCTAAGCTATACAAAATTTACAAATTAAATTGTAAATATATTAAGAATAAAAAAATTTAATTTATTTTTCTTTGGTTAAATATGCAAATATGCAGAATTGCTGAATTTCTTATAAAAATTTCTTAATTCGGATTGCAAATTGTTACGAAAGAATAAATAGCGGTGTTCGTCAGTTGCTTTCAGTACAATGAATGAATGCGTTCATAAATTAAATTATTGAAAATCTTTTATAAAAAATCATCGTTTCAAATCTACGATCGTAAATAAGCAAATAAGCGGCTGTTAACACTGATTATTCGTGGTTGAATTTACTCTCAACTAACTGTTAGTTAGTAGGAATTATGAAATTTGGCACTACTCATAATGCAAAAATCAATCCTACAAATCCTACAAATGTTCTTGGATTTTTTTTTTGAATTATCATAATTAGCAAAATTTGCGCTTAAAAAAGATTTCTCTACAATAATAGAACATTTGAAGTGAGAAAAAAAAAGCATGCTTTCTTAAGCTTATAAACCCCTTAAAAAATAAATACAAAGCAAAAAATGAATACGATAAAAAAAATAATAATAAGTAATAATAAGTAATAATAATAAGTAATAATAAGTAAAAATAATAAGTAAATAATAAGTAATAATACGTAAATAATAAGTTAATAATAAATAATAAATATTATAAGTATAATAATAAGTATAATAACAAAAATAGTAAGTAAATAATAATAAGTAATAATAAATAATAAGTAAATAAATAATAATATGTTAGCTAGAAGTCACCGAGTGGGGTCAGCAAATTGCATTTGCGCTAATAGTTAGAAGAAGAATTGAGCATCTTTAAAAGAATGGAAAATTATGAACTTGAAAGTTATAATAACATAAAGAAACCCTCTGTGGATGGTATAGGACGTCCCTTAAACTCGAGTCCATTATCAGAGGCCTGGGAACTTGAGGACTTTGCGCAGAAATATCTTAGATATCACTAGCATTTTACTCCTCCCTGCAGAGATCTTTGATGTTGTTCCTTGAGTCTGCTGAAGCCATTCCTTTTTTAGTTTAGGGATCACAATTCAAAGCGCTTCTATCACCATTGGAACTATTTTGACCTTTATTTTCCACATGTCTTTAGTCCCTCTTTTAGGTCCTCGTTCTCTGGCTTCTCATATTTCTTCCTCATGTTTCTGTTTGATATTGCTACTTATTCACAATATCTGGTTAATCAGTACCGGCCTGTTTGGATAAAGAAACTTCATAGAACGTTATTTTCGCTACGATTTTCTGAGGATCTTGGAAAACTATAAGTTATATACCAAGCAAATATTCCTGTAGACAGTGCTAGCTACTTGAATATACCTTCCAGTGTTGTTCTTCCTGCCTATATTTTAAATTTTCCCACTATGTATTAGACTATTTCTGATGCTTTTTTGAATAATTTGCACCTTTTACAATCCGTCCTGTCTAATAGGACATTTCTCAATGTCAGCAACCGTACTACAATATATATTTTTATAAAATATGAAAATTTATAGAATCGATGAATGTATAAAACTAAAAATAAAATCAAAATAATGTAAATAAGTCAAATATTATTTTTAATGTGACATTGAAAAATTGTGCTTTGGAACAATTCGCATTCGTCAATAGCGATAATATTTATATTCAATAATATATAAATATATTAAAAAATATAAAATTTTTAGATTATATAATTCATATTAATATGAATATTTTAAAATAAAAGGATTGGTTAGAAAAAGATTGGAAAAGAAATTATAAACTTTCCGATAAATTGTAAGAAGTCAATTGAAGTCTGGAAAAATCATTCCTTCATATTCAGTTTCAATGTTGCCGATACTAAACAATATTTTATTCCGAAGAAATTGGTTAATCTATGAAATTATAAGATAAACTGATAATTTGATAAACATTTACAATTCGAAAAATTTTATATACAATTATAATAAAAATTAATTAATTAACATAATTATAATAAAATAATAAAATATAAACTAAACAATATAAATAATTTTGCGAAAGTCTCAACGAATAATCAATATAAAACATAAATTTTGGCGAATATCAATAATATAAATGTTAAACTTTTTTATAGAAAAATAAAATAAATTTTCAACATTTTTTTTTTCTCGCTTGCAAGATTTTTCCACATAAAATTTAAATAAAATATGAAAATAATAATAGTAAATTTAGAACAAATTATTGTTTAATGTCAGTTTATTGGATTTAAATTTGATTTGTAACGATGGAAACGAGTTTATCCCAAAAGATTATTGAGGTCGCAACAAGGAAAAGAGATTTCACTATTCATCTAAACAAAGAATTTAACGCAAAATATTTAAAAAAAATAAGAGTTTGAAAGATCCACGAAAATCCAAATCCAAATTTTAAAGCCTTTTTCTGTTTGTGGTACCTGGCAATCTATGAACAGTGCATTTATCATAATTATTTATATCCAATAATTTAATTTAATTTTTTCATCTATGTTACTGTCTTATAAGGCGACTTCCAAGGATGCATTCTATCGCGGAGCTTTGAATTAGGTGCAGTTAAAATTCTTCTAAAGAGCAAAGAGCAAATGAGAGCATTTTGCATTTTTCTAATATTAAATTATATCAAAAACCCAGACATTTTCTCGCTTCATTGATTTTTTAAATGATAACGGCTGATATTTTATCAATTCAAAGGAAAATAAATCACTGGGGACCAGAAATTCAAGAAAAAGTGATATTCTTTGGATGATTTTAAATAAAATGTTTTCTAAAATTTTAAAGTTTAAAATTAATCATGGAAAAATGACAAATGCGAGATATAAATTTTAGATAAATTTTTTCTGCAAAATTCTTATATCTTAATTAATATTAAAATGCTTTTTATCCATTAAAAAAGCAAAGCAATAAATTAGAAATGCATTAAAAATTTTCCGCTTTTGCGTTAGAAATTAGCAAAAATAAGAATCATAAAGAATCTTTCCTTAAAGAAAATCATCGCAAAATGCTGATGACGAAAGAAAAGTATAGAAGATCCGTTTGATGACACTTTCGATGACCATAGAATTCGCAGTGAAAAGCCGGAATCATAACGAGAACGAAAACTGGAAAATAGCGATGGTGGTTATTCGACGCCTTTCTCCTTGGCAAATACAACCGGTTTATATGGTCCACTCGCTTTACACGATTCGTGACAATGGCCATTCCTGAATGCGTTGCTTCTTGTTGCTGATTTTATGCATCTGTAAAGCGAAAACTCAAATAGCGCCGATTTCTTCATTATTATCTGGTACTCTTAATGGACTAAACGCAGCAGCCGGAGGCGGTAATGGCCTAGGCCAATTACTTGGCAATATTGGAAATCGTAAGTTATTTTCCGATATAATTAGCATTTTTCTAAAATCCATAATAAGAATTTTTCGATATAGTTAATAATTAGAAGTCAATTAATTTTACTAATATTTAAATTCGTCTAAAAATTGTTTAATTCTCACATTTCCTATGAATATTTTACGATTTTTTTTTGCAAAATTAAGAAATATTATGCCAATGTTTACATAAAATTTAGAAGTTTTGTAATTTTTTTCTCCTTCATAGTCCACATTTTTTATAGATGAATCGTTATAAAAAAATGTTTGCTATAATTTTTCGCTATTTTTCGCTCTTTTTTCGCTCTTATTATTATAATTCTTTATTATAATTTATCATTAGAATATGACATCGAACGTTATAACTTATCGTAATTTATTGTAACTGCATTCTATTTGAACAAATATTTGCTAGAGACCGTACTGCACTTCTATTCCGGAATGCCTATTGCAGAATTATCTCAACCTATTAACTAGAAATGGTACTAATCATTTTCTTACTATAGTTCTAAAAACGGATTTAGCGGTTCCTCATTAAATAATATAGATGATTAAATTTTCTTATTCGTCTTTATACACCATCAATAATTTTTTTCTATAACTTGTTTATTCGTCAACTTTTTTTTTTGAACTGGATATATAATTTACAGTGTATCAACTTGCTCAAACAGCTTTGCAACTTACCGGTACTGGTGTTGGCATCTTAAATCAAGCATCAGAAGGACGATGGTTCGAAGCTCTTCTGGAAAGAACTGCTAGTGTATAAGAAAATTACTGCCTAAAATTATCGTCTAAAAAATCTACCTGGAAATCCAACGGGGAATAAAATGAACTTAAAAACGAATTTATTAAAACGAACTTTTCAGTTTCATTCCAAATTCAGATATGAAAAAACTAGTTGAAAAGTGCTTCAATGGTTCATAAAAATTCAGATAAGATCCACTTATTTTGTATTTCCATCGCTTTAGATCATTTGCACCATAATAACTCTGACATAATTATATATTTACCGTATCATTTGATTGCAGAATCCATTCTTGAATCCATTCCAATATCCACCTCAAATTGCAGGACCAAATCTAAATGTCCCGCATGGTAATTTTTTTTGAATTTTTTTTTCCTTTTTTTCTTCTAGAATCCTTTTTTTTAACCATCAGCTATTTCAACAATCGCACATTTTGTCTGTTTAATTTCCTTATAAAATAAAATTAGATAAAAATAATTTAATTGATTTAATAATTTAATTTAATTTAATTTAATTGATAATTATTTATCTAAAAACTTTTTAATCAGCGAATAAATTTGCCATAGCTTCAATTTGAATGATAATTACTTTTATCTTATCATATTTCAGATTTTAAATGAAGTAATTTAGGAGGAAGCTTATTAAGAAATCGCCCAGATATCGATAGTCTTGGAATAGAAGCAAATTTATTAGGAACTGAATTTCCTCCGCCAAAACCTGAAGATTATGATGAAGAAAGTTCTAGTACGATCGTCGAAAATTTAATTGAATTCACCACTGAACAAAGTAGAACTAAAAAAAAGGGTGTAACACTTTTCCCTGAAGAGGTATCCATTTATCATTATCATTTATCACTTAATGTTCACTTATTCTTTTCTTTCAATCAACAATATCTCTTTATTTACAATCAAAATAATTGATTGTAGTGAACTATCAGCGTAAATTTTAGATATTATTTAAATTTTTTATATTTATAATCCCTTAATAAATTTAATAAATTTCGAAAATTGGGGTCAAATAGATGATTATAGATGCACTTAGCAATTTGTAATGAATTACGCAATTGAACTTTTTGCATAATAAAACTATTTAATTCGAGAATGATTTTCGAGAAAAATTGGTTAATAAAATACCAATTTTATTTTAAATTATTAATTCTACAAGTTGAAATTTTCTAGCGAATCGAAGGAAAATTTTAATTTCATTTCTTTATTTATCATTTATTTTTGGCTTATAGAAAATTGAGAAAAAAAATAAGAAAAATGGAGAAAAAGAATTTATAAAAAGAAATAAAAATCTTTCATCTGCCGAAGATTATGATGAAATAATTAAGGAAATTGATGAAAAAGAATCCTTTAATATCGATGGGAATAATGAGGTAATTTTTCGTGTTTCTCTTCCCAATGCCCTTAGGCGTTTCAATGCTTTTAGATGCTTTAATGCTCTTAAGCATTTTATTTTTTGGAAAAAAATATTAATTTTTAATTTTTTTACAATTATTAAAGAAATTATTTTCGTCAGCTTTTGTTTATTTTGCTTGTTTATCAATAAATCAGCAAATCAGCGAACTAGTTTTATGTGCAATTTATGAAAATAAAGGATCTGTGTGGTTAAAAAAATTGACTATCGATATCATTAATATCAGTATTTCTTAAAAAGCTTTGTAAAAAGTTGTCGTGATCCCTTCTTAAATTTAATTGAACTTTAGAAATTTTTTGATTAAAATTGCATAAATCAGTGAAATGACCTTTAACATCCTCATTTGACCTTTAAAATCTTCAGAACCACTTTTAATCTAAGCCCAAAATGCAACTAACGCCAACCATTTTACAAAAAAAAAACAACTGTGGTTTTCTTCTGTGGTTTTTTCCATGCTAAAAATCCAATCCCTATATTAAAATCACCTTGAAAAATTTAGGACTATTCGAAGGGTTACCTTGAAAATAAGAATAAGAATTAATCTACATATATTTAATATGAACAAATGTTCGGAATAATGAGTAGATTGACCTTGATATAAATAGTTTGGCATTATAATTTCCTATTATTCTATAGGAATGAAACAAAGTATTCTAAAAAATCTCGTTGAATAAAATTTTAACAAAAAAAGACAAACGTAATTTATCATTTTATCATTTTGCGTTATCATTTTGCTTCATTTTATCGATTTATCTTCAAAAATTTTATCATCTAAATATGTTCTTTAGTAAATGATTAAATTGATCTCCTTTTCCAGAACTGTCTTAGAATTTACCATTTCTATTTATTCTATCAGCTAAGCAATAAGATTGAACACTTTAGAAAGTTACTTGGAGATTTTTTATTTTATTTCTTACTATGTCTGGTTATGCTCGCTCCGCTAGGGGCTCACTTGGAGATAGAAATATAGATAGGTCGCTAGTACAATTCGGATTTTTTAATGATAGATTTAATACAGACGGAGTGAACCCAGCCAACCAGAGGTAGAGACTTGAAATAATGAGCAATATACCACTCGGATATGTTGCCTATCACCTATTTTTAGTTAATATAATTCTAATCAGGAACAATTCGAAACCCTTACTCAGTGCTTTTTTGTTATGAGTCCATCTTCTTGGCTTATAGCCTTACCTCAATTATTTTTCTTAGCACAAACACTGGAAGATTATCGTTATAAAAGAAATTATTTTAAATTTTATATAGAATAGTTGAGTCAAATTTTGGATTAATCCGTTGCTGTCCTAGAATTATATTCGCAAATCAAGAAAATTTCTGATACCGGATTTCCAAATTTGCATTTGACTTTAGATTATCGGAAAAGATGAATTTATACCAACGAAAAGCAAGTTTAATGAAGAAGAAAAAGCCAAATTGGAAATATTGGATCGCCACCTTGCAAAACTATCAAAACTTATTGAGATATTAGAAGAAAAAAATTTAACTAATGAAAAACTGAATCGTATTGCTTTGAGTATAAAAAATGAAGATGGAACATATCGAAATTCGCGAGTTCCAGAAAAAACGTTCGCAGCGAAACCAACCGTTCTCAGGTCTTTCTTCACAACAATAAACTTTATTTCATCTTTTCCTAGAAAAATTTTTAATTTAAAATGAAAAATTTATTTTCACCAAATCTAAAATATAAGCTGGCAGAGGTATATTGTTGCTTTCTCCTTTCGAAGTGTTTGATGCTGAAGTTTTAGTTCAAGCGGAAGTACATTCAAAAATTCTTTCAAAAATTCAGATGGTGCTTATGATCCACCTACATTTGCTAAATGATTTTCTGGAAAAATTCGTCTGAGCGCCAAGAGGAAAGCAGTGGAAAGAATCTAGCTAGAAATGATGGAGGCATTTAAAAAAAATCTGGAATCTGAATTTTGAAGTCCTGGGAAGAGAGTGAATAATGATAATAATTAAAAGGGAAATTTTAAGATTAAATGCGATCCGTTTGCCAATTTCTGGAATCAGAAATCTCGACTCTCAGTCAAACACCGTAAAAATTATCCCAGTTGATCCAGCTGAGAACATGATTATTGCTCGTCATACAAAGCCGAATCGACCGGAAGGAAATCATGCGATTCGGACACTAGTAATAATAAAAATTAACAGTTCGCTTAACTTAAGCGGAATATAAACTAGGCGATCGAAAAACAAACCTTTAAAAAGATAATTTCTAGGAATTAAAGAAATATTTTATTAAAACTTTTACGAATAAACAAAATAATCGCATTATATTCTGAAATTCTGGATTTTGAAAATTTTACGAAATATATTCAACATTTCAACTAATTTATTTTTAAGCATAGTGGTCGACAATCTACAACTGTCAATTTTTTTCGACGAAAATATCCACGACGAACAGTTCCAACAAGAAATATACCTTTTCGTAATACGACACCATTTTATCACAATATCAATCAAAGGCCACAAAGAAGATCACTTTCGAGAACTAATATTGGTAAAATTTTTTTATTAATTTATAGAATATAATTTCTTTTTCTAAAATCTAATCACTAGAATGCTTCTAGAATGGAAATTGATTAATTTTTTCAAGCAAAAAATGACAATGAAAAATTTCGCATAAATAATGATAATGATAATGATAACAATGATGACAATTTTATATTTAAAAAAATTACAAAATGAGCTAATCAAATAGAATTTTAGCAAATGTTAGTCAAGAAAAGATTACTGTATCTTTTAAAGATAAAAATTTGGCCAATTCAGCAATTTGACATTTATAGGATCTTTTCATCGACAATCAAATCTTGTTTTCTAACTAATAATTAATTGCGTTATACTTCAAAATTATCAGCCGGCACATCCAACTGATTTGCACCAAATATGCCTTCTTTAAAAGTCGTTCAAATATTACTGCAATATCATTATGGAAAAAAGAAACAGATGGCCGGCCTATGATCAATTTATATTGCTCTGCTCAACATTTGCTCGACTAAGCTAATTATTATCACTTACAATATAGATATAGGTATCGTATGGGTTTTAGACTAACAAGCTATTGCTGTATATAACGAATACGCGCAATTGTCAGATATATAACTTTGTTGCGCCATGTTTGTATATAAAATAATTTTTTGTATAAATTTTCAGCAATATTATTTAATTTACTTTCTTAAATGCCAATTTTTGCAAATTCGATAATTATTCATATATTTACTTAAATAAAGAAAAAGCTGATTATATAGCTATGCAATAGCAAACTTAATAGCAAATTTATCATATCATTAATAACAAAAATAATGGGAAAAAATTAAGATAATAGCTTTAGAGTAGGATGCTCATTTATTTCATATCACGAAATTGAATTTTTTATTAATGAATAAATTAATAATAAATTTTTATTAATAAATAAATAATTTTTATTAATAAATTTTCTCTAAAACATTTATCTTTTATTAAGTGTTATTAAGTTTATTAAGTTTAAATCAACAAAATTTAAATTTTTAATTTATTTTAGCAATATAATAAATATTATATTGTAATTAAAAATTTAGAATTTATAATATTAATAAAAAATAGGTAAATTTTTGAAATACAAAACATTTTCTATCTTAATTACATAATATTTGAATAATATTTTGGTGATCACTATTAGAAAATGGTTTCAAGGCGATTATCCATATACGGAAGTGACTGAAGTGAAATAATGATAATACCCAAGGTTTCTTATCTCTACTGGGAGCATTGATGCATTGTTCCAGGTAATTGTGAACAAGCAAAACATTCTTCAAACATTCAAAAACATTCTTGAATTCAGATTTAATAATTTATTTATGTAAAAGCCTGCACGAACTATAATGAAGGCAAATCCTGATCTTTAAATGCGGTGACTATTAAATGTTGTTATGGTGACGAATAAAATGATCACTTTCGATAACACCAATCGTCACCAAAGTAAATTAATAAATGTTCAACAAAAATGCTAATGGTCATGTGGATCTAGTTTATATAGCAGAAATTTCTTTTTCTCCTTGTTACCATTACTAGTTAGGCTGGCTCCACTAGCTACAAAGGTCTCCAAGCTGCTCGGTCTGATGCCATTGATACAGCAGAAACAAAGGTGATTGGTTATAAATTATGCAATAGAAAATATAATTGATGATGGCAAAGGTCGGGTATTTACCACATTCAAAAATTGCCAGGTCACTGAAAATCAAATAAAAATGGCAAATAAATTAATTATATTGCTAACGAATGATCTTACAAATCTTATTATAATAATTTATGGATTGTACTCACGAATACGGAGAGCTAGGCAGTTGATTTTCAAGAACACCGGAATCACCAGAATCGAATGGAACTAAAGAACAAGAAGTGACTGAGGCTGCGAAACCAGAAGTGTCTGCAATTGAGAATCCAAGTGAAGCAATCATGAATCAACAAAATTAGGTAAAAAATGTGAAAAACTAAATGAAGAAGAGGAAAGGAAAATTACAGCGAAGATTCCACAAGTACCTAAAGCATTCAAAAGTATTTCGTTTCTCTTTTGCTCAATTTTTTGATAATTTTTAAAAAAATTTATTAAATTTGTTTCCATCGTTTTCTCTTGGTTTTACTACTGTTTTCTTGGCATATAATTTCTTAAACAAAGAGAAATCGCGTCCAATGATTATTCTTAAAATCAGTAATAAATTGATAATCATATAACCATTTGAAATTTGAAGTAAATTCAATAAAAGATTTCCAGTGGCGCATATTCTTATCATATCGATAAGCAAAAGAGATATAAGAAATTTTATTTGCTTTCATCTTTCTTGCTTCAATAATTTCTTTTTCTTCTAACAGTTCTTATCATTTCTATTTAAGCAAACTCCATTTGCTATTAGGAAAACATTATTAGGCCAGAGAGATTAGATGAAATGGTGGATGTTCAGTACATCAGGATTTCACACTTGATGACAGGCTTATCTTTTATCAAAACATAAGAATCGAACCGGTTGGCCTAATCTTAACTGAAGCAACATGCCATTCGATTATTATACCATCTTATTCATTAAAAAATATTTTAGATAATTAAAAGTGACAAAGGTTGAATGCGGATCACTAAAAGTTTCAAAACGTTGATAATAGAGATTATCACATGAATATAATTATATGGTTATATGATTTTTATCAAAGGTGATAAATTTCTATAAATTATAAAACTCTTTAGAGTTTAGAATTATCACCATGTTTCTTAAAATTTATGGAAAAAAGTGAATGGTGCTGAATAAAGTGCATAATACATCCGATCGGGAAAATGCTTCAAAAACAAAGGATTCCGTAGAAGACAATGAATTTCCTCCACGTTGGAATCTTTCAGTTTTTATTTACTGGAAGAAAAAATCCTAAAAAAGCTGAAAAATTAAAAAATGAGCTAATAAAAATAATAATAAACAAAAAAATAACAATAATAATAATAAATAAAAATAATAATAAATAGGTGATTTTCCAGCACCAATCCAGATTTTGCCTTTAACAGTATATTTATAATTAAATCGTATGTATGATGCTTGATTTCAGTCAAAACAGTGTTCACTCTATAGTTTGATTGTCGGTGTTCATCATTCCACTGATAATAATAATCACTTGTCACTGACTTAACCAAGAATATACATGGAACCTGTCTAAAACAACTGAAAGTTAGCATAAACAAACAAGCAATCAAGCCAAAGTCCCATTGTCAATTTAGTTTTCACGTAAAAACAATAGGACAATTGATCAGTGCTAAATTAGTACTGATCCATATCACATCTGCATGGATATAACGACACAATAGTAAGCATAATATGGTACGGATTTTTATTAATCGCGATTACTGATAAGAAATGAATGAACTGATATAGGCATTCATCTTTAGTTATACCATTAATAAGGATCGATGAAGCCAGAAAAGCTAACAAAGATAATTTTAGAGGAACAAGAATACTCGCACACAAGTGAAAAGCACAAGCATAGTCTTGTTGATAAATGATAATCAATTATCTATTAACACTGGCTAATAACTTTTTATTATCACGGCCGCGTATTCCTTTCTCACAAATATTATTGCGCTGCAAAATATCTAATTTTTAAATTTCACTGAATTTCAAGTACGATGGTTCGCGTAAAAAAAGTGCTGGCAGGGAATGTGCTTTGTTTTACGCGAATGTAACTACGTTTTTCTCCAGAAATTTGGCGATGATTTTATTAGGTCAGCAATTATTTAAATTATTTAATTCAATTTGCATATAGCTGCTCGATATTCGCGAACAAATATAATTGCAAATGAGAAATTATTTATGAATTTAATAAAATCATTAGTTTGGACGCGGATTTCGGATTTGTGCGAATTTTTTAAATTCATATTTATTAAGCCATTAGGTCAACTGGTTGGCTCCGCCAGGTCACTGATTAGTTCACCTGAATTAGCGAACTGGCTGGTTTGATCAGCTGACGACCATCTGATTGTTGATAGGTTCCAAGTTAAAGGGAAAAATAAAAATAATAAAATAAAATAAAATTCTGTTTGGTTAGTCGCTTTGGTTTTTATCGTCGATAACCTGAAATGAACTCAGTTTTCACTGCGATCAGCTGATAGCTGATTTCACCGTGTTGGCTGATTGGCTAATTAAATCATAGGATTAGTTGGTTATTTTTGTCTTAGAATGAAAAGGTGTTTTTTTGAAAATTCTAAATTAATAAATTAACCGCCTTAATCTTAATCTAAATCGCTTATTTTTATTTCCTACCTAACATTGTCCTATCTCAGTTATTTTCCATTGACCATTTCATTCACTTGATCAACTGAAAAAGCTGCATAAACTGAAGAAGAGTTGAGCTGTTTGTATTAATTATAAAAGTGAAAATTAAATATTGATGTTTATTTTCAGCTTAATTTAGGCAACATTGTGCCTCATGTCGCAAGATATAGATGAACGGGTCGACCTAGATCAGAACGAGACGAATTTGAGTCCAACAACAATACCATCGACGACCTCAAACAACGAAGATAGTGAAAGTACTTCTGGTGGTTGTAAGTTATTTCAGCTCGTGGAGCCTATTTTTTTTCCATAAATATCAGTCAAAAAATAATATTTAGTTTTCTTCTCAATTTTATTTAATTTTGTTTTATTTAATATTTATTTATTTTGTTTTATTTAATATTTAATTTTGGTAATTATAGATTTTGTTTTATTTTTTTCTTGTAAGAACGTGATGAAAGTTTCATAATCAACTTTTAATTCAATACTGAACTACTAGCAAGTTCCACTTATTGGTTGAACGATACTAACGATACCTATTATTTTCTTTTCTTGGCAGATATATTTTTGAAAAATGACACTTTTTAAACATTTTTAAATTTTTAATTTTTAATTGAATGTGAAAATAGCCCATTAGTTTTTTTGTTGCACAAGGCAAAGCGTTCGTATCGTAGCATTAAAAATATTGTATGAAACTGAGAAAATAAATTTACGAAAGATGGAAGAGTGAAGCTGTCAAGTTGAATTTTATGAAAATTATGGATATTAATATTAGCCTTGAATACATAAATTTATATAGGATAAACGATGTACCAGAATTTTCTAGAAATTTTCTAGTAATAAAAGCGAAAACTTCATCATTTGTGAAAAATTTAGGACGAAGAAAGAAGATCTTCGATTCAGAAATATTAATTTTTTTATGATTTTTGGTGAAATTTATTTAAAATAATGATTAATTGGTTTTTTCTTTTTATAGTTGGTTTTCCTTTAACAACAAATGTTTTCACTCCGAAGGATTGGTCAACATTATCGGCTCGTAGTTCACCTTGTTCTTCTTCAAATATTAGTGAAAACGATATCGACATTCCATTTCTTTCTCGTCATTTATCGTAAGTTTTTATTTTTTTTATGACTTTTATGTTTCTTTAATAGTCATTGATTATGTGCAATTTCTTCTAATTTCTCTACAAAGATATTATTTTCCTTTTTCTTTTATTAGTTGATTTCCATGTTTTTAGCGAAATTTCGCTCTTCTATTATTATTTTCAGTAAATTTTTTTAGAATTTAATTTTGCTTTTTTATTTTGAAGTCTTGAGTTGTCACACTGATTTTTACCGAATTATTTCTCTTACTTTTAGATGCTCATCATTAAATTTTACATCAAATCAACAAAAGGTGCCACTAAAACATTGCTCAGTCAGTTCATTTCCTATTGAGATGGAAACTTTGGCTTTATATAGAGAACGAAAATTATTGGATAATGGTGATGATGAAAGAGATGAATATTTTGAAGCTTCCAGTCCTAAGTTTATTTTTATTATTATTTCTTTCGATTTACATTTTCTTTTGATATAAAAATATTTTACGCATATTTCTTTTTACTTCTAATAACATTTCTAATTTGGCTGACTTCATATAATGCTGAGATGAGCAACAATAGCAGAATGGTTGTTGCTCACACTTTCGTCTCGAACGTCACTTTTGATGCGGAAATACACATAAAAATCCATTACGTGTTGTGCTGAGGACGCATTCATGCTTCCATAGCTGGTTTTATGGCAGAAATTTTCCACCTTACTATTAATCACTAGTGCGCCAGCGAGCTTAACTGGATACCACTCATTTTTTTAACTGCTAAAGTTTTCAGCCAGGAGAGAATACGGTTGGGTATGCGGTACTAGTCGTATTTTTTTAATAATTTTTTTTTATTTTTTTTATAATTCAAAATTTATATAACAATCAGCTGTAATGTTGTTATTTCTATCATTTGTTTTGTTTGATTCCTTGTTTTACTTCAATATTTCAATCCCATTTCTAATATTAATCCAGTAATTTGTGAGAAACCCTTGCCTCAATCATTTTTAGTTATTCATTCTATATTTTACTAGATAAATTTATATAACAATCAGCTATAATGTTGTTATTTTGCTTACATCTAGTGATAATAATCAGATTTTTCGTTACAATAATATTTTTTTTTATTCCTTTTTTTATATTTTATGTGTCGACTGGAAATGGAAGCTGTCGTTTTGCGTGATAAGAGAAAATTCTACCATTGTTTGGCTACATACGCATAACTTGAGTTCATCCAAGTGTGGATAAAATATAGATGGTTGTGAGCTTATTCAATTAAGTGGGAAGGAAATAATGCAATTAACATTTCTGCTTCGCCTACTCATGAATGAAATGCTTCTGAATATCTTCAATATATGAAAGCTATTAATGAAATAGATTGAATTTCTAATAGTTGACAACAAAATGATGGATATTACTGGTCTTTAACCGAGAAATATTCAGCGAAATCTAAAGCAGTTAAAATTCTGTCGCCCCAAAGGTGCAGCAATATCCTAAGATGAGTATTGAGTTGATGAAGGGAATCAAGAGTATTGAATTCTCAGCACATCAATTTACCAATTTTTCTAACCGGGATGCCGCGGGCCACGAATCAACCAATGAAAGAACAATTGACCTTTAAGGGTCAGATCGATTGATACATTTCTCTGAGAAACCATTCATATTTAAATAGTAAAATAGTGAAACCATATAAAAGATACAAGGGCTGGTATATAGATTTCTTTAATTTCTCACATTTTATGACTTTCCTTCTTAATGCGACCTTAATCCAAGCCATTTAATCCAGAAACAAATCTTTCAGAAAATCCTTATCCCGGTTTTCCTTAATCATTCAGTCTATTTATCATTAATTATTAATCGTTGAATTATTATTATGTTCCACTAAATCAAATGAATTTATTATAATATTTCAATTAATCAGAGTGGATAAATTTTCAAATTTTTATTATTTCTTTCATTTTAATTATATTGCTTCCTTTTTTGCTTCAGGAAGATCGTAGATCTATTGGCAATTATTAATTGATAAATTTTAGCTGTCGTTTTCATTAATATTTGTTGTGAAAATACTTTAACAATGGAGGAGTTTTAAATTTTTTGCTTAAGAAAATCAGGAAAATCTTCTGATCTTCATTTCGAATTTTTCAGCAGTGCTCAAAAATCGCTTAATAGCGGCAAATTACATACCAAAAACCCTTTAAATTCATTAAAATCGACAAATATGGATTTGAATGAGCATAATCAAATCACTGTAAGGCATTCTTTCATTCGTTAGCAGCTTTTTCCCTTTTTGTTTATGGCATTATATCAAGAATTTAAGTTGTGCTGTGAAAGACAGATTTAAATTATGGATGCTGTCAAAAAAATATTTTTTATTAATTCATTTTTAACAATTTTCTTACACTTTTTCTGCATCTATTATTTTAAAATTTTACCAGTTTAGATGCAAAAATCTCCTAATACTTCTGTTCATTCTCCTTCATTTATGCGGTTAGCTCCTAGCTCGCGAGTTGCACATATAAGGCGTGAAAGTATTTGTAGTATGGAAAGTGAATTGGCACATGAAAAACTTGTAACTCTTTCCCAACAGGTTTCTTAGAGATTATATTTTTGTACATTTTTGTGCATTTTTTTTTAAATTTTTGTTTTTCCTTAATATTAGAATTTGTTTTTCGATGAAGATATTTTATTCAGATGTCAAAAGGATTCGATGATTTTCGTATAACAGAAGGTTGGATGCGTGGAAAAGCCGAATCATTCTCCGAACCGATTTCAGTATTCACGAATGTTGTACAACATTGTTCAGTGCCATCGCCATCTTGCTCAGTTGATCGACAGAAGGTAATCAATTATCACATTTTTATGGCAAAATGAAGTTTTTTAGTTGTTTTTTAGGTGTTTGGAATATTTTTGGAAAATTTTAAGCATTTTAGGGATTTTAATTTCGACATTAATAAAAGAAATAAACAGGAGATCATAATAGTAAATTTGCTAAATGTCACTACACTTTTGTTTCGCGTTCTATTATATTTTATTTTAGCAATGTTATTCACCATCAACACAAACAATTGTTCCAAACAATATTGCTTATTCGCCCCGCTCAAGTCCAAGCCCAAGAAGGTTCGGATTTTTTGCCTTCTGATAGGTGTTAATAGGTGTTAATACGAAAATGACGGCAGGTTTAATTCATTGACATAACACACAGAATAGCTTGTTTGTGTTGATTTGATTTCCTTTTGAAGTCTTTCTCTGCTTCTCAGAATTTCACATATTATTTTAAATTTTTTTTTCTAGGAAATTATTCCCTTGAATTTTGCATTGCAAAAATGTCATTAATGGAGTTATCTAAGGTCATTTTCATGATCATTTTTTGTACAGTAATTGTCTCAGTATTCTATAATATCTATGGTTCAGTGGTTAAGGATTCAGCTGTTTTTTTAAAATCTGTTTCTTCAACATTCTTCCCATTAAATTCCTTCTCATTAAATACCATCTAACAGAATCAGGTTATTCCTTTTAGGGACCACTTTGCTTCAAAGTTTCATCTTATTCTATTTCGTCATCCTTTAGACTCTGCATAATCTTTTAGTTTTTTCAGATTCTTTCATAACTTCCCATAAAGTCATAATATTTTGCCATAGTTCATCCGTAATATTAGCTTAAACTTTGTTGCTATTTTTTCTCATAGATATTGTTATTGTCCTCAAAATAATTTCTCAGAGCTCGTATCTCCAGCATAATTTAATAATTTTTAACACTCTATTAAAGTGCATTGTATTTTTTTGTTAAAACCTGCCAGTTGCATCTTAAGCTCCTTTATAATATATTACTCCTATGATTCTTAATGCCACTGTGATTTAATCTGCTAAGAATAACTGTATCTAAATGGTCAGATATCCACAAAACCTAGGCTTTTGTCCTTATTTAGATATGTTTTGTAAGAAACATCTGCAAACCTCGTTAAATATCCCCATAATATCCCATCATAAAGTCTTGTTATATTTTTTGCCATAATCTTTTCAAACCTCTTCCTGCCTTTTTATTCCTGATTCAGATATGGCTCCTTTTTTATAATCGTATTTTATTATCTATAAACCTTAGCATATTTTTACCATCGCAACACAAAGTAATATGGTGATGAATGGAACATCGGAAGAGAAGATTTTGTGGATTTGATGGCTATATTGAGTTTTGAGGCAGGGTTCAACAGCTTTGCCCTTTCATAAAAGGATACTTTTTCTAATCAAATCTTATTCATTCCTTAAGATCAATTTGGTGAAAAATTTTCAGCTAAAGAAAACGATAGAATGAATCTTGACAAAATTGGATTATTGTCGATTTTTTTGATAAAACAATGAAATTAACAAAATTATAAAATAGATTTTTTAGAAGTCGCAGTCCCTTAACAATTACACGTCAGCCAGTTAAACGACGTCTTCGTTCACCTATTACTGATGGTGATGATGAATCATCTTCGTAGTATGAATTTATATTTTTTAAATTTTTTCAAATTGATAATATTTCTTTATATTTCTTTATTTATATTTCTTTATATTGTTAATTTAATTATCCAAATTTGATTCTAACTTTCCAATTTTTCGAATATTTTTAAGAAAACTTATTTTCATTGACTTATCAAATTTAGTTTATCTTCTACACCGAAACGACCAGCGCTAGGCAATATTGGCAGAATTTCACCTTTACTCGTTGATCGTGCTCAGTCATTTAGCGACGCTCCAATGTAATTTATTTTTTTTATTATATCGTCTGGTGATGCAAAGAGAATTGCTTAATAAAAATTTTATCTTCAGTTGTTTGTAGCGTTCAGCCAAGTCGATTAAATGTTCGATCAAGTTCTACATCGTATTCAACTGGTAAAATGTTGGTAGATCCGTTAATTCAAAAAAAAATAATTTGCAATCATGATATGGAAATTGATGAAAGTGGGTGTATCATTGATAATGACACTAGTGAAGGAAAATTGAATCGTCGTCAAGATTCTATTGAAGTAAGTTTCATTTTCATAGTTTTATAATTTTATAAAATTTTAATATAATTATTTTTTCCACGAAAAATTTTAAAACTTTTTAACTTTGTGGTATTTCTTTTCTTGAAAAAAAAACAATCTTGAAAATAAGAAATAAGGATAAGGATAAGCAAAATGTCCAAGTTTTCATTAGAAACCAGCCATTTTTCTTCGAGTTTGTTTTCAATAGATTTCTTTTTTCTACTTGCCTATCTAAATATTTGCTAAATTGCCTTGGTTTTGATGTATTCATGAAAATTGATGAATTTTTTTCCAGCTTTGATTCTGTTTTACGTAGCTTATAAAATAATTCTATTTCCTACGACTAAACAATCTAAAAAAAGAATAATTTATCTGGCTTGGCTGTTTTGATTTTTTTCCGTTTTCTCCTAGCCTTGTTCTATTTATTCTGTTTCCATTTTTTCAGGAATCTTCAATAGGAAATGTTTCATCGGCCAGTGAAACTGATTAATTAATAAGTTATCAGTCAACCATTTCATTTTCTTGAAAATCCACCAGAATTCATTTCTTCTAGTTTTCAAGAATTTCGACTATTATTCACTGTTCACAAAGGTGGCGACTTTTTTTGTCATGATGCGATTGATTGTTAATTTTTAATTGCCACTTTAATCGGTGCTAGTACCATTTATTGTAATCTTTAGAAGCCAGGGCGTTATAATCAGAATAACTTAAACATTTTTTCATATTAATTCATTTTATTTATTTTTTTTGTTCTAATTGTTGTTCTAATTTCTAAAATTTTGTTGAATTTTTATCGTGTATTCACTTCATATTATACTTAGATTATTATAGTACTTTAGAATGAAATGGAGAATAGATGAACTTAATCTCATTCTATTTAATTTGATCTCCGTTGTCGTTTAAGATTTTCTATGTTAATTTTTTTTTGATATTGTTCAATGGTATTTTAAAATACAGGTGCTCGTATGGGTTTTATATCCATAATTTGAAAATATCAAGAGTATTTTTGGCAGTGTCAACAGTTTATATTTCCAGTGTTATTTTTGCATATAATTTATGAATATGTGGATTTCTTTTTTAGCGTTTAGCGTTTAACTGATTCATATAGCTCATTTAAACGAAAATTTCGACATTTTTTTTAAATTTTTCGAAATTAAAAATATTTGCAAGATATTTTCAAAGGTAATCTTGATAATGTCAAAAATATGTATGACATATACGAATCTTGATTGTTTTTAAATAAAGAAAATTAATGAGTCGAAATTATAGCCATTATATTTGGTTTAATAGGCTTGGCCCCCTAATTTTTTAAAGTATGAGGAGCGATAAAATGGCTGTTTCTAAGGCTCAAAATTTTTAATAGTTCTGTAAATATTCGTAATATTTTTTAAAAAATTTTAAAAAATTGAATTTTTAAAATTTACTTTATTGTTTTCAGATATTTTACTTATTTTTGGTCCTCTCTTTTAGTTTTTGCTGTTTTTTTGCAAAATTAATCTATCGATAGTATTTTTTCAGTTTAAAAAAATTTTTTTTGAGATTGAAAGCATTAGAGATTTAAGATGCGTCATGTTAACCATGGTTTTTTATTATAAAAATCGTTTGTAAACATTTCATCGTAAATTTTTTAATTTATTTTATCAGCTTTTGATCATTTATCTATTATCTATTCAAATACGCTTTAAATATTTCGATATTGATAACGTGATAATTTTATCTCACTGATAAATGATATTATTTGTGAAATTATTCTTATTGCATTTATTTATTTGTGCAATTAACACCAGCATATCTGCGAAATGTTTTTTAGTTAATAGTTATGAGGTTTTATTTTTAAGGTTCGGAGGAAATATTGCAGTATGGTGATCAAGTGTTTCATTGCTTCATCGAGAATATGAAATTCTGTGAGGGCTAACCTTGTCTTTTAGCAACTCTGGCTGAAGAAGTCATTCCAGTAGATATGTGATAGTAGAAAAGCGAATTATTATTGTTGTTAATAGAAAATGCGAAATTGTTCGGTAAAGTCAAATGACAACTAAGACTGAAACGTATGCTTGAAAGTACGAAGAAAGGTGCTGAGGCTGAGGGGAAATTGTTTATATGGTTAGTTATGAGATTTCATGGAGTTTCTTGAAAAAATTTATTGAATTATTGTTTGCATGTTCGTTCCTCATTGGTTTAATGTTGCCGTGTTTTCTCGTGGTGATTGTCGTCAGTATGGTCGATCAAACTCAAGCAAAAGTAAATTCTCGAATTCTTATATTTTTTATTGGAATTTATTTCTCATTTATTTTCAATATTTGTGCACGGAATTGAAATATGAAAATGGAATAGTCGTTTTTGCATTTTAGAATTTGAAATATTTATATTTTAATTTTTTATAATTTTCCGCAATTTATAATAATTTATAATAATAATTTTATAATAATAATTTAAGAATAATTATATAATTTATAATAATAATTTTATAATTTATAATAATTTTTTTATAATTTGCAAATATTTATCGCATTATAATTCAATTATATTTAGTTGCCTGATGCGTCCGAACCAGTGATTATCGTCGGTGGTGGTTTGGCTGGCTTGAGCGCCACTCTAGCAGCGGTGAATGAAGGTGCATCTGTGGTATTGATCGAAGGTGAAAAAAGCCTTGGAGGTAATAGTGCTAAGGTTAGTCATATACATAATTACATAAGATATATAAGATATTTGTTGATTTCACCTGCGGAAACGGAAAAAGAAGCAATCTAGCAATAGTTTTAGGCAAATATTGCAGAATGCAATGCCGTGCAGCAATTTTTGTTTTTGAAGATTCGTCATTCGTCATTTATTCCATTTATTGGTTCCATTGATTACCATAGTAAAATTTTTCTTTCGGTAGAAAGTGACTCGGCGAAAATGATAGAAATTGGTCAGCAACACTGCAGCTTTTCATGTTTATTAATGAACTCGCATTACAGTACGAGGAACAGGATTGATTTTTGCTTGAATTGAGTCTTAGTTCTCAGAAAAAAAAGAATAAATTAATATTTTTAGGCATCAAGTGGTATAGCAGCATGCAATACTGAAGCACAACGTGTTCGTAATATTGTAGATTCAACTGATTTATTTTATATGGATACGATGACTGCAGGTGATCGCGAAAATGATGCTGCACTTGTTGATATTTTGGTTTGTTTGAAAATTTATTTCTTTGAACATTAGTGGAAAGAATTAATCGAAAAGATGAATTTTTTAATTTTTATTCTGCAATTTTGTATTTAAATTAAAACTGAGTTCAGCATCCCAGTGATCGAATTTATTATTTCATATGAAGATCGAATTTATTATTTCATATTTAGTAGATTTATTTTTTATAGGTGCATGAATCAGCGAGTGCGGTACAGTTTCTAATCAATCAAGGCGTTGACCTCAGCGATGTTAATTTATGTGGTGGACATTCTGTCAAACGAGTGCATTGGTTTGTTTTCATATTATAAAAACTAAACGTTTATGCTTTTCTCTTCATGTTTTCTTTTTGTAGGATTCCGTCTCGAAAAAGTGATAAGCCAGTTGCTGTTGGATGGGAAATCATAAAAGCATTGTCAGCTAAAATTAATAAGATAGCTGAGGATAATCCTGAAAAAGTAATATTTCCTATTCTAAATTTCAGTTCCGCACAAACACTACATTTCTTGTTTCCTTTTCCATTAATTCCTTGCAATAATTTTTTTAACAAAGGATTTTTCTTGTGTAGCCCTCAATTCTCATACTTTGGACTATAAATTCAACTTACTTTTTAAAATGGATCTTTAGTCGATTTTTTTGTTATTAAACTTGAAATGAATTCACGGTGACTATTCTCCGCTACATATTCCAGCTTCATACAAACTTGCACATGATTTAGGTACGAATTCTTCTGAAAACCGAAGTGATTGGCATGGTAACATGGAATGATTTTATCACTGGAGTTCGCATAAAAAGGGAAGGAAGCAAGCAGATTGGTGAGTTCATTTGTGGGAATGTTTATATATTTTGAATTTCCTTGATTTCTTGATTAAAGATATATAAAGATATATGAAAGATATCAGAAAAGAAAAAGATCTACTTTTTTTCTGTCCAGTTTTTTTAAATATCTTATATCAAATTGGATGATTGAATTTAGAATGGTGTTGATGTATACAATGAGTCAAGAATTAATGATTCGACTCCTCTTCTTTGATAAAATAACCTTTTTATTAAAAGCAAAAGATGGTGTCCATCTGTACTTTTATCCCCATATGATTCTTGAGCAGTAGAGTTTCAGTTTATCAAACAATGGAATTGACCAAACTATGCATGAAAAGAAATTGAAGCAGAATAATTTAATATTTGTTGATTTTAAAAAGAAAAAAACCGTTGAATATTAAAATTTAATGAGAATTATTTAATTAATCATTTATTAAGGTTTTTTCACTGTATAATCTGTCGAAAGCTGAAATCAAAGAATTCAAAAAAATTTCTGAGGAAAAAATAGTGTTTGTCTCAACGTAAAGCGAAATGTTTATTCTTTCTATAAATTTCTATAAATTTTTAGATGAAATTAATGGAAAAGCAGTGATATTGGCGACAGGTGGATTTAGTAACGATCGCTCAAATGAGGGTTCGCTGCTTTCTGAATTCGCTCCTGAAAAACTGTCATTCCCTACTACAAATGGACCTTGGGCATCTGGCCGTGGTGTTAAAATGGCACGTGCGATGGGAGCGGCTTTGGTTGGTATGAATAGAGTGCAGGTAATGCTGCGAAGATTTAGCTAAATAAATGGACAAATACACTTATAATATATACTTATAAAAAGCTTCTGCTTCTATTTAAGCTTATTGGCAAATTATTTTTCGATCTTATTGTTGTGCAAAAACATTGGCAAATTGGCAGAATAATGCACCATTCATTTTAATTTATCATTTAGGTGCATCCAACATCATTTATTGACCCAAGAGAACCAAATGCGACCACAAAATTTCTGGCTGCTGAGGCGCTTCGAGGCAAAGGCGCAATTTTAGTATGTTTTCAATAAATTTTGCATTTCAAAACAGTGAGATTCTATGAGAAATTATTGCAGGTAAATGAAAAGGGAGAACGTTTCGCAAATGAATTGGGGAGGCGCGATTATGTCACCGACCGTATTTTACGTTTTTGCTCTCCTAATGCATTATCTGGTGGAGCACATGTTGCATATATGTTAATGAGTGATCAAATGGTTGATGATTTTGGACGACCATCTTTTAATTTTTATGCAAATGTTAAGGGTCTTTTTAAGGTTCATTTATTTTCCTCAAACATTACCGCTTCATAATAAAGAAGGCTATGTAATGACAATGTTTTATTTGTCTTTCTTTACATTTTTATCGCGTTATTATAGAAATTTGAAAACGTTGTTGACTTGGCTAGTAATATGGAAATTGATGAAAGGAAATTGAGGCAGACTCTTATAGATTATAATTCTTATGTGGGTAAAGATTTAAAGGTATAATTTAAATATTTGTTGATTTCATTTAAAAAAAACCGTTGAGTATTAAAATTTTTTAAATTTTAAATTTAAATTTAAATTTAAATTTAAAAAGAATATCAAAGAATTTAAAGAATTCAAAAAAAATTAGGCTGATATTTTTGTAGTATGCTTGATATTTTTTGTGATAGTTGTTTTTTGAATTCTCTACTATTTTGAATTTTTAAGGATTCCTTTGAAAAAACAGTTTTTCCTACAGTGATTGATCCTGATTTACCAATTTATATGGCTCTCATAACACCCGCAATACATTATACGATGGGTGGTCTTAAAATTGACAAGCAGGTCAGTTTTTTTGTACTTGTTTTTTTTTGTAGATTTGATCGTATTCAATTTATGTTTTTAAATTTTGATTAATACAGCCGCTCTTTAGGCATTTGTTTTCAATGAATTTTCCGAAAAGCCTTTCAAGGGATTATTAGCGGCTGGTGAAGTAACAGGTGGTGTGCATGGTTCTAATAGATTAGCTGGAAATTCGCTGTTAGAATGCGTTGTATTTGGCCGAATTGCTGGTCGAAGCGCTTCACAAATACGGTATACACCCGATATGGCCTTTCCACGCGCAGAACTTTGATTATTGTTATTTTTTTTTAAGCTCGGCTCAACAAAGCGAAGCTGAAGCTCGAGTTACATCTAAAACATCGTTTCAACTTATGCTCAGCAGTTTGTTTGTTATTTTTTGCGTTTTATGTTTTTTTTATTTCGTTTTTTTTCGACGGCGAATATTTCGCTTATTCTATTTAAATAGAATAATATTTATATTTTATTTACTAACTTATTTTAAATAGGCAACGGTATTTCAAAATGACATTGAATCAGTTCTATGACGTTTTATAGAAACGTCTATGAGGCTATTTAATTTTTGAAATTTTAAATTACATATCCAAATTCATATTCATAAATCCTCTTTAATTTTTTTCTGAACTACAATGATGATGATGTTTTACTAATTTCTTAACATATTTCACTTATTTTTGGAATTTTTTTTTTCAAATAAATCTTTTGAAATCTCTTGTTGACTTCGAAGGAAAACAGACGAAACGAATCGACTTTTTGATTATAATATTAAGCATTTTAAACTTCGTCGATCATTAAATCCTATCGCTATCGCTGATAAGCAAAAGAAAATAGTTGAATTGCTTCCAAATTAATATTTTTAATCTCATAATTAAATATATTTTTGCTCGATTAAGCTCAAAGTAAAAGTCAAATTAGACTAATCGCGATGCTTCAATTTTAGAGTGGGAAATAAAAATTCTTAATATAATGTTTAAATTCTAAAAAAAAAGTAATTGTTAAATTTCGGATTTATGGAAATTAATTATTTTTTATTTATAAAAATGCCAATTTCTTGAAATAATGTCGTATTCAAAAATAGAATCGATTATATCAATTATCAGTATTACAGTTTTATCAGCAGTTTTTTGTCATTTTTGGAAATAGAATATATCACATTTGTTGTTCTTTTATTCTTTTCAGTTTTTGATTTTTTAGCTGAAATTGCTTTGATTTAGTTTAATTATAAAGATTAACCATAAATTTAAAAATTTTAGAATTTAACCGATCCTTCATTTTGCGATTAAAATTCTCTCAAAAATACAAATAGAAATGCACGATGGTACCAGCATTCACTATCATTTTGTGGTTCCTTTTAATCAAATAGTCCATTACGAAATTGTTAAGATTGAATTGAATCTGTACTTTTCTTCTTCAATTCTATGTGTGGTACCAGCATTCACTATCATTTTGTGGTTCCTTTCAATTCAATAGTCCATCATAAAATTGTTAAGATTGATTTCTTATAATTAATTATAGTATAACACGAATCATATCGCAATTTGCAAAAATAATTTGTTTAGGCGAATGCCTAATTTTATTTTACTTTTTTCATGATTTCGTATTTTTATTAGGCAAAAAGGAAAAAAAAAAAATCGGCGCTTTTATTTTTTGGAGCAAAATGAATGAATGAAAAATAGGAAGGTGAATAGTTTGAGGAAATGGTTCGTAATTTTTTGCTGGCTAATTAACATTCCTTGCAAAATCTCTTCTCATTCGCATGGAAAATCTCAATTTTTTTATTGCATGGATTTAATTATATATAATTATTAGCATTATTGCAACAATCGTTAATTAATAGGCCTATTGGCTATAAATAGCATTTTTAAAATATATATAATTTATAATTAATTTATAATATATAATATATATATAATATATAATTTCAAAAATAAAGTGGTACCATAGTCCAGCACAGCGAGAGGGAAGTAATAAGGTAAAGCAAATAAGCTGTGAGAGAGTTTTCACGCCACCATTTCTGGTTAGACTCGCTCCGCTGGCTTGTCGCACTAGATAAATATGCCAGGGAGTCTCTTGGCGATAGAAGTACAGACGAGTCGCCAGCATCACTCGGAAACAACTGTGAACAAGTTATAGAAGAACCACTTCGTCTACAGCTGATTTAGTCTAAATTTTATTAAATTTTTTTTCAACATATTTTCGATTATATATAGTTCGATTTTAGCGTATGGCATTGGTACCGATTGACTTAAGAAATCTCGCTTATAATTTCCACAAAATAAAAAATTTTTTGTTTTTCATGGTTCATTTCCATTCTTTTTTCGTTGTGTTTTGATTGTGTCCTATGATTCATGCAAACAAACCAATGATAGTATAGCGAGTGCCATATGTGCCAAAGGAAACGAGGTTGAGGATGACCCATACCTCTCACTGGAAATGCTATTATTGTATATAGCATACCATATTGCTCTCGGTAGTTATACAAATTTATGTATATATAGCTATAGATAACTTGGAGTTCGCCGGGTACACTGTAGTGGTTGAGGCTAGTACGATTATGGGATGTGAGACAACAACAGTTCGATTCGCAGCCAATCCTCTTCACCTTTGGTTATTTGAGTAGGCGCCCTGAAAGCGTATCTGCCTTACCTCAATCTTCCAGGCCACTGGCAAAGGAAACGAGGTTGAGGATGACCCATACCTCTCACTGGAAATGCTATTATTGTATATAGCATAGCATAGCATTTTAAGCCTGTTCTGCAACATGCAAATGCAAATGCTGATTTATTTGCATGCAACTAGAAAGCATTTATATTTTTTTCAAAGAAATGAGTTAATATTACTATAGAAGAACTTTCATATTAAATTTTTATTTAATAGAAATATAAAATAAAATAAAAATCGATGGAAATAACCGAAAAAATTTATAACTGCCGAAAAAAAAGGATAATCGCGACAATTGTTGACACAACTGCGGAGAGAACTGGTGGAAAAAATTTTTTAACACAACAGAGGTGTTAATTTCAGTAATTTGTTTAGCATTAGTCTTTAGTTTTTATTTTCAGGTCTTTGAACTTTTTTTATTTCTTTTATTCTTAAATAAATGGCTTACTGGTTAACAGATTTTTTTTTTAAAGAGTCCTCACCATTACTGTAAAAATATGCCAAGGAATCTCTTAAATCTCTTAAATCAAGGAATCGATAGAAGTACAAGTGAATCGCCAGGATTTTTGGATAGGTTTACTCCTGAGGGAAATGGAACCTTAGCATAGACACTCAGAATTGAGCAACAACCCACTGAGTCATTCTATCCTCCAATGATTAACCTTGATTATCCTTCAGATATAGTAAAGTAGTTGTTTTCGAAATGATGTTGAGCTTGCAAAAGATAACGATAAGCGCTGTGCATCAGTGACTTAGTACTAAAGATGAATAGCACCGAAATTTAAGAATGGCTCAGATTTAAAGTTCGTCTAACCAGCGAAGATAAATGTCTAGTTTCATAGTTCTTTTTTTTTAAGAATGCTTACCATTTCTGATTAGGCTCGCTCTTTCAATTTGTCAGGCCAGGCAAATTTTGCCAGATAATCATTTGACATTGGCGCTTAGCATCGGCGCTTCAATCCAACGTTCTTTCCATTCAAATGAAAAATTTTGATAATATAGATGAGACTAATAAGCAAAATAATAAAATTTGGGAAAATATTGAATGATTCAAGGATATTGTAAGATTTATGAGAATTGACCTCATTCAATTTTTCTTTTACAATTCCTTCTTCAGTTTATCAAATTCTTACATTGATATTTATGGCAATGAATTTTCATTTTATGGCCTTATGGATTGATAAGAATTATGAGAATTTATTATAATTGCAAAGAGACTTCTTCTAGTTTATTAACCTTGGCTGGCTTCAGCGAAGCGTCTTTAAGCCCCTGCGGACCTCTTAATGCGATACCATATCTAAAATTAATATATTTTTTCCACCATCTAGGCCTAAAAATGTTGAGCCATTAGCACTCTCAAAATCCTGACTTTTATCAGTCTTTATGCCTCCTTCCTCTTGATGTCATCTGCCGTAGAGTATTCGAGTAGTGTCACTGAAGAAAAAATTGGCTTAACAAACATAGGCGATTCTCTTTGACGATATTATTTATGCATATTCAAATGTGTTTACAATCATGTGGAATTCTACTGGTTAGATGTGGAGGTAGGATTTAGGCATAGACGATCAATGGCAGCTGTTCACTGATACCTCGCTGAAAACGTTTAGCTGTGGTTATTCAGGCTGTAATTTCGTCTTTCTCTTAGCTATTCGGTATAAGAGTGGACCAACGATATCTGGCAAATTCCCAATCAACGGAGAATTTATAAAAATAGATGCTTGATCTGGATCTGTTAAATTAGAAAAAAACATTTATTTTTACAAATAATATGGAATTTTCGAATTTCGTCTCAGTCGGACATTTATCCGATTTGTTCACAATAAATTTATATATAATATAATATAAAAAATTTTGCGATAATTGTAGAACACAATCGATGGTCAATGGAAATAAAAATATCGACTTTTGAAGGTCTAATAAATTAATCTGAATTGATTTTTAAGAGTCCTCACCATTACTGGTTAAACTTGCTCCACTGGCTTGTCGCAATTGAGCGAATATGCCAGGGAGTCTCTTATCGATAGAAATACAAGTGAGTAGCCAGCATTACCCGAGGAATCTGAGTTGACTAATTTAATCAGTATCTAGTCGCAAAATTATCATTTTACGATTTGAAATTTGCATGAAAAACGCCATTTTCAAAGAAAAACGTTAAAATCCAATTCAGCATGTGTGCTTTTCTGGATTATTTGGCAATAAGGCAATTTGCCTTATTTATAAATGCGAGTGAAAATTTTCAGTAGAAATAATCAGATGAAGGTAAGCCCGATGGATTTGCATTACCAATCGGAGTTCATTTTTTAATTTTATAAAAAATTCAAAGATTTTTTTGCTGATACAATAAGCGAAATATAAATTTGAAAATTATTTATATTAAATTAAGTCCTTTTTATTTAATTTTAAATCGTTCAATATCCACTGAAATTTAATTTTTGCTGCATTTTTATCATAAAAATTGTTTAATTGTTGACATATGCGACTGAATCTCCTATATGGAAAAGAATTTTTAAATTTTTTAAATTTAATAAAAAAATATGTTGGTGGAGATTAACTAAATCACAAATGATCTACAGAAAAAGAAAGGATAAAACCGGGAGAAAGCTGATAATCAGTCCATCAACTTTTTGGGAATATTTGGGTAAATTTCTTATTTTGGGGAAATTTAAGGGAAAGTACTCCTCCTCGACAATTCTGTTGATTCTCTGCCAATTTTAAAATTTAAAATTCTAGAAATATTCTAGCGGAATCAACGAGTTTACCTTATTTTTGCCCGGATTGTTTAAATGCATTATTTTTCCATTGTAAATTTTAATAAATTTTCAGTTGCAGAAATGTGGAAGAAATTATATATATTTTGTTTTTCTGTTTTAATTGTACTTCTCGAGCTAAAATTTCATAAAATTTATGAAAATTCGATTATTCAAATATCTATTAAAGGCCCAATTCAATCGAAATTATGGTGGATTCACAAATCGAATATTTTTTTCAATTGGAGTCAACTTGATAACTCAAAAAAGGTTTGATTATCAAAGATTCCCAAACTCTCCTAGCAAATGTGGAAAGGAATCTGAACTATGGGAGTGAATCGAATTAGAAATTGGCTATCAGACGTTTAATAAAGGAACAAAAACGGCGAGAAAATAACTGGTTACCCATTAACTTAGAGGAACACACTGGCAGCTTATTACAACAGAATGATTTAAATAATACTAATAAGAAATCAAAAATATCAATAAAAGCAAAGAGAAAACTGGACAGAATCCAATGGAGTAAGAAGAAATTAATGAGAAAGCAATGCGAACATCCAAAAAACGATATAAAAACCTTGCGCCTCAACAAGAATAGATGCGGATTATCCTCAAAAATTCGCACTAAGCATTTGGCGATTTGGTCTTCAATTTGATTTTACTAATCATTAATTTGAGTATTCATCTTATAATTAACCAATCTTTATTAGGAAGAAATTTTATGATAAATTTAAGAAAATAGCAAAAACTATGAAGATAAACTTTATGATTTTTAAAAAAATTTGAAAATCTCATAAAAGTCTTCATGAAGACTTCATAAAAGAAAGAATTTCTTAACATAAAACATTAAAATAATTTTGTCTAAAAAAATAAGCATTTTTGCGTGTGCTTATATGTATTTAAGAGAATGCATGCATATGCATGTGATTTTGCGCATGCACACCTGCACGAATGTTCGCTTAGATTGCGCACATTCTTAAAACACCATCGAAACATTGAATAAAATTTTGACTTGATTTGGAAAATGTTGGCTTTAATAGAATAATTTCAGTTACGATTAGTTCCATTAATTCTTTCTTGGAATGATTCTTATTCAGATATAGGAAAGCGAGCAAAAAAAGGCATAGGAAATTGCGATTTCAAATGCGAAGTAACCACAGATCACAGGTATATTCCAAAAACATTCTACAAAATTTATTTTCAGGTTAATTAGGGCCATTTATTTATTATAGATCGATAAATTTATTAGCCTAACTTTTCCCAAGTATTTGCCTAAATCCTAAGCCTAAGCCTAAGCCTAATAGTTTTTCTCAAGTACCATATTCATTTGCGCAAAATCAACACGTTATATGCAAAAAAATTTTAAAAAAAATTAAAAAAACATTTTATATTTTAATTAAAACATTTTATATTTATTAAAATATAATAAGTAAAATTTTAAAATTTTGTGAAACTGTTTATGATAAGCAAATATTTAGAAAATATTTTTCGGCTGGAGCTATCATTTTTTATTATACATTTGGAAATCAAATGCCACCTTTAAGGCATCACAATCAGTATTATATATTTTTTTGCGTTGAATCCCCATTAAGTATCGAGCAACATACTGGATCGATGTACAAAGAGCCTTTTAATTTAACAGTGAGTTACAGGTGATTTATAAATTATTATTACTAATAATTTCGTTTTAGGTAATATTTAATTCTCAGTGATATTTTATTTTATGTTTATGTCTAATTTAATCCAATTGGACGCTCAACAGAATTGGATTCATCTTCGCTGAAGGATTAGCTTTTTTCTAACTTATCACTTTTGATTCATTCTATCAATTGTTCTGAAAAGAAGAAAAAAGAGTCCCCAACACAAATAGAGTTTGACATTCAATTAATGGCTGACATTAATTGAACTAATAATCTCATGTGTAAAATATATTTTACTGATCCGTCGAGCGGATAAAATCGCACATGATTGTATCCATCTTCGCTCATCTACCGCATGCATTGGTAATGTTATCATAAAACGTCGCCTTCGCTGGTTAAGGCATATTTTCCGTCGTCCACCACGGGAGTTGACGCATATTTCGTTATATTCGTCCTGTGATGATTGGTGTCAAAAGCGAGATGGACCGATTAAGACCTGGATTGATATGGTCAACATTGATTTTGAACATATAGGTAGACCAGCGATGATGGAAAAAGGAATGGTTTCTATTACGACTATCAGCGACGTCGAACCGAGCAACTTGGAGATATCTTACCTTTGTAGCCAGTGGAGCCAGCCTAATCAGTAATGGTGAAAGCTTAGAAGGAGAAGAACTAATCTATTACATACTACTCGACCATAGTGTATTCATTATTAAATTATATTATAGGAGATAATAGAATTTTTCTGTAATAATTTGAAAATTTAAGAAAGAACTATTTAATTTCATAAACGAAAGTTGAAGTTGAAGGCATTTGGAAGCCAATCGATCCATTATCTTAACTGAGAGCAACAAATGTCAATCCTTTATTCCCACTAAATTTATCGCTGGATTGCTTATACGTTAAAAGTCTGGTCAATTCAGGCCTTGATTAGTTCTCCATTCTTTGATACCATTTATCATTTGAGATGAAATGCTTCAAATTCTGCAATTTGAGCGAAGGTTCGCATGAAATTTTATCATCTCGTTAAGTATATGTGCGCTAAATTACATAGAAGTAAATGATAAAAGATAAATAGCTTCGTAATGTTTTCAATTCCTATTAGCAACTATATTACTATAAGATAGTAATGGAAGAATGCATAATTGGCTGGGAGAATTTTATCTTGCACTTGGCCATATGGTTTCCATGGGTCAAAAATATGACAATTTCCTCGATCTGCGATTATGATAATTTGATAAAATTTGATATTTTACCACTGCCTAGCATAAGAAATTCTGAGCCTGATTTTCGCACAACTACAACTGTTGGTACACTGTTCAGAAACTCTTGCAGTCTATTATAAATCTCTAAATCCTTTTACTTTTTTTAAAGGAAAAATAGCGATATACCAGTTCCTTATGGTGAATTGAAACAAATTGATAAATCCACGCTTCCTGATAAAATTTGGAAATGGGAACAGGCAAGTCCTAAATTCATCAAAAATTCTTCACGTATGAAAAAAAAGAATCCTCAAAACTTCTTCGATTCCAGGTTATCAGAGTAATTAGCCAGAAAAACAAGTCAGTCCTCCAGTTTGTTTCGCACTGTAAAGCCACTTCAGATAGAGATTTATATACTAAAAATTTAGCGAAGTACATTAATGTTACGGTATATGGTCGCTGTGGTCTAAAACTATGCATGGGTCACTGTGAAAAATTAGCCGTTGGTAAAATTTTTAATAAAAATAAAATTTTAGCACCAAATAAATTTCTCAATTTTTCAATTCAACAAAGATTTTTCAATTCAACAAAGATTCCAGTTTCAGCGTCAAATATTGCGTTTAATTGTTTTCCATAATTTCAGCAAAACATCGCTTTTATTTAGCATTTGAAAATACCATATGCAATGAATACGTTACGGAAAAAGCGTTTAAACGCTTGGACCAATTACTCGTTCCAATCGTACTTAAAGGCTCTTTGTATAAAAATATTTTACCTGAAAATTCTTATATTGCTGCAGACGACTTCGATTCTCCGGAAGATCTCGCTAAGTATCTAAAATATCTCGAAAGCAATGCGACTGCATATTTGAGGTAATTATGACACTCATATGATTCTTTAAATTTTAATTTGAATCGCCTTTGGCTATCCATTAAGCAATTTCGAAATAACGGTGCGGAAATCGACCATTATAGACCAAAATTATTTGTTAACATATTAATGAAAAAAAGAGAATTTCAGATAAAATAAAAATTTCTAGAGATACCTGGAAGTAACTATTTCTGGCTTAATTAGCTCCACTGAGAATCCCCTGAGGGTACATTTGTGAGCCAGATCATGGAAATTATGGAATCCTATGATGTATGGCCTCAGTCGAGTTATTCGATCACTTTCTAATTTATGAATTTAATTTAATGAGTAAATTTTAATTTTCATCTTGGATATAAATTTCTTCATGCACCTTTACTGGTTAGACCTTAGCCTATTAATTTATTACCGTATCTAAAAGTAATAGAAGTCACCCACTACCTTTTCCATGGTGCAAAGCCATTTTTAGCTTGCCCATTTATAAGTTCAAAATTTTTTAAAAATTTCTTTAAAGTTATTTCGAATGGACCAAAAAATATGCAAAAACAGCACTTGGTGGCGTTGAATTTAATCATAGCTTTTGTCGGATATGCGAACTTTTGCATCGAGGAATCAGAAAACCGAGTACCGTTAATATGAAATCGTGGTGGCTTGAACAGGGTCAGTGCGAACCACATTATGCTCGAAGGCTTTTAAAACAGAATAAAAAGAAAAGCTAAAATGAAGCTTTCAGCCAAGTCTTTTATTTTTTATTTATTCCTTAAATTTTCGAAAATTTATTAAAATTTTATTATTAAATATTAGATAAAATAAATGATAAAAATTTTAATAATTTTCAAATCCTTCTTGAAATATATATATATATTTAAATATATATATATATACATTATATATTTTAACCAAATGTGAAAAATTAAAGCCATGCAAATTAGATTTTTGCGTGATTAATCCAGCAAATTTCGATTCAGTGCCAAATTTTCCATAGTATTGTATATTTAATATTTTATGGTTTGGAATATTTGTTTTATTTTTCTCAAAGATACTTTTAAAATTTTCTTTCTTTAAGCAAACCATTCTTCAAGATTGAAGTTTAATATTTTACTTAAATGGAAGCTACATGCGCAATTTATAAGATTTTCAGTATCACAAATTAGATTGGTTAATATACAAACGTCGCCAAAGCATTTATTTATTTATATTTTTAAGAACATTCACTATTCACTATTTATGAATAAATTCGCTCGTAGATTTCACTCCTGCTGGGGACAAATGTGAGTCCAAACCAAAAATGGTAAGTGATTTTAGAAAAAAAAAGAATATGTACGGAATAATTGGTCACAATGTCTACAAATGTCTACAAATTATGACTGAATAACAATACCAGTATTTGCTAAAGTAATAATTAATTCAGCGAAAGATCATTAAATCAATACTGATTGTTTGACTCGATAAACTGATCTTTGAGCTGATAAGCTTAATCAAGTTGCAAAAATTAATAATCTTAACATTTGAAATTTAAAATTGAATCGTTTTCGAAGAGGATCGACTCTATACGAATTATGCGAAATATTTGCATCAATTTAAATAGTATAAATTTATTTAATAGAATATTTATTGATGATAAAGGCAATCAACTTGAATAAATCTATTTCACTTTACTAACTTTTGCTGGTTTTAAGCTAATTTATATTTTTAGATGTAATTTTGCTCATCATTATTATTTTATTTTATTTTATTTCATTTTTACAAGCGCATACTTATTTTTTTCTTTTTGTCTTATTTTTCACCTGGTTTTTCGACATAAATAAGTAAAATTTTCAAAAAATTTCTACCACTCATTGATATGTTTGGTTTTAATAATAAAAAACCAAGAACCATAGAGCTTTTATTTAGAGACGCATAAATTAATCTTTCGTACTTATAGTTATAGTTATTCAACCAATGTACCATTAATAGCCATTTCTCTATAGAAAAATTCTATCAATCGTTATCTTATCTTATCATAAGCCTTCGCTAGCCACACTAATAATTAATCCCCAGTGATGAATGCTGATAACTTTGCCTTAAACCAAAGAAAAGAAAACAGTCCAAAATTAATGATTGCATTAATGATAATTAATCATAAGCAATCATTATTTTAGTTAATTTAAATCAATTTTTTAATTTTTAAATATATATTTAATTTTTTCCGCTGTTATTATTAGGCTAAATCTGAAATTTTGAAAAATCAAAACCAAGGTCAGTGATCCATTTAATTCACTTGATACCCAACTGAATTACAAATAAATGCTACAAAAATTATAATTATGAAATTTTTACAAATGCCGCTTATGGGAACTTACGGAAAACGAATGAAATCTGCATGTTTGCATGATGCACTTTGCATTTGCAAAACTATACTCTAATCGTTGAACTATAAAAATTCCTTCGATACATTTCTTTTCCTATTCTTTTCTTTTGATTAAACAAACAGATTATTGATCATTGCAAATCTTCGTTTGCATAACTCAAACGGCAAGTTTTTTTTTCTTATTTTCTTCACAGGAATAAATGTCATATCTTCGAAAATCCGAGTGGCTGCTGGGAACTCACCTATAATTCTATCGCCAAGTAACTCTATGGTGAAAGGGTCTGATGTTCTTGACACGGGGTGACGCGCATGATATCCCAACCCCATGGTACAATACAATCCGCACGTAAAATTATCCCAAGGCTTGTGAATAACATATGCTTATAAACTAGGATAATTGCTCGAACTAAAGGGAAATGTTTAAAATTGCGATTTTGGAAAATCGCTTCAAATATTTGCAACCCACTATTACGTGTTTCATTGACTTTGCAAAATACCTTCGATTCAATTAAAAGAGCTTTGGAGAGAAATGGGACGCGACGGTGTTCCAGAGAAAATATTCACCTGATAAAGGTTTTATCAGCGTACATCGGTACATCGGTACTGTTTATATGGGGAATTGATAGACCTTTTTGAAATAAAAAATGGTTTCCTTCAAGATTGCACCCTCTACAATATTCAACGACGCGAGATAGACTGGATAATGGACATTACTTGTCGGCATTCAAGAGTATAAATCAGTCCAGAGCATAAATCTTAAATACGTTGATGACGTAGAGCTTTGCCTTTTTTGGGATGAAATGCAAATAATGCTAAATAACATGTCAACAATTACAGCGAGAATCGGACTCAAGACCAATATAAGTAAAACTAAAATCATTTCGTTTTATATACAAGAAGCTGATAAAATACCTATTTTTATCATTTTATTACCGGTTGAAGAAGTGTAAGAAGTATAAGAAGTTTAAATATCTTGGATCTATTTTAATTCTAAATGGCCGGACAAATTATTACTTGGATAATGATAACTATAAATGCGTTTTTCCGGTTATCAAAACTTTTGTGGAGCCGTCATGAAACCACACTATAAAAATCCGCGTCTATAAAGCAATTCATTCGATCTTGCTATATGGCTGGGAGACATGGCCAAAGAGAGTGGAGGAAATTAAGAATTTATATGCCTTTAACCAATCACATTATGGGTTCGCCGAGTGGATAAAATCGCATGATCATCCATCTTCACTAAAAAACCAAATATTTGCATTAACAGTGCCCTTCGTTGATTAGGGTATAGGCATTCTATTAATATCGATGATGGAGTCGGATCGAATACTTAGAAACATCTTATCCTTTTTGCCAGTGGAGCTATTCTAATAAATAACGGTGGCAGCTATTAGAAGAAGAAGAATAAAACCTTAAAATTGGTATAATATATAGTATAATACAAATAAAAAGAAAAAAAAGGATATTTAGAGATAGAAATTTTTCAAATTTTGCACAATTCATTTCTTAAAATCAATATAACCTCGATAGGGTAGAGGATCTTCATCGCCAATCATAAGAGTTGACAAGTTGACATATATTTCGCTATTTGTTAAATTCTGTGATGGATGGCCTCAAATTGAGATGGATCTGGACTGGCTCAGTTAGAAAAGATTTTGAACGTACAGGACTAGTGAATTTATGGACCTAGGCGATATGGTATGATATATGGAAAAAGGGATGGTTTATATGACTACTAGCGATAACCGAGTAACTTGGAGACGTCATACCATTGTAGCCAGCAGATCCAGCCTAACCATTAATGGTGAGAGTTGTTAGAAGAAGAAGAAGAAAAAGGCTAAATTACCATCGACAGTCCAATCTCTCCAATAAAAATTTTCACGAATGTGCGAAAGGAAATTTTAAAAAGGATAAGGAAAAGATTAAGAGGTACTGATTGCATGAAGGTTGCATGAAGTTAGCCTTAGCCTTAGCTATTAGCCTTATAAAATATTAATCATTCTCTATTAATAGTATAACAAGCTGGAAAATCGAAGAATTCCTATGGCATCTAATATGGGAATTGGAACAGCGCGGGATCTCGCAAAAGTCCATTCATTGATCGTCGAAGGAAAGCTTTTCTCCGAACGATTTCTCCGCCAAATCCACTATCCACAACTTGACGAAATGGACATCATAAACGGTTATCCAGAAAATAAAGGATTTGGATGGATTTATAATAAAAACACATTGGTAAAAATATATGCCTTATTATTTGATTTTCTTCTAAGATTTTTATTCATTCTATTCATTTTTAAAATTCAAAAAATGCAACAAACCTGAAAAATGAATAGAATTCCAGAAATCCGAATTCCGATTCCCCTCAAAAAAAGGTGGAAAATGTATAGTCTGAAAAATAATCGATAAAAATAAAACTGGATCTTATGATTACAAAATGGCTGAGATTTTCAAACGAATTCAAAATCCTTCACTTCAACCATGAAAAAAACCTTCCGTGCCAATATTAATAGCGCATATTCCAGGGAAATTGGAACTTCGGTCATTCAGGTTACGGTGGACAAAATGTACGCGTTGTCTTGGATTCTAAGCTAGCTTACGCTTATGTCTGCAATGGCCTTAAAGCAGCGGACGCCGATAATGTCAGACCTTTTGCGAATCTTCAAGCTTGCTTATATGAATGTTTAAAAAAAAACTGCAGCTAGTTTCAACAAATCCAAGAAAATCACTCTTCAAATCCTCTTTAAGTGAGCAAATAAAGCAATTTAATTCAAACATATTTTACTCGAAAAACAAATTCAAATTTAAATAAAAAAACTGATGCTCAACTGTAAAGTGAAATTAATTGCAACTTATTGTATGAAAAAGTAATTAAGGTAACTTTTCAAATTACTGGTAAATTTAGGCAAAAAATGGGTTTTCCATGGGTATTTATCTTGAATTCTTAAAAACATCTTATAAATAATACTATGCTTCAATAAAAATATTTTCCCATTTGACTTTGTGTATAAACCAAATAAATCCTATAAAAATGAATAAAAGGACGACAAAGAAAATAATTGATCAAAAATGTTATAAGAAAAAAATTTTCCATTAAAAATTTTTGCAACATTTTTTTGACATTTTCTGATATTAACGTTTACCAATTACTGGATAATTGGAATAATTGGAACTAAAATTTTATAAACTTAAATTTATCAATAAATTTAAATTTACAAATCATTCAATTGGGCAAGTTTTATAAATATATATTACAACCTTCCCATGTACCATGTGATTCAATTTTCCCTAATTTGAGAGGAAAGGGTAATTTTCCTGTCGTATGATGTTTTTTTTTCAGTTGCATCAACATCCATTAAATCCTTAAAAATTCAATAACGCTTTAAATTTAATTCAGCAAATATTCGAGAAATCGTTTAAACCTTCTAAAATACTACGAAATATGCATTCCAAACTTCATCCAAATTTCAGGTTCTATATTTGCGTACAGCTCCATTTAGTAAAAAAGTCAATAAATATTCCAATAGACTGATAAATTTTTGTGAATGGAGTTATTTTTCATACTATTATTGAATTTAATTTAAATTTTATAATATAAATAAGCAATCTACTTATGCCCATCGCAATTATTTGTTAATGGTAAAGTGATATGTGATATGTGATATGTTGCTCATAGTTTCGTTCAAATGCCATCACAGAGCGTCACCATCGCTGGTTAGGACACGTTCTTCGCCGCCCACCACAAGAGTTTATACATATTTCATTATTTGCTAAATCCTATGTTGAGTGGCATGAAAAGCGAGGTGGTCCAATCAAGACCTGAACTGATACAGTCAAGAAAGATTTTGAACATATAGGTAGACCAGTAATATAGGAGCTTAGACGTTAGAAAACGAATGGATTCTATCAATATTAGCAATGATGACGGACCGATCAGCTTGGAAGCGACTTACCCTTGTAGCCTATGGAGCAAGCCTAACTAACTAATGGTAAGTAATGGTGAGAGAATGCAGCAATGTTTCTTTTTCCATATATTCAAAATTACCCTTAAAAATATTCTTAGAGTTTATTATTATCATTAAAAATAGTATTAATGACATTTAATTGATAAAATAGCGGAATGGAAATAATAGTTTAAATCATCTTTTTTTTGGTTCTTTCTATCAAAGAATAATTGTTGATGCAGCTGTTTATAAAAATAGCAAAATTTTTTCTCAAATATTCGAAACAAATTCCAAATTAATTTCTATTTTGAATAATAATTTTCTGCTATTTCGCTTAATTTCGCTTATTAAATAGAAAACAAAATGTAGAAATTTTGTTTCAAAGATTTTCAAAGATTCTTTTAGCATTGCATCGATATAAATGAATAAACTGAATAATTGCTTAAAGTAGTTTGGCAAGACGATTACTTCGATAAACGAGAAAATAAGGATTATTTCGTTGGAAGATATTTTTCCGTGATTGATCTCTTCGTTCCTTGGCTTCACAAATTATCGTCGCATAATTCGTTGCATGCTAGTTTAATAAAAATAAAAAATAATATTTAATATAATATTTAATAAAAAATTTTATACTAATTGCTTCAGCTATAATCATCATTCGTTAACATTCATTTAGCGAAGTGTCGCCTTTGAAATAATTCTGGACGAAGCGCTTTTGGAAGCGAATTGTACGAGTTTTTAGACAGCCGTATCCTATTTCGGTTTCTCCTTATTTCGGCCAACAGTTTCTGAAAAAAAAAAAATTAAAAGTAGAAATGGAACTGAACTAGTACTATCTACAAGATTTATCATTCCATTTATCATTCCTATTCACAGTATAATTCGTTGCTTCATGTTGAGCAGAGTTCATTGTAAAAATATTTATTGTAAAAATATAATTTCCAGGATAAATTGATTTCTCTTTATTTGCCTTTTGCTTCATTCACAATATTTTGCAATATTATATATGCACTATTTGTGCTATGTTTTGCCGATTCAAGTTTGCTGGATGTTTCGCCAAATTGCAAGAAATTCACTATTTTCATGACTTAAGCATAGTTTATTTACTAAAATAAGCGTTCTCAATTATCAGTTATCAAATTCGAGATCGAATCAATTTTAATTAGTTAATATTCTAGTAAATTTTGTTAAAATTATTATTATTATTATTATTATTATGCGCTATATAAGGATTAATTAAACAGATTAAATTTATTCACAATTCGTTTGAAAATTATCTGATTAATAAAGGGACTTTTCAGATGAAATGTGGATTTTTTATTTATTTTGCTTTTTTATATCTATTTTGATAGTTCTTATAGAACTAAATTTTGATGATTTGCAAGTGATTTCGCTTATTGGACTTTCTTTTACGAATTTGAATCAATTGCTGCAAATGGCAAATAATTCGAGAAATTTTTCTTTTCCATGGCATAAGGGCGATGATAAAAAAAAAGTTTGATTATATTGTCAAGAATCTGTAAATTTCTCGCTTTTTTGAATTTTTATCGAAAATTTCTTGGACTACTTATCATTTCTCGATTAGTCGCCCTTTAGATTAGTACTGCGCTGGCTTATCGAAAAATTTCACCAAGAAATTACTTGGTGATAGAAATGCACGTGAATCACGCCAGTATCATTCAGATAATTATCATTCAGAGAAGTCCTGCAGAAGTTCTTGAATCTTGCCGAGAGTAGAACCATAAATAGCATTGGTAATAGATAAGTATATTTCAAAAACCTCGCAATAAAATTTTATCAATTTTAGTTGAAACTAGACACATTAATACTTTCATGGAATGATTCTTTCACAAATCAAGCGATGTATGTGAAATATGCCATAAAAAATTGCAATTATAAATGTGAAGTGACAACAGATCAAAAGTATTATATATTTATTATATATTATATATTTAATTCTCTCTAAAATTTATTTATTTGATTTAGAATAATTTTTTTACTAAAAATTTTTTAAAATAATCATTTTGAAATTTTTAAATTAATTAATAATAATTTAAAATAATTAATAAATTAATTATAAATTTGCTTAGGAAATATCTCTCAGCTGGAGCAGTTCTTTTTCTCTTACCGAATCCAAAATTGATGCCCATTGCGAGACATCCAAATCAACTTTATGTCTTTTTAAATGGTGAATCACCGATAAATTCATGGAAAATACCCGAATCGATGAATGAAGAATTTTTTAATATAACAATGACTTTCAGGTGATCTATAAATTTATTAATGCATTTTCAGCAAATTCTAATATTTAAATATGGAAAATTTATTGTTGATTGCTTGAAAGGCACTTAGAATTTTAGCAAAAAGTTATAAAAGTTGTTAAAGGTTGGACAGCGATATACCATGTCCCTACGGCGGTTTAAGGCGAATCAACAATTCAACTGCTTCGAACAAAATTTGGAGATGGAAACAGGCAAAATATAATTTCAAATTAAAAGTATTTCTCGAGCGAAAGGCATAAAAGCCAGTCTTTTTTTCGCTAATTTGGCCAAGTGATACATACATACATGTCTATCTTACTAAATAACTCATTATTTTCATGAGATATTCTCCAGAAATCTCACAGTGCATGGTTCTTCAATTGCAATCATATATATCTTCATAATTTTAGCAATAAATATTAGTTAATTTTAGCAAAAAATATCAAATGGTATTCGCGGAATTCGGCAAAAAAATAGAACTATTGATAAAATATTGATAAAGTATTAATACGATTTCATGAAATCATAGCCATCATGGGCTAATCGTTCAAAAATTTCAAAAAACTTTAGAAATAGTATAATAAATTCGTTAACAAATAAGATAATTATTTAATAATGATAATAACAAAAGAATGCCCAAATTTATATCAAAAATATTATCGCTTATTCTGCTAACTTCTAGGACTAAAGAAATTTTGCCAGGCGATAGACGTATAGGTGAATCGCCTGTGCCAGCATCACCCATGAGCCATTCTATTCTTCCTCAATAATTTGAATAAAACGAAAGAAAACTGACTGGAAAAAATTCAACTTCAACGAGTTTTACCGAAAATTCTCAATAAGCCACAAAAAACCTTAAAAATTATTCAATCGTAGGTCGTCAGAATGGTGAAGCAGAAAACCAAATCGGTCCTTCAGTTTGTTTCAAATTGTAATGCGAGCTCGGGCAGAGATTTATATACGAAGGAACTAGCACAATATATTAGCGTATCGCTATACGGCAGTTGTGGTGAAAAGATATGCTTTGGACACTGTGAAAAATTAGCGGTTGGTAAGAGTTATAAAATTTTAGTTGTAAAATTAGATTCTAAGAGACCCATTTGGCTTATAAAATTTTCTATGATATGTATTTTTTATTTTAATTTTAATATTTTTTACTTAAATGATATTCAATATATTTCAGCAAAACATCGCTTCTATTTAGCATTTGAAAACAGCATATGCAAGGATTACGTAACGGAGAAGGCGTTTTATCGTTTGGACCAATTACTCGTTCCAATCGTACTTAAAGGCTCTTTGTATAAAAATATTTTACCTGAAAATTCTTATATTGCTGCAGACGACTTCGATTCTCCGAAAGATCTCGCTAAGTATCTAAAATATCTCGAAAGCAATACGACTGCATATTTGAAGTCTTTTTTTTTTAATATTTAAAATATCTTAAAATATTTTTAAATAAATATTTTAGAAAAATATGTAAGAGAAAATAAGAATCTTATCATTGTTTATAAAAAAATAAAAAATCGCTACGATTAATCTGAAACAAATTTCTAATAAAAATATTTCAAATATTCAATATTTAATATAATATTATTAATATTTTAATATTATTAATATTTTCAATTTAAAATTCCTATTAGCCATTTTAAAAATTTAAAAATTTTAAGATATTTCAAATGGACGAAAAAATATACTAAAACATCATTCATAGCGACACCAACTTCAAGTATTTTCATTTCTGGCTTTTGTAAATTATGCGAAATATTGCATCGAGGCGTTAAAAAATCGACTACCGTTAATATAAAATCGTGGTGGTTCGAGAAAGGGCAATGTGAAAAATTTTATGTTCAAAGACTTCTTAATCGAAAAAAAAGAAGTAAATTTTGAAAATTTTTGGAAATTTCAAATTTGTTACATTTCAGCCAACAAAGCGCTTTTCTCATTTATTACGATATAAACGATCTTCTTTTATTGCTAATTATTATTTGATAAATCTTTATCAAATCATTTTATCAATTGTGATATATTCTTATAGACAAAAATTTAGAAATCTATGGCAAATGAATTTCAGTATCAGTATAAAGCATTACCACAAGCCAATAAATTGTTTGATGATAAATCTTTATCAAATCATTTTATCAATTGTGATATATTCTTATGGACAAAAATTTAGAAATATATGGCAAATGAATTTCAGTATCAGTATAAAGCATTACCACAAGCCAATAAATTGTTTGATGATAAATCTTTATCAAATCATTTTATCAATTGTGATATATTCTTATGGACAAAAATTTAGAAATCTATGGCAAATGAATTTCAGTATCAGTATTATACTACCACAAGCCAATAAATTTTCCTTCGCTTCACAGAAGGAAAATTAAATTTTTATATTTATATTTTTTTTTTTAGTTTAAAACGACTCTTTTAATTTTTAAAATTTTTTTTAGATCATTTTCTTAAGGAAAATTTATTTTTCGCAAATACGTTCAGTTTCACTAAAAAAATTTTATTTAGACAACGTGCAAAAAATTCGAATTCAATTTTTTCTGCAAATTGATAACGAATTGATAACATGGAAAAGAAAATCGATGCCTTCCTTACTAGGATAGCCAAGCGAATGACAAATACCTATTTGTCACTGGCGATAGAGTAAGAAGTTCCAAACCTTCCGATGTCATTACTGAAAAGATGAATGAAGCAATTCTTTTTTCCACCTAAGCCCATTCATTTAAGCCCAATCTGGATTGCCTATGCGTCCAAAATCATTCCTGACCAATCCCTTTGGTTCTTGTTTTTGACCATCCATCACGGGGTTAGCAATTAGCCACATGTGAATTAATTTCTTTGATGAACAACAAAGAATACGGCGAAACTCGCAAATGTTCTTTGTGAGATTGTTCTTAATACAGATATTCGAACGAAACTCTTTTACTTTCACTAAGTTTCGCAGGCATATAGTAGGGCTATGTACACCGCAACCAGAAAGTATTTACATTGATTTAAAGGCCAATTTTCGTCTAATCTTCTATCAGCATCCGGTCTAGCGTCTGCTCAGAGTTCGGAGTCCTCTGGACTAATATATACACCTTTAAGTGCCAATAAACGGAATCCATTACCCAATCTATCGCATATTTAAAAACTTGAAGAGAGAACTTTGACGCACTTGTTTCAAGAATTATATCAATTCCCCGTGTCTGCACTTTGATAAGTCTAATTTCTCTGGAACAGCATCATAACTTGCCAGAGCACCGCCCTATCAATAGAATCAAAAGTAGCTGTAAAATCGATGAAGCACGTAGGTTGTTGACACTTTGTCATGCGGGGACTTAAAAAATGTACGAGAAATAACAGCGTCCAGAGGTGAAAATTCTCGCAATTCTCCAGTTAAAATAATTTCTAAAAAAATAATTTTTACGGTTCACCGGTTGTTTAAAATCCTCGAATTTGTTTCTCTAAAACTTATTATGCTGTTTCAAGTTTTTCAGGTAAATCTTAAAAACTGTCTTCACAATAGCCAAGCTATTGTTCCTTCTCAGCCTGAATTCCACTATTCCATTGTCCCCTTCCTGACCACATTTTCAATTGATTTAAAACTGATGACCGCAGCACTCCTTTCCTACGACCCAAAACACAAAATTGATCTTAACTGCCCGGCACTTCATAAAATATTTAGCTTTGCGTGTATTAAGTGTAAACAAACATACAACCTTAGCTTATCATTAATATATTCCTTAATCCCATAATACCGAAAGATATCCACACACTTTAAATGATTTTTCTGATAAACGATGAATCTCTATTTTGGTTGGTCTGTTCATTGGTTCTTTGGTCTAATCATTTTTAAAATTTTTATTTATCAGTTATTCTTTAAATAAATCCTTTGGAACAATAATTCTAAAGACAAGGACAAAAAGAATTAATATTTAAATGATAGTACTTCTCCAATAAGTACTTCAAACAAACTTTAATAGCCACACGAAAAAAGTAAACAATTATATTCGATATATAACGACACAATACAAAGAAAAAGTGGAATAATCAGAATAATAGTTCACACAGGCATTATATTAAACATTAAACAAATAAACTTTATTTTAAAAACCTAGCAGAAAAAAATTAATGCATACATTATCAAAAAATTAGCAAAAATGAACACGCGGTGTGAAGCAACATGAAGTGCATTGAACAATACCCTTTAAAACTTCCAAAAAAAACGGAGAATGACAACATAACTGACAAAAAAACCAAAATTGTAACAAAATCTTAACCATAATTCCCATTAGTAACAAATAAATGATTAGCACAAACATAGAATGAAATGTATAACACTGGTACCCGTATCGCGCTTATCAGACCTCAGAAATTAATGCGATGATGACGAAGGTATAACACTAAAATAATTACCAGTACGAAAAGATACGCATATATAAACGCCAATCTAATAATAATCAAACATATATACGAGCAATGCATAGCAATTCGCTGGACGGCTATTATAAATGGTTTATGGAGGCATAAAACAAAAATTAAAAGACGGTCTCAAAGAGCAAATAATGCGGTAAAAATTATTTGAAAAAACTAAATAGCGTGAAAAAAAGATACAGAAACAATATTGTATAATTATAAAAAAATGGAAAAATGATGGATCCGAGATCTTACAAAATAATACAAGATAAAAAAGACCAAATTCCAATAATATGCGCATCGAGTACCAATTAAACGAAAAAGGCGAAATATTTAAGAGTGTTGCCAATAGTTCATGTGCCCACAGCGCATGGGAAAAATACCATTAAAAAAACTAAGTTAAAAGGATTAAACAGATGCTGATCCCAAATAAACATTTTAAAAATTTTCAGATTCTCAAACCATTCCATTCAATATTGCTGTTGAAACTGATAGCCAGCCTGAGGTTGGGCTTGAGGAGCACCATAGCTAAACTGATTTTGTGCTCCCGTAACAACGGACTGTCCATAAGCATACGCCTATATTAATAATAAAATAACTATTACTAAACGTACGGAAAGATAAAATAATGACGAAAAAATTTCTCATAAAATATAATCTGAGGGCCTGGAGATTTCAAAACAATTCTTTAACACTTACTGCGTTGCCATTACCTGTTTTTACTTGGTACAAAAAATTATCAATAAAAGTTTACCGGTTGCTGAGGACGCGCTGGTTGTGAATTGGACTGTGCGGCAACTGCAACCGCTGCAGCAGCACTCTGTTTCAATTGATTTTCGATAAGTGCGGCTTGTTCATGCATACCTATACTACGATAATACTCAGCCCATTGCGCACTATAATCTGGCTGTCCTAAAAAAAAATGGGAAAAATTACAAAAAAAATTAGACTTGAAAAATCAATACTAAAATTGCAAAATTAGACTTTGCAACAGCTAAAATTTTTTAAAGCTACTATTCACTATGTCCAATTTCATTGTTAAAACTATTCAACCTGTTTGTGGATTCACTGAAGGAGCTGCACTTGCTTGAGCTGGTTGAGGTTGTGCGCTAGGCTGCTGATATTGTGTTCCATACGCATTTTGCTGATAACCTGGCTGCTGCTGCCCTTGCTGTCCATAATATTGTTGAGCCTGAGCCTGGGCCCACGCGGCTTGCGTAGGATCATTCTGCTGATGTCCTATTATTTAATGTTTATAATCGATAAATGACAAAATAATGTAAACCAGGATTTTAAAGATGAGTTATTTTTTCCGCCTATAATATTTATTTTGGGTAAAAACAAATGAACAATGGCAAATTTGGCGCAATATAATAAAACAAATATGGTGACACAAAATGAATTCTCCAAAAACGCCATTAAAAAATCAACGACAAGAAATTTACCAAAATTACTATTCCACTGCGCTCCTGCTTGTGCTGCACCAAACTGAGCTGTTCCATTACCGTAAGGCTGTGGTGCGCCTTGGCCAGCAGCATGAGCCACTCCGAATGAATCACCAGCGGCGGCTGGTCCACCTTGTCCCATAAACTGCGGAACTGGTGTTCCAGGAGATATATCTCCCACCTGAAAATGGAAGAAAATAAAATATCTTGCATCTGAAATAAATGAAAATAAAAAAATATCTTGTATCTGAAAACAGAAAAAATAAACGATCAATTTTTAACATACCTTGATTCGTATGATATGTTGCGCATGATGTATTTGATATGGGGTTCCTTTCACAATGAAGACTTTTTCAGAAGCATTTGGTGGCGGGTCGCGTGAAAGTTCCACATGCGCTCCACTTTCTGCACATATCTAAAAAATAATATTGCTGACTGGCTAACTGCAAATGCACAACGAGCAAAAAATTAATTTTTTACAAAAACAAAAACAACATAACATTTTCAATAAAAACAAGTAGAAGAATGGACCTGTTTAATAGTTTCACCACCCTTGCCGATCACCAGACCAGTTTTGTTAGATGGCACATGCATGTAAAACATTTCAGTACCACCGATTGCGCCACTTTTGGTAACCAAATCTGATATCAATTCAGTTGCTTTGCTTATTTGTTCTGATGTTCCTTGTATTACAGCACAACGATCAGGAGTGGACTGGTCTTCTAAAATTAAACAAATTAAACAGGATATAATCATATTAAAATTACCACTATTTTTTCTTGAAAAATATCACTTACCATCTGGCTTAAACTGGATCTTTGCACCAGATTCTGCTGCAAGTCTTTTGATCGTCTCACCACCTTTCCCAATAATCATACCAACAGATGCGCGAGGAACAATTACCTGAATAACCTGAATAAGCCATACACATGTTTCACAAGGTGTGCTGCATGACATTTAAAAAAACGATATCGATATCTCAATAAAAAAAAAAAGCACGATAACATACTTCACCGATGGAACGCTGTGCACCAGGCATTGAAAATTGTGTACCTCCAAATGCACCACCGAATCGCTGCCCAGGTGGATGATCTTCACGCGACTGAAGTATGTCTTCAACCATTCGTCGAGCATTTTCGACTTTTTCAGGATCTCCCATTATTCGAAGAGGCTTTGGTTGACATCCACTCTCTTGATTTTCTTGAACAACAAGCATTTTTACGCCAGTTTGTTCCTAAAATAGACAATATTTTGAAAAAACGAATAATATGCTAAATGCAAGAAATCTATGATAAAAAACCTGAATATTTTTGATAGTTTCCCCTCCTTTGCCAATTACCAAACCACATTTTGCTCCAGGAATAAGCATTTCATGAGTTATTTGTCGACCAACTCCCCCACCACCAGGATTGAAATTGTCGAAATGTCCTCCAGGACGATTCGGTGGCGGACGGTTTCCCGCGCGATTAATTACCTGGAACGAAAAAAACATTTTAATAAATAAATAAAGGTTGAAAAAAAATTTAATGAATTTTATTTCAATTTTTGTCTGTTCTAATCAATATTTCTAACTTACCTGCTTCGATGACAATAGCAAAAAATTCTTTGGTATAATATAAAAAGAATAAAAGTTTAAAAAAAAAGATAATACGATAATAAATGAAAGAAAAAACCATAAAAGCCTTCTTACAATAAACCAATAAAATCGATACACAATATGGAGAAAAACAATTAAAATTAAGCAAAGATCTGACCACCGAATCAAAATTCACTGAACGATAAGTTATCTCCATGTTATGTAAAGATCTTCTCGGTTTATGTTTTTATTCTAAGGCCCTCACCTCTTGATTTTTAAGTCTAGCAGAGACTACCTCTTGAATCATTGCTCTGGCACGATCTACAGCCATCTTGGTGCCCTGCAATGTACACTGACGCATGTTATTAGCATCTGACTCTGGTGACATCTGAACACGGCAACTTGTTTGGGTCTGTATTTGCGATATTTGTTCCCCGCCACGTCCAATAACTATAATAGCTAAGTTAGAAAAAGTTAAAAAATTAGAAAAAGAGCCACACATAATCACCAAGTATTTGTCATTCCACTACAGACTTCTTCTGCTTTAAAATATAGTTCGGTGTAATTCGGTGTCATAATGAAACTAGTGGAATTATAGAATAAAATTAGTGGTTACATAGGCTTCTTACAACGTGAAAATCTCTGCTTTTTTCTTAACAGATTTTTTTAATGCTTTTAGTGTAACTGCCTCTCATTAAAAAGATATCTTTGATCCTCCTTGAAATTTTAGTATAAATACTTATGTATGAGCAGACTTTTCCATTTCTCATCCTTATCCTCTTGTGCGAAAAAAAGATGTAAAAACTTTCTCCCTGCATGTGGCTCGGAATGCGCTATTCTGGCTTTACTAAGAGTTCTTTTCAGAATCCCTCAAAACAATGTGCAATTCGCTACTGGGAAAGGAATAAGTTTTTCATTTATTTTTTAAGCTGAAAAAAGTGAGAAAACAATTTCTGCCAATGGTTTACAATTGGTTTATTAATGAGCAACACAAACTACTTTCTATGAATTTTTAATGCATGATATAAACCGTTCTTTGGAGAATCTCCACCTAAAAACATCTCTTTTTTTATGACGCACTCCAAATACTGCTACAAAAAAAACGAAGAAAAATAATACCCAATCCTACGCAGTGATCAGGAACCTCCATGGTTTCGCAAATGCATTCGCCAGCCCCACCTTGTGGTGGCATACCACCTCCTCCCATGCCCATATGGCCTGGACCCAATGTTGAGATTTGCATGCTTCCTCCCATTTCCATCGCGTTTCCGATGGAATTGACCCTTTTGGTCGGATATACTGAAAGAAAAATCATAAACCATAAAACCATATAAACCAAAAAAATTGCGATGATTTAAATATTATATAAACTAGAGAGGGACAACTTCATTATAAAGCAAAATATGCATTAATATCCATGTATACCTCACTCTTGTGCAAATGATAACAATATTACAAAAGAATTCCCAATTATTAAACGAGCCAAGAAAAAAATCTGGAAAATATTTACCAAAAAACGGCAAACGTATGAAAGCGTCAAATAAGAATATGACAGCCCGAAATTCATATATAAATAAACGAAAGAATCGTTATGATCGAATCGAAAAACAATGAGGTTTCAACCAATGGGAAAGGACATGATAAAATGGATGACTTTTGAGGGTGGCGAAATTATTTATTTAATGAGGATCATCGAAGATAAATATATCACATAAAATAAAATATACGCAAAAAAAACAAAATGATCCTTTTACGGATTACTATAAAGTGGCATGATTGCAATTTTCACGTACAATTAGATGAATCGTCCGAAATTGGTCGTTTGTGTGCGTTTGCGTGGGAAGAAGCAGCGAGCTGAACATTTCAAACAAAATTGAAACTTGAACATATTACGAAATAAGAAAAATATTTTTCTATAAAATATATATTAATACACTGCAATAATTTAATGTACCAAATAATGAAATTTCACTAAATAATGAAAACATCACAAATAAAAAAAAAAAAAACTAACCGTTTTAGCTAATGTCTACGAATACTAATGCTTATATTTACGATCAATTTTAACTAATGAGTAAAAGTAATGCAATTCTCAACTAATCACATTGATATCTTCTTTTCACAACAAAGTGTCTTAATTATACCATATATCAAATGATAACAAGTGCATTACAATATTTTTGATAAAAACAGTACTAGCAACATTTTTTCAATAGCTTATTAGCGAATGATTTTAACTACAAACGTAAATATTAAATGCAGTACATAATACCTTCAGTGAATTATAAGTTACCTATTACAATTTTCCAACCAGTGAGTTCCAATCAACTATAAAATAAGGAAATAAATTTTTAAACAAATAAAATAGCTGAATTTGATTTTAATTTCTTGAAAGAAATTCCAATTTATTAAACTCTTCTTCATTAACACCACTATACTCTATTCTTTAAGGTATAAAGTAATTGACGGAAAAAGCAATTCCAAATGATAAATGCATCCAAAATTTTTCGGTTTCATATTCTTAATATTTTACACTTTAATTTATCAAACAATGAACGAACAAAATAAAACCAACATACCAAATGCAAGATATAAATGCGATAAAATTCCTAGTTTCACATAAAATTAAAATGAAGCGTTGAACATACTAAATATTCAAATTGTTCCCACAAATTTTATGAACTCATATTAATCATATACTTGGCCAATAAAATACTTAAGAAAAAAACCAATGACTTTACGTATTAATACTTCAAAAAGCAATACGAATAATCATCCCTCAATTATTAAACTATAACTATTCAAATATATTATAAACCATTAATCAAATTCGAATCACCATTGCATGAAGAAAAAAAATGATGAAGCCCATTATGGAAATAATTATCGAGATAAATAAACACTAGGCAGTCAAGTTTATTAAGTATTGATAGGTTTAGCCAACAAAAAAAAGCAAACCAAAACGAACTTAAGCAATTATTATCTAACAGTTAAATAGTTAAAAATCAATATCAAAACCAAAATTCCCGAATGCATGAATTAAAAAGATCAGACAACCTTGGTACATAATATCTCTAAATATCCAATCCCACAAAAAACAATAAACTGGATCCAGAAAAATTTTTCCATCATCTACAGTATAAAATTTGTGAAGCAAAAGAAATCCTAAAAAAATTTAAGGAAAACCTCGGTGCCACATAATCCACAACAGGGCTCAATCTGAGGCTACAAGGCTCAATAACTATTACCTTCTTATGAATTAAATAATTCATTATTAAAAAACTGTGATAATTAGGATCAAAACTAAATAAAATACCTCATAATTATTGTTTAAATTGGTTCAAAATTTCAGAAAATGTTAAAAAAATAACCTCTTTAGCGCGTTGTAGAGCGTCCTGTATCGCGTCGGTTGATATTACGCCTGTAGACATGCCTCGACAACAGCCATTAATAGATAAATCAACTAGTAATACAACTTTCTTTCACTTCGGAAATGCACTGCAAAAAACGAATTCCACTTTCAATTTTTCAACAAATTTTAATAAATTGTGCGGTTTTTCAAGAGTAAAACACTTCCATGCAAAAAACGAAAACTTTCCAAAATTACACCTGCTTGAAAGAACGCAGCCTCATTCCATATGTATTCACTTTTATGATTTTCTACATTAAAAAAACAAAATTTCCGCAAAATATGATTTGATTTCCTATGAGTTTCACTTGTCTCATGTGCACATATTTTTTATTTTCAATAAAAAAATCGTCGTAATATGAAAATTTTAAAAAAAATTGTTTCAATAATAATGAATTTTTTTCTAATGAACGAATATTTAACAAAAAATTGCTGATTAAATATATTTAAAAAAATTGAAGTATTGATAAAAACAATAAAGATGATTAAAAATATTAAATGTAAAGGATTTAGTCGGTAAATGAAAATAATTTAATTCACTAAAAAATCATCATGCAAGTCATCGATGCTTTGAATTAATTTTGAAAAAATATTAAGAAAAAATGAAATGAAAAACAACAATCAACAATTAATAATTACTGATTTTGCTACTGGGAGATTTCGCTACTAACCATAACGAACTCCCTTCTTCCTAAAATTGAAACACTCCAAGCAAACCTTTCCCCTCTATCGCAACTCTTACTTCAAAAATGTGAACCTTTCAACTGACCCTAAACTGTGCCCCAAAACAACAAACCAAACTTTAAGGGAAACTCCCCGCCACCCCACAAAATCCTCCCCGCAGCTACTGTTGTTAATCAATACGCAAGTGCTATGCGAAACGTGTCACGCGTGCATCATTAATCCATTCTTCACAATTTTGTCATAAGTAGGTTTTCGTTTCAATGTTTATTAAACGCGCCAAATTTAAAACGTAATTTGATAGTTATTTTTAGCACAAAATTTATAATCTAACTTGATAATTTAATAATTTTATTGCATTGTACAAGCGCAGTGGGAGAGGGGAAGGGGAGAGGAGAGGAATAAAAGAGGTCCTCGCAATTTTCGCAATTTTCCTGCGTACGAATTGTTGCGAATCAAAATATATACTAATAAGAAATGCGCTATTTGGCTAGGAAGCAATTGTCTGAAAAAGCTACCAAAGCACAAATGTTATCCTTGCTATCCGTTACTTCGAAAAATACATAACGGTAGAGATAGAATAGAAATCGTTATTGAAGCTATTGGAGTTACCTTGAAAATGGAGACGACTAACGACTACTCGATTAAGTAATAATAGAAAATTATTTGTTCATGTAGCAACTATGACTCTTGAAACGAAGAGGTCAATCAAGACCGGGACTCAAAGATTTTGAGCTTATAAGTTGTCGAAAGGCGAAGATAACTACAAATTTGAGCAGATCATCTACGTGCAACGCATTTCGCATACTATACACCTCTTACCCAGCGAGAATATTGAGAAAATAAGAGAAACAACGAGTTGAAAAAGCTATTAGAATATTAGAGTACCTCATGAGTGAGAGGTACAAAAAAGAATCTGAGAGAATGGAAGAAAAATGTTCATGAATCTTCCCTCCATCCATCTCAGAACGTATATAAGCTCTCAAGAGACCATTTAGTCATTTTGGGGATATTTTGGGGATATTTAGTCATTTTGGGGGAAGGAACAGTGGAGTTGGAAAGAAAAAGTGTGGGAAATGGATTGGAGATCTGGGGAATATTGGGCAAGAATATCTTCTTGCATTCTTGTTCTTGCATTGGCGTTACCGATTGCCTTATCCATCTCCCATACATTTGCCATTCGGGTGCATATATCGCACCAGTTTATACGATTTGTTAATATTCTATGATTTCTTCAGTCTTTATATTTTCGGCATATTTTAAATAGATTTTATTACCCAAATTTGAAAATCCATTATTTTGCAGTGATATATATAAGGAGAATGCTGGCTAGAGAATATGTAGTGATTTTATGTAGTTCAGAAAATTACCGCATGATTGAAAATAGAACGGATTCTCGAAGAAGCTTTAAGAAAATATATATTAGAAGTCGCCGTGCTTCAGTTTCTGTGGACTATCAGTATATGGACTTAGACGATGGAAAAAAGAATGGTTTGAGCTTATAATGGTTTCTTTTACTTTCAGAAGTGGCATCGAATCGAACAGCGTGCAAACTCTCCTTACCTTTTACCCTTTCAGACTTACTAATATAGCCAATCTAACCGGTAATAATGAATTTCATAATTATAAATTAGGTTTGCTGAAAGTATACATTGAACTATGCTACTCTTACATTTTCCATAAGCGATTCGGTTTTATGGCATATTTCTTCATTTAGTAGCATTCATCATTTCTAATTTGCCTTTTTTATTGACTTCTGAAGTAAAATACCTTCACTGAAGAGCCACCCGAGACGATACAGATGGATCACCAGCACGACCCGATCAGCCTGTTACAATAATTAATTTGTCAGTCAGTGGTAAAGCTGGGTCTCTTGACCCTTTACGGTTATATTTCGGTTCTGTACTTATAGTTAAAGTCCATATATTCTATCTGAATCTAACGTATGGGTCATTTTCTTGTAAAATGATTGAGTGATGCATCTTCTTCTTCTTCTTAATCTAATAGCTCTCATCATTCCTGTTAGACTGGCTGCGCTGGCTATAAGAGTAAGACGTCTCCAAGCTGCCCGGCCATCGCTAGTAGTAATAGAAGCCATTCCTTTTTCCATCGTCTAAGTCCATGTATCGCTGGTCTACCTATACGTTCAAAATCTTTCCTGACTGTATCAGTCCAAGTCTTGGTGAGCCACCTCGCTTTTGACGCCATCCATCACACTCGGTTTAGTGATGCGACCTACGACTTTATAAATTGCATCTCCAACGCTCAGTCTGTCGGTATTTGATTTGGTATCTGATTTCACAAAATAAAATAATGAGTGGTGGATCGGTGTGAAAATTTATTTTGAATAATTAATCCTTACAAATTCTTCAAGAGTACCATTAATTCACATGAAAGCACTCAACTAATTCGGTGAGAGATTCCATGAAAAAATTTATACGAACCAGTGGAACGAGTTTAGCCACACATATTAAGTATTCTTCAAAAGATAATGCATGATACAGTTTTTTTTCTAAATCGCTCGTTGTTCTACTTATCTTTAAATATTTCCAGTGTTTTTTTTCCATGAGTACTTATCATAATACAAGAGAGAGGGGTAGGTTAGCCGAATCGACAGTGGCTAAGGTTATCGCGTTGGATATAAGAATTCGGATCCTATCTCAGGCAATAATAAATCTTCCACCAGAAAACCTGAGCTATATTGGCTCTATTTGCATTTCTAGCACCAGGCGATTTCTTGTCAAAAATTTTTATCATTTTGTCAGATGATTTTTATCAGATAATTTTTATCAGATGATTTTTCGTTGTAATTGTTTGCAATTTGGTCTTAAAGCAATTATTTGCATTTTAATGATTATTTTATTTTAAATTGGGACATTTATTTTCAAGGATTTATAGGTTTATGGTGTCGGCGATCGGTGGTGCTTCGGTGGTGTCGGGCAGGTCATCTACGATGACGTTGTTCTTTGCCGTTTGTTTTGCTGCCTCCTAGGACATAAAAAAGTAATTGGAGAGGAGAGAGCGAGAAGGAAAAAAATTTTAAGAACGATATGGACATGGAGAATATAATGATATAATGAATATAATGATAATGATGGTATTATTATCAGTGCTTTTTCATTTCTTGCATATTTTCTCAGTAAAATGGATTAATAGAATTCCTCATTTAATTTAATTTTGTCAATATTATTTATACAATTTAATTGATTTGATTTAATTTAATTGATTTAATTTTAATTATTTAGAAGTTATCTGCCTTTAACCACTCTTGTCTAAGGTATATTTTACGCCGAGTGGATAAAATCTTACAAGATCGCATTCGTTCAAATACCACTTGCATAAATAATGTTATCACCGCCTTCGCTGGATAGAGGACATTCTCCATGGTCCACTACAGGAGTTGGTGCATATTTCGTTATTTGCTAAACCGTGTGACGGTTGGTGTCAAAAGAGAGGTGGGCCAATCAAGACCTGGACTGATACGGTGAGAAAAGATTTTGAACGTATAGATGGACCAGCAACATATGGAAAAAGGAATGGCTTCCATTACTGTCGACGATAGCATCAGACCGCGCCGCTTGGAAGCGTCTTACCCTTGTGGCCGTTGGAGCCAGCCTAACCAAGGAGAAGAATTTTGTCAATATTTTGGTTTTGTCAACTTTTCATTGCATATTTGATGCAGTTTTTTTCCGTGTAATTTTGATAATATTTCATTTTATTTTGGCAATATTTTGCCATTTTTGTCAATTTCAGGATTGTTCCGTTTAATTTTTTAGCAATATTTATTCTAATCTTTATGAACACATTTGAGGTTCGAATAGCTCAGTAGATTTGATCAATTCGGAGCGTCGGCGCCGAGGTTCTACCCCTCGTAGGAGTTAGTCGACCTGTGATTCAAAAATCCAGGTGACTCAATTGCATTTCTATTGCCAACAGACTCCTTGGCACATTTGTCTATCGAGGCAAGCCAGCGGAACGAATTTAACCATTAATGGTGATGGCTCTTAAAAAAAAATTGCGCAAACTGTTCGAGCAAATGCCTTGTAGCGTTAATGAATAAAAAAAGTGCCTGGAAATTTGCCTATGACATTTCCAGTCCTTCAATATGTTTTATGTGTTCCCTCTTCGCAAATATTCTGTGGATCTTATCGAAAAATTATATTTTTATTTAATTCAACAAATTTGATTTTGTTCGTTGAGAAAAATTGCTCGCTTTTATATTACGAGAAATTACTTTACAAAAATTGTCCTAAATTGCATCCAAGATTTGCAAAAAAATTTTAAATATTCTATCAGTAATTTTTAAAATAAAAATTTATTTTGGCGACTGAGAAGGTGAAATAAAAAGTGAATAAGCGCAGAGAGGAAGTACGTTTGCTAGGAAATTCATAGAATGCATAACTGAAGTGTACCTTCTCATCTCTTTATGATATTTAGAATTAATCAGTTTTATTAATTTTTCAAAATAGAAAATAAATTTTTATGTTCGCTAAAAAAATTTTAAATTTCGAATAAATTTAAGAAATAAATTTCAAATGGAAGTACCATAGTAAATTTTGGATAGGTGTACCATGGTAAATTTTAAATGGAAGTGCCAAAATAAATATATTTCAACATTTCTCAATTGCACTAATTGAAGTTTGCTTTTTGTATAGTTTATATTAACGTTCTTTTTCTGTGATTTTTTTTTATTGAATTTTTCGCTAATTTCGTTAATTTATTCTTTTTAATATTATATATAAACCTAAGAATCTTTTTAATAATTATGAGATAATTTTTTTAAATTCGTAATTTAATTATTATTAATTAATTAATTATTAATTTAATTATTAATTTATTATTTATTTAACTATTAATTTTGTGATAATCGATTGAAAATTTATTATTAATATTGTTTATTAAAATAATTTTAATTTGTGTTTTTTAGCAGTATTTTATTAAATATTAATTATTATTATTCAGCAGTATTATTATTATTTTTTCTTTCTAATTATCACTGTTTCGATTTATTTATCTGACTTATCGGATCAGACAAATTTTGCTGGAGAATTATATATCTATAAAAATGCAAAAGTGAGTCGTTAGCGTCAATCCGAATTTTTGAACGGCAATTTCAAGGCTGTGGGGCGTAGAACGTCAGGCACATCGGCACTTCAGCAACAATTCACCGAGCCTTTTATCATTTTGCTTTCGCTGTTTGACGACAGTTTGACGCAGCTCGACGAAGGTGATGATGCGTGGGCCGATTCGTAACGGAAGCTATTCTTGATTCTCGATTTGCAATCATTTTGCCACTAAGCCATTATTTTTTCGTATAGTTCGAATATTTTTCGATGTTTATAAGGAGAATTGTGAAATTTTATTCCTTCAAAAAAATTTTCAGGCCGATGGATGTGCCGAAGAAAAGTCGGATACTTCATTCAAATCCTGAATCGAAAGCTTCAATTCTCTCTTTTCTTTCATTTTCGTTAGTTGATTTAGAAATTTTTTTTGATTGGAATATGTAAAAATTGTTTAATTGAGAGGGAGAAAGAATGCGAACTTGAAAGAATTCAACAAAAACTTTTAAATAAATGGCCAAGGCTCTTTCCAACCAGTGAATAGAAACTTTTTTTGTAATATTTTTTAAAGTTAGAATTTAAAATTGCAAAATTTCTGCAATATTGTTTCTTATTTCCCGTCTCCTAGCATTTCGCTCTGCTTGTTTTGCACTAAAAATCTCCCTTTTCAAATGCAAATACTTTAATTTCCACCAAAATAATATTAAAATTTGAAATTGGAGAGTTTCGACTCATTTCAAGTTCGGTATTCATATTCACAAAATATTTCGAAAAAGCTGTTATAGGCTACTCGAAATAGACTATCATAAATATTATTAAGAAGAAAAATAATTGATAGCAGAATTTTCAAAAATTATTAAATTATTTTTTTTTTCTTTTTAGATTTATTGTGCCATTATTATGGAAAGGATATAAGAAGCGGTTGAATGAAGATGACATGTTTGAACCTCTTCCGGAACATCTCTCGGAGAACGTCAGCAATCGTCTAAGCGAGTTGGTTTATTTTATCAAATCATTCAAACGTGTTATATTTATATATTAAAAATTTTTTCTTTGTTCTTATGGAAATATAATTCGTAGAGCTTGGAAGAGAGAAAAAGAAGAAGCAAAAGCAAAAAATCGTATGCCATCTTTAACAAAAGCAATTCGAAATGTATATAGTCGCCGAATTTTAATGTTTGGTACTTTAATTTTTTTTGAAGTAAGTTCTTTTTTTTTGAAATTTATCAACTTATCAAATTGATAAATTAAAACAAATTTATTCTATTGCTATTTATCATTTGTTGCTGTTCTGTTGTAACTATTTTCTGTTTTTTTAAATTGTTAATTTATTTTCCTTTGAGTATAAGAGAAGAGATAATGTTTTTTGATATAAGCCTGGCTATTGCTTTATAATATAAAACATTTTTATTCACACATTGCTGGCCTATTATTATGGATTTTTTTTCAGTAGTGTAAAAGAAATATTGAATGACATTCCATTTAGTTTATTTAATTTATCTGGATCACCTATAGAAATTTAATATTTATTTTCCACTGAATATTAGGACCAGAAAGTAAATTTTCCGTTGAAATAAGAAAATACAGATGGATCTCCAGACATCGAATTTCGTTGTCAGTGACAGGTTTATTCTTTTCATCAGCAAGAAGGAATCAAATATGATGGCTCAAATCCGTCTCAAATCGAAATTATTCGACCATTCTATCCTTAAGTTAATTAATCAATTAGGTAGTAGTATTGGAAATAACTTCAGCATCAATAAATCTATTAATCAATTGTGAAATAATTTGAACCACAAGTTTCACCGTGTTTTTTCAGTTTCTTTGCAATATCATTTAAAATGATGTTAAAAGGGATATTAATCATTTTGAATTTATTTTTTAAAAAATGCTATATAAATACTGGAAATAAAAAAATGATTTTAGGAGTCAATTAAAGTGCTTCGGCCATTAGCGATGGGAAGGCTGATAAGATACTTCCGTTTCGATGCACCTCTAAGCGAAACCGACGCTTATATAGCGGCATTTGGTATTGCGATCACAAGTGCCCTTTCTGCATTATTTCATAATCCATACTTTTATAGCTCACAAAAGATCGGAATGGAAGTGAAAATCGCTGTTAGCGGCTTAATTATGCAGAAGGCATCCTTTTCATTATTTTTTAATTATCATTGAATTTTTGACATCGATTCTAATTTTGTTCTCTTTTCTTTGAACTGGCTAAAAATTTCCTGCTAAAAAGGCACTTAATCAGTTAATCATGGATTTGTCCTTATTTTTGCATGTTTTGCTTTAAATATTTTTAAAAGTTCATTTCAGAGTATTCGATTAAGTAGTGGTGCAGTTCATAAAACATCTGTGGGCAATATTATAAATTTATTCTCAATTGATGTTGCTAAATTTGATTTGGTAATTTTTCTATTTTAGTCTTTTTGACAGAAGTTGGCTTCATGGAATACATCGCAAAAAATTTCTTTAAAAGTAAATAGGTATATAAAGCGAGAGATCGAACTTGTGTTTTATTTTTTTTGTGTCACATCATAACTATTTTTCATATAATTTTTTCAGTGTTTTTTATTTATTCATTATTTATGGGTTTCGCCTCTGGTGCTTACTGCATATATTTATTTGCTTTGGTCTGAAATTGGATTATCATCATTCAGCGGTTTTTTGGCGATAATTATTTTGGTTCCTATTCAAGGTTATTTTAGTCGACAAATTGGCAAATGCAGGTGATTTTTGTTCTTTTTTCCACAGAAACTTCATTTTATCAATGATAAGTGATTTTTCAAAATTTTTTTTTCAGAAATGAAATCGCTGTTCGTACCGATAAACGTGTTAGCATAATGAACGAGATATTAAATGGAATAAGGATTATAAAAATGTATGCATGGGAAGACGCTTTTGCCAGTTTTATTGGTGTTTTGAGGACGTAAGTTTGTTAAAATTGTTGATTAACCAACAGAATAATTAGTGAGAAAATTTTTCTTATAGGATTAATATTGAAGACGTAAAATTAATGTAGAAGAAATTGGAATTTTTGAAATTGGAAAAAACTGAGTATTTAATCGAATATTTTTCTTATAAATAAAACTTACTGATTTGAATATGCCTTTGAAATATTTTATCTTTCAATTTCTTGTTTTTTTCTTTTCAAATTCGCTTTGAAGTTGTTAAAAGGGCATATTTTAGCAAATATAAAAATTCTTTTATAAAATTTTCTGCCCTTTTTTTAATTTTTCTTTTAGCATTTTTTGAATATTTATTTACTTTTTATTTTGTGTTTAGTAAGGAAATGAAAAAAATAAGAGAAAGCTATATATGGCAGTCAATACTAATGGGGACATATTTTTCATCTGGTCAATTGGTTATGCTGTTTGCCATTATTACTTATTTATTTACTGGTCATATGTTAACAGCTGAACGAATTTTTGTCGCTGTAGGTTATTTTCATTCATTTTATTCTTGCATCCACTTTATAGCTTTTTTCAATTTTATCCGTTTTTTTTATTGCTCAAAGGTTTATTTTCAGAGCGCTCTATATGACGCATGTCGTTTGCCTATCACCTTGTTTGTACCATTCGCTCTTCGATATCTATTCGAAACCAAGATTTCTTTGCGTCGCATTCAAGAGTTTCTTGAACTTGAGGAGTGTGAACAGCTAAATGAACATGAAAATTCAAATGCAACAATGCAATATGCAGCAAAATCGTACTTTTCACAATCACATAAAGAAAAGAACTCAATAGAGGTTGTGAAAATTTTCTGGGAATTTTTTAGTTTAATTTAGTTTAATTTTCTTAAATTCAAAAATTTTTCAGACTGGAGTTTTGTTGACTAATTTCACCAAAATTGATCAGCAAGCAGACGTTCATATAGATGATATTCAAATTGAAATGGAAAAATTCACTGCCGTTTGGGACTTAAATGAGGTTGCGAATTTTCAACAATCTTATTTCATTTACGCCATTAGTTTCTTCGTAAAAGCTTAAATTTAGGAAAATGATTCGGTAAATATGGTTTATGCTGTTCGAGATGTAACTTTAAAGGCGCGTGCAGGCCAGCTAATTGCCATCGTTGGACCAGTTGGCTGCGGAAAAGTAATTTTGCTATTCTGTTGTATTCTATTTTTTTCTACAGCATTTTTATTACAGTTGTTGGGAAATAAAAATAATAATTTTAAAATATTTATGGATTGAACTGTGCAAATAATGATTTTTTCTAAATCGACATGTGATATCGATATAATGGTAAATAAATATCTGTTTAATCGACTTTATCCAATAACTTCCTTTCATTTAAAACAAAATTATTTTGCACAATAAAATAATGATTTTTTTGGGAAATTCTAATCAAACACTAATTGATGTAAAATTTTGATTGCTAATATCGTACTACTATATTAATTACAAATCTGGGGCCAAAAGCTATATTAATAGTGGATTAGTCTTTGAATTCAATAATCAACTCGTTTTACCTTTAATTTTCAGTTTATATATTTTATAGAATGGTGGAATCAATTATTTATTCATCCTATAGGCATCCTAATCTCTTTAGGTTATTAAATATTCGCTTTAAATTCTTTTTTTGTCTTTATTATGTTATTGCTAAGCAAAATATTTTAGTCATCATTACTTCATTCTTTGCTTCGCGAAACAAAATGTGTATCTGGAAAAATGAGAACGAATGGACGAATTGCCTTCGTATCACAGGATGCATGGATTTTCTCCGGAAGCATTCGAGAAAATATATTGTTTGGATTTCCTTACGAGAAAGAACGCTATGAAAAAACATTACAACTTTGTGCTCTTAATGAGGTATTTTGCTGTATTTTGATTATATTTAGGCTAATTAATTTCATTTTTAAATTATTATTATTGCGAATTATCGGATACAGGACTTAGCACAAATGCCGAATGGAGATCTTTCGTTAGTTGGTGATCGTGGACAATCTCTTAGTGGTGGACAAAAAGCGAGAGTTAATTTAGCTAGAGCAGTTTATCGTGACGCTGACATTTATTTGCTGGATGATCCTCTTTCAGCGGTCGATGCTACCGTCGGCCGACACTTATTTGAGAAGTATTTTATCGATTTGACTTATTCATTCTAATCATTTCTTCATATATCAAACATCTTATTAATTTTATTATCTTATTATCTTATTAATTATCATATTAATTATTAATTATCTTATTAATTATTGAAATTTTTATTTGAATTGCCAAAAAAAAAATCTTTTGGAAAAGAAAACTTAGTGATTGGAGCTGGCTCTTATCATGAATTATTAAATTATTCCCAAACGATGATTCTCGGGGTTTTTCAATTATGTTGCATAATTTCAGATGCATAACGGGTTTTTTGAAAAATAAATTAGTCATTCTGGTTACTCACCAACTGCAATATTTACAAGACGCTGAATATATTCTTTTTCTACGAGATGGTGGTGTTGTTGCTTATGGTGCCGTGGACGAAATTAAAAGTATGGATATGTTCGTTGACTTTATACGTGTAAGTTTTCATATTACTTAAGGTCTAAAGGTCTAAAATAAGGTCTCAGTATTCCAAGTTTTCTTGTGCATACATGAAAGAATATGAATATGAATTTTTGCAACAATTATAGTGATTGCTAAGGAACGGTTTTTTTAAGAACTAAGGTTGCACACTTTTTCATATTTTCTATTTTATTCTTCATTCATTTTATTTCATTACATTATATTATATTTTTCATTATATTTTAATGGAAATTTATTAACTTATTAGGAAACTGAACAATCGTATAAATCAGTAGAATCTGATGCTAAAGTAGACGACTCTTTACCAGAGAAAATAGATTTACCCAATAGGATCTCTGAAAAAGAAGCCAATATTTATGAAAATGAAGATGGTTAGAAATATTTCTCATATATAATAATTTGTTTTATTCAGGATAGTAGGTATTATTTCTATGATTTCATTAAGTTCATATCAGTTATAATCAAATTAAAATTAAAAAGAAAATTTTAAAAGTTAAAAAAGTTTCAAGTTTAGCCGTTTATGTTTGATATAATTTTCATTTATCTTTTCTCTGTTCTTTCTCATTTTGCTCGTTCGGATGAAAAAGCATTAGAATTGGTTGGAAATGTTTAAATAAAAATGTGGTTTTTCTTAATATTAAAAAATATTTTGGTAGAACGTTCGACTTTGCTCACTCATCGTACTGATGCACCAAGTATAAATGAAAATGAAATTATAAACAAGTCAGATGTTGAAAAGAATAAGGTTATTAATTTTTTTTCACTTTTTCGAATAATGATTTTTTTAAAAGTTTGTAATCTGTAATTTTTCATTCAGCCAGAAAAAAAATGGTGGATTTTAGGCATCCAATTTTGAGATGGCAAATGATAGTGAAGATCGCGTTGAAGGAAGTGTTTCATGGCGTATTTATGGTTTATATCTCAAAGCAATGGCTCATCCACTTATTCTATTACCTCTTTTGTTTATTTTTGTTGTGTCCGTACAAATATTCAGTAACTTTATCGATTGGTGGCTAAAAAAATGGTCGGTTTATTTTTATTACCACTGAATAAATTTACGTATCGATCGCAGCGATGATTAATTTAAATGAAAATTTAAAAAAAGTCAGTATTATAATGACCAGTCGTTAATTCGATTCCTCACATTAGAATAGGGTAGCATATTTAATGTGGTTGGCAAGAACCGAGAAATATAAATGTATAAATTTATATAGGACAAATGCGTCAGAAAAATCTATGGAACTTGCTAATGCAAGTAGTATATTATTGTTGCAAGGTGCAAAATCAGAAAGCTATGTTGATGTCGTGAATTTTGGTTTATTCTCAAGCATTGTAAATCTCAATCTGTATAGAAATATTTATGCTGTAATGGTTGCTATTCTCGTTCTCGTTTCAGTTTTGAAGTATGAAATTATATTCATGTGATTCATGCCAATATCGTAACAATTGTGCTTATGATTTCAAGTTCAAATTTCAGAAAAGGAGAAGGAAAATCGAAAATATGTGAATAATCAGTAGAAAACCAGAAATTCATTTCATTTTTTCCATGAAAATAATTTTAAATGATTCTTTCAGATGCATTTGGTTTCGATCGTCTCAAGCAGTGGCATCCAATGTTTTACATGATTCAATGTTTAAATCAGTCATGAAAGCAAAAATTTCATTTTTTGATGAAAATCCTATCGGTATATTTATTTTTAATTAAATTTAATTTAATTAAATTTTCTTTGAAAAATCCTATTTTAAATTTTTTATACCACTGTTTCCTCATTTTTGATACTTAAAGCTTTTAAATCCTGAGATATTTTAATGAAGCAACGATTTGTTTTTTTCTGAAGCTATTAAAGTCATTTGCTTCTTGGAATTATTTTTGATTATTTTGCTCACTATATTGAGGTGTATATTATAAGACTCATATATCATTAGTTATGAGATATATTTATATTCATTATATTTAGTTATGAGATATACCATATAAGTTAGATTACATTAATAGAATAGCAGTTCATTAGTTCATAGGTAGGTATTATAAGTTATAATTTATGTTAGCATATATAAATTCCAACTTTCAACTTTTCAACTTATTACCCATCAAAACTAAGCATTTTTCATGAATTTTTTAAGATTAACTTTCAAAAAATTTTCGTAGGTCGAATTCTGAATCGATTTTCAAAAGATGTTGGAATGATGGATGATCAGCTTTCTTTTGTATTTTTTGAATTTTTAAATGTATGCTTTGTTTTATTTTTGTCTTGCTACTTATTTTAATTTTTGACCAAAGTAAATCAGTATTAGGGGTAAAAATTTCTTTATGATTTTTTATGATTTATGATTTTCAGGGTTTAATTACTTTTATTGGAATCGTATGCGTTATTTTATTGATAAATCCTATTGTATTTGTTCCAGCAATTCCTCTTTTATTTGTATTTTTTTTTATTCGTTTTTTTTATCTGTTTTCTTCAAGAGATGTAAAACGACTCGAAGCAACAAGTATTTTCATTTAATCTAATTTCTTAGTCACTTTTTGCAATTATTTTTCGAATATTGCAAAAGTTATAAATAAAAATTCATTTTTATCATTTTTACTTTGCCTGATTGGTTATTTAAATTGTTATTGCTGAATCATTTGAATTCAATGTTTTTATTTATAAGCATGGCAGTAGTTGTGGCGTTGTGGCTGATCTTAGGTAGATATGGACAATACAATTTACATTGAAATATTTTTAAATTACAGCAAAAAGTCCTTTGTACTCATATATTTCTGCCGTTATACAAGGTTTGGTCACAATTCGCGCATTTCAAAGCGAGTCTGTTGTAATGAGCAATTATTATGATCATCAAGTATCGATAATTTTTTGAAATTCAGTCTTTTTCAATTATTTCAGTTTTTTAATTTTAATTTATGATTTTTATTATTTAAGGATATGAACACTGCAGCATTTTATCTAACTGTGGTAACTTCTCGTTGGTTTGCAGTAATTATCGATTGGTTGGTAGTTTTTTTTGCTGCTGTGGTTGCATTTGCTTGCGTTTTTACGCCAGGTGGGTATTCAAAATGTTATTAATGTTTAAAATTTTTAGTGCTATTTTTAATAAGTGTTTGCATGTTCAGTCCTTTTGGATTCAATTTCTTATTTCATTTTTTTCATTTATGCTTGTTCATTTTTCTCATCACATCTTGCTTGTTCTGTTCATATTTCTTGGCGTTAAAAGTGAAGAGGATGTATCAAAATCTACATTATGGTCAAAAGATACTCATAAGTGGTCCAACTATACGTAAGCTTGATGGTAGAAAAAAGGAGTGGCTTCTCTTATTTCCGAATATGGCATCAAATTGCGAGATTTGGAAACGTCTCACTTCATAGCCAGCAGATCGAGTCAAATTAATACTGATGCGAATTGTTTTAAAAGGATGAAGAAGTTCTCTTATTTTAATTTTTTTATTGAACTTTCCGCAAAGTAAAAGAAAAAGGAAATTCAGCTACGAACAGCTACGGATTTGATGCTTTTTTTATAGGATTTTTTAGAACATCTTCGACTTTATTTTTATGGTTTCGTATTCATTTTTTTGACTGTTTTTTCCATGTTTTTGAATCATTGTCATTGCATGCATTTAAAACTTTTTTACGCTTTATTTTTTGCATTTTCTATTGATATCTGTAAATTTTTGTTATAAACTTTGCATTTATTATGAATGAATCTTTTAAAAGTTTTTTAGCAATCATTGGAAGCGGTGAAGTTGGTTTAATGCTTTTATACTCAATTCATTGCCTTGGATTTTTTTCATGGATTTTGCGCCTAAGTACAGAGACACAGTTTGGGGTGCGAAATTTTTTGCTTTTGTTTTCAGGTCTTATTATTATAGCTCGAATTGGTAGCCAGAATAAGCCAATTATTTTTCTATAATTTGTAAAAAATCTTTTGATGAGTTTTTCAATATATTGTTATCTATTGTTTTTTATGATTTCATCAAAGTATGAAATATTAAACAACATTTTAAATGAAATTTCGTTTATAAATTGTTCTATTACTATATTTGTCTAGCTTTTTCCTTTAATTATTTTGTTCGCGAAAGTTTTGCTTATTTGTTTCATTGGCTAAATAAGAAAAACGTTTAGGCATTTTCTTCGTTCGTATAGATGTGTCTTTTTTATATATAAATATTATTTATTTATATTTTCATGTTTGTATTTTGTACTTTTTATATTTATTATTTTTCATATGCGATATCTTCTTTTAATTTTGTGTTTCACTTTTTTTTTAATTTTCATATTTTCATATTCTCATATAGCTTTTAATAAGTATTTTAATTTTTTTTTCTGAATTTCGAAATTATTTTGGATCAACCAGATAACGAACGATAATAGTCTTACGGGATTTACGGAAATTCTCATATCTCTGGGCTTTTTCTTGGGAATACGGCTTAAAAATTTAACTGAATACTTGCTGAAATTTCAGTGAAATGTGTTGAGAAAAAAAGAGCTCGTACGATATTGCGAAAATCGCATGCCGAGGTCTATCATAAGAACAAAATTCAACCCATCCATGTGGGTTTTTTATGGGAAAGTAAGATTATTTTTATTTTCAAGGTATATTTTACCTTTTTTTGCAGTTTTATCTTCTTCTGCTGTTGCACTGCTACTCGTTTACGCAATATCAATTGCTGCTATTTTCAGTCGATTTGTGGAAATTTGGACCAGATGTGAAATAAATGTACTTTTTTTAACTGTTCTATGTTTTCGGAGAACTTCGATAAACTGTCAGTTGAAGTCCTTTTTTATAAATTATTTTTATATTATTTTTATACTTCTAAAGTTGTATTTTTTTCTTGATTTTTTCTTTATTTGGTCTTATAGAATTTTAACACTGTTTTTGTCGTTTTGTTTTTGGCCATAATTTTTAAGTTTTGATCAGTCATTTAATCAATCATTTACCTTGGGAATTCTGTTATGTGCATTTAATGAGATTTATTTTAAAATTACAAATTTTAGTTTCTTTTGCATGAAAAATGACAAAAGATTAATCATTAAAAGGTAATATAAAGTGTGTTGGCCAGGAATTTCGGACTTCTAAAGCAGTGGTATTCTTAGAATTTCTTTATGTTTTAAAAAAAGGACTCGGAGATTTCTTATTTTTTTGATAAACTGAAAATTAAGCGTAATGTTTCTGGAGTGGTTTATCCAAAGTTTTTTTATCGTTATTTTTCCTAATTTTTTTCAAATTTTTTCGAGTCTTGGAAGATTATTGAAAAAAAAAACTTTGATTTCATAATCTCATTTGTCTCATCTAATCAGTGATAATAAATTTATACAATTAGTGAAAAGTTTTAGAATTCCTTTTCATATTTATTTGAGTTGATTTTGAATGTTATTTTATTGAATGTTTTTTCTCCTATTGTTGCAAAAATAATAATTTCAATAATTTCATTGCAAATGATATTTCTTGTATTCCATATTTTTAATCCTATAGGAAATCCCAAAATTTTAATCCCAAAATTCACATAGTGGATGTATGGTGTAATTTATTTGCCATTTTTTAGGCCTTCACTATATTTTTTATTCAAATTTTCATATTCAAATAATCAAGTTTAGGTTAAAAATTTGGCAATTTGACAATCAGCAAAGAGAGAGCTCCATTTGCAGCATTTTGGTCTCTGTATAACTGTTGAAATAACTAATTTATAATATTTAGCCTGATGGTTTTAAGAATAATTTTAGATGGTGTCAATTGAGCGAATAATTCAATATTGCGAATTACCATCTGAACCAGTTGAAGAAGGAGTGAAACCACCAATCGATTGGCCTTTGTCAGGACATCTCCATTTTCATAACGTATTCTTTTTTACTAAAATATTAATGATTCAATTAATATTATTAATATTTATCAATATTATTTTGTTATATTCTTTGGTGGAGCAAGTAGATTCATTTTTAAAATTGAAGGTATCGTTGCGTTATAATGAATCTTCTAATCCAGTTCTTAAAAATATTGAAGCCGATATTTTGCCGAAAGAGAAAGTATGTTTTTCATTTCGCTTTTTGAAAATTTTCCACAACCAATTCATTTTTCCAATTAGTTATCAATTTCATATTTAGACAAAATAGATAGATAAGACATCCAAAGAAGTGGCGTTATATGTGGTTCGAGTCAAGTCCAGCATCCATTTTCATTCTTCTCTCGCTTATAATAATATTATATTACTATTATTTATATTGATATATAATGCTATTGTGCTTATGCTTTTTCCTAGGGTGTGCTAAAGTTTAAATTCGATTTTATATCCAGGTTTATGCTCAGACTTAGAAGTGGGAAAACGAAATGTTCTAGCGTGATTTTCTTCTCTAGGTAAAATGTTGATCAAAATAATAAAATAATAGCAATCGGGCCTTATCTGCTACAAATTCAATTTTATTACTTTTGTTTTTATTACTTCAAATACTTTTGTTTCAGATGGAACCATTTTTTGCAAAAAATAACTCAAAAACTACTAATTTTTATAGGGGTAGATTTGCTTTTAAAAATTGAATTTAATATCCTTCGAATTTCTGTATAGTTTCATTTTCAGTGGATACAATTGCTTTATTAATCTTTCTTCTTTCTTCTCTGTTACATTATCACTGGTTAGGCTGCTTTCGCTGGTTACAAGGTTAAATCTCCAAGCTATGCGATCGATGCCATCTCTGATATTATAATAAAAACCATTCCTTTTTGCGACTAAGTCCATATATTCTCAATATTGCTGCTGCTCCTTCTACGTTCGAAGTCTTTTCGGATTCTTTTCCATGTCTTAATTGGTCCTTCTCGATTTTGACGCCATCCATCACAGAGTTTAGTAAATAACGAAATAACCAAATATACATCAACTCCTGATGGCAACGTGCCGTATCAATGAAGACGGCGTTCTATGATGGTACTGTTAGAGCAAGTGATATTTGAGCGAAGCAAAAAAAGATAACTTCTTAATGTCGTCCACTTTCATCGCCTGTGTTTTACGGTCTTATCAATTAGAGTAAAATTTTCGAAAATTTCGAAATTTCTCCATTACTGTTTAAAATTCTTCGTTGCTTCGCTTTGTTATTCTCTTATTCTCAGAATCTTAGATTATATGGAGAGGCAATATGTGTAAAACTATCTTTTTTCGATATATAATTGGTTATTTATACTTGCCGATTTCTGGTTATGGTTGCTTAGCTATTTTATTAAAAAATTTTCCGAAACTGCCTAAGAATGACTTGTCATTTGTACATCACGCAATTCCCTGTTGAGCGTTATCTATCATAATCTTGTTCGTATTCTTATTGGCTTGTCTCGGATATTCACTCCACTTTCTTCAGTTTCATTAAATGGCAAAGGCAAAAAGATACTATGGGATCTTGATTCGAATTTACCTTATCAGTAATGATCAGCTGTCAAGAATCAAAGAACGATTGATGGATGCAGCTTTCCTATTCAAAAAAGGTCCTCGGTGGCTTATTGCACACAAGGCTATGGCTTCCATAGAAAAAAAATGGAAAGTTGGACGATGGAGTAAGAAAAAAAACTTCTCACGTTATTGGCGGCTACATTGACGAAGTAAAAAACCAAACGAGATAACTATAAAAGTAGTCTTTCGCCTTCTCCATTTGCCAGTTATTATTGCTAATATAGTTCTTGTCCCACGTTAGCCAGATTATTGATTTATTGTTAAGAGAAAATGTTCATAATGAACTTAGTTTTTAAAACGTCGTTGTTATCACGAAAATCAAAGAAAGAAGGGAATATCCAATAATTTGCTCTTTTTGGTTTTCTCAAGGGCGCAGATGTTTAGATACTTCAAAGAAAGTGGAAAGGAAAGTATAGTGCTAAATGCATTCGTGAGAATCCTTACTACCATAACATATGCTCTAAACTCCTTTCAGATTGGAATTGTTGGGCGAACTGGTGCAGGTAAAAGTTCTTTGCTTCGAGCGTTATTTCGCCTTACCGAACCTGAAGGTCAAATATTTATTGATGGCGTTGATACCAAAACAATAAGTTTAAGAGATTTACGTAAACGAATTTCAATAATTCCTCAGGTTGATAATTTTAGTAAAAAATTTTTTTATTTTTTCATTCATTTTACTTATTTTTTTTTTTTACATTATTTTGATTTTAGATTCATAGAAGATTTTTATTTTTCGATTTTAAGTTACAATTTCTTATTTCTTTTCTCACTTTCCTTAAATTTATAAAATTTTTTTCAGGACCCTGTTTTGTTCTTAGGATCTTTGAGGCGGAATCTGGACCCCTTTTCCGAATATTCTGACGAAAATTTATGGAACGTTATTGATGCAGTTAGTTATTGATAATATATTCTTTTGAAATTTTTGCTTTTTTTCCTAATTTGATTATTTGAGGTTGAATTAAAAAATGTTGTGAGCGATTTGCCGACTGGCCTAGAAACAGAAATGCACGAAGGTGGAGTTAATTTTTCAGTCGGTCAAAGGCAGTTGATATGCTTAGCACGAGCCCTTCTACGCCATTCAAAAATAATCGTTATTGATGAAGCTACTGCAAATGTTGATCGAAAGCAAGTTTCAATATTTTTTGTTGTATTTACATTGTGATTTGCTTTCCTTTCAATTGATTCAATTTTTTGAATTTCTTCAAGATAAAAATTTGTTTTTTCGCTAATTTCTAATCATATGGATAATATTGAGAATGGATAATTTTAAGAACTGATGCACTTATACAATCAACGATAAAGAATCGATTCGTTGAATCAACTGTATTGACTATCGCTCATCGTCTAAACACCATTATGGATTCTGATCGTGTTATGGTAATTTTTATATTAATAAAATTTATTAATGAATGTTCTGAAGCAGTGTGGCAATATTCATTTAATTTATTTAGCAATTTGGGCAGTTGGTTTGATTTGAATTAATAGTGAAATGAATTTTCATTTGTTCCATTCCATCATTTTTATCATTTATTTGAATTTATTTATTTGAATGAAAATTCAGTTTATTTTGCACCTAATGGTATACATATTTCATATTTCATATTAAAATATTTCCAAGTGTTAAGGTATTATCATATGGGGAACTTATCGAATTTGATCACCCACATGTTCTTCTTAAACAAAAAAATAGTATGTTCGGAACGCTAGTTGCCGAAACTGGTCGAGAAAATGCAGAATTATTGAAACAGCTTGCTTATACGTCGTACATATCGAAACATTGAGGTGAATTTGAATTTCACTGATTTGGCAATATGAATAAATAAGCAGAAAATTAAGTTTTCAAATTTTTTAAAATTTTTTCTGTTTTTTTATAATATTTGTTATTTGTTTACTACTACAGTTTTATATTATTGAAATATTAAAATGTTCATTAATTATGTTTCTCATTATCTTTGATCCATTCGTTGGTGATATTTCTCTTTCATCCTGGTGTATTTTCTACCTAAAATTGTAATCTTTTAGAAAGATCGTTAGGTGTTTTTTGATTGAACGGCTGCTTTAACTCTTTCACCTAAACTTTGAAATAATATAAATATTAAAATTTAGTGTGATTCTTACGATCGTCATGCTGTAATGATCATCATTGATTTGCATAATTGTTTATTGTATGTGATTCTCAAGTCCTTAAATAACCGCTTATTACCGCTTATCCGTGATATTTTTGGCTAACTAACTTGCCGGTGTACGATTGATTCTGGTCTAATATCCGTTTTTTTATCTTTTACCGGTTTTATTTATCAGATTTATTTCGAGTTATGTCAGAGCTTTTATTATTAAACCAAACAACGAAAATTTTTTGAAGTTGGCCTAATAAAAAAAATTCATTTTTCTTCGTTGTTTGAAAATTTAATCGGTGAAAAAAATGAATTATATGTAATAATTGTTACTTTTATTTCCTAAAGTTATTAATTTCTTATTTGTTATTTAGATTTTGTATTTGTATTTTTTTAAAAATATTTCATTTCTTATTTTAGAGAAAATAAAAATTTTTAACGAGCATTGGTTAGAAAATTTTGACTGAAAGGAACCATTAATATATATATATATATAAATTTATCATTTAAAAAAGGCAGAAGCAAAAAAATCTTGAAAAAGATCGTCTTTTGTGTTTTGTATGCATGAATATGGGGTGGTTGTTATGGTTGTATGCGTATGTGTGGGGTTGTAAGGAGCTCGTGGTTTTCAGCTGTATAATTCGTAAATTTAAAGTAATTTGGGTCCTGCATGGAAAATCGAAGTGCTAACCATCGGTCACATATATTATCATCAAGCCGATTAGAACTGCTATATTCTTAGAGAATTCGTCGATTATTTGTCGACTTTATTCTATTTTCGATTTTAATGAGGTTTTTATTTATTAATAGTAGTCGCCATGGATTTCTCTTTCTTTATAGAGTAATTTCCATTATAGTCCATTGTTTGTGATTGGTTCCGCTCCGCTGGTTTACCGGCACCAGCGGAATCTCACTTGGTGATAGAAGTACCGATGAGTCGACAAGTCGACTTGTAAATAGCCGAGCAACACCTCCCATTTTCAGTGGATAACTTTACTTCTGCTGAAAATAGAGTAAACACTAATATTCGGATCTCGAAATGAGAACAATAGTCCTATGATGAATTATTTCGAAATAGGAAATCGAACAGATTGGCTTCATTTGAGAAATTTATTTATTCGAGCAGAACGCAATAAATCGCTGATTAGCTATTTCAGTTTGTTTACATTTCACCAAATTATTCTTTTTTACGACTTAGGATGAGACTTGATTGATGATTTGCCAAATGATTCCTTAGCGCCATCGCACAGTGGCGCGTTTATTTCCATTAGAGTGCACGAATCGAACCTATCTATAATGGCTTAAATTTCGCTTGAAGCGTCAGTCCATCCTTTGAATAATTTTTTAATTTTTTATAGGCTCTGATTTTTTTTTTTATATTCAATTATAATCATCGGAATTAACCACAAATTTCTTTTCTCTTCTAACGCTTAATAGTATCTCTATAATTTTCATTTTTTTCAATGAAAATCACTGTTTTGTGTTAATTTAATTGAAGCGACTTTTTTGAGTACTAAGGCACCATAATCTGTTGATTATTTAATTTCTTAACTCTTTTTTTTTTCTTAATTTTTATTCTTTTTTTATGTATATTTTTCTACGTTTTTTTTAATCAATATATTACAGGAATGTCGACGCCTGTTACACTAAAGCAGATGGAGATTGCTCGAGAAAAAGCTGCAAGACGAAATCGACAAGCTGATTCCAGATTGCATCCTCTTTCGCACTCTTATCCATTTCGATCTTATGTATGCTATCCATTCTATGAATTTCTTAAATTTTTTTTTGAATTTTAGATTTAGAATTTAAATACTTAAATTCCTTTTCTTTTTTATGAAAAGCGAATACTATAGCATTCGAAATATATTTTTGTTTCAGGATTACCGAATTCGGCCTTATAAGGCAATAGATTTTACTGTGGATAAAGCTGGTGGACGTCAATATACAAGTTTTGAAGGAAATCGAAAGGAAAATGAAAATCGCATACCGTTGAAACCGTTGACACCACCTCCAGTATGCTTTAACAATTTTAAAAAATTGCTTTCGATTATAATTTTGAGGAAAATTTGATTTCTTATGTTATATTTTTGGTGATTATTTTGTCGAAGAATTAATTCAAGAAAATTATATGGCATTTATTATAGAGACAATAGTAGCAACTAATTTATTAGGTATATATTTTATAAATAAATTATATAGTATTATATAGTATTTCTTGAGGGAATAAAATTTTAGGTTGAAGATGTGCCTATTGATGTAGATACCGATGATTATAAAGTTGATCCAAATAACATTATTTGTTTTGCTGGTCGCCAACATTATTTATCCAATTTATTTCCTGTGAGTTAGTTTTCAAATTTCCTTTATTTCTTTCCTGTTTTTTTTGAGGAGATTTTTATTACATTTGGCTTCAATTTTTCGGTTTTATTAGTTTTTTTGTATAAATTTTTATATAATTAAATAATTTTAATTTGATTTCATTCTTTTTTGAAATTAATTTTTTGCATATTTTGCATTTGTTATATTTCCAATAAGCTAATCATATAATTAAGATTCCAATCACTGTCGAAGGCCATGAATATCCTAGTGTGGAGCATTATTATCAAGCATGCAAACTGTATACTTTGGGCGGGGCTCGCTTGGCTTCTGAAATTCGATATATTGTTGATCCAGGGCAAGTAAAATCTGTTGCAAAAAGACTTCTGCGATCTGTAAATGTGTCAAATGAAAAGGTTAATCTGCTTTTTGCACTTTTTTCGGTTAGTTTATTCAGATATTGCTACTAATTCTTTTCTTTTATAGATTAATGAATGGAAGCGGACTCATGGTCCTATGCTTCTTCTTCATGCAATCGCATATAAATTTGTACAAAATTCGGATTTGAGAGCAAAGCTTTTAGAAACGAAAGATGCGATACTTGCTCACACTTATGAAAGAGACAATCTTTTTGCAACAGGCTGTGATCGAGAAGCATTATTGGAATGGGCTAGCAGCAACAGTGGTCAAATTATAAAAGTTTGTTTCTGTCAAAAATTTTTAATATTTTTGAAACTATAGTTTTTATTTACATTACATCAAATAGTTTCATATTAACAGTATTTTTTTACAATTGCAGTAGCGTATATTTAGTTCAGAATTTATTCGTTAATTATTTAAGTTTTTCCTCTAATTTATTGAACTTTTTTTTCTATTTTTTTTCGTCTGATTTTTCATTCATTTTATTGGGAACTCGTTTGTAGAAATTTTATTTTTTAATTTTTTTATTTTTTTATTTATATTTATTTTTAAGATTCCAACAAAGCTTGACTTGTCCAATGTTATATATGTTCCACTAATTGGCCGAGGAAAAAATTTACTGGGATTTATCAACATGAAGGTTCAATTTTTATTATATTTCATTTTTTATATTTTCATACTTTCTACGGATTTTTTAAGTTTACAAAGTATAGTTCTAAAATTCGTCGTTAAATCATCGTTTTTAACTAATGTTTCAGGGAAATATTATTTTTTGATTATCAATAAACTTGGAATAGTTACTTTTTATAATGAGAATTCATGAGTTAATTGTATAAGAATATAAGTATAAATATAATATTTATCCATTTCATCCTGTAATTTTCTATATTTTTAGGTACGTGAACAATTGCGTAATTTTCAAGCAACCCATTCATCAAGCTCAGTTGATCCAATTATGAGTATTGCTATGCGTACTTTGCGTTTGGATAGTCCAGGAACAGAAGACGAAAAATAACCATCTTATCCAAAATTTGTTAATTTGTACCATTCATTTTAATTTTATTATTGAATTTTGTTATTGGTGCCCGTTGATTTTTTTTATGCAAAAATTTTGGCGGTGATGCATATTCCATTAATTTAAACCAATTTTTCTATATTCTGAAATTTTAAACAAGCAGAGGTGTTCTGAATCTTATAAGGTTAGTGGTTTATATATCACCGTCTCACGGGTTTTCCTCGTTATTTGGTATTTTATATTTTAGAACGCGGGCAAATTTTGGAACCACAATATAATTGGATTATTTTTTTTTTCAGTGAAAAATATCAGGAAAATATTGTTTTAAAAGGCAAAACGATTCATTACGAAATGTTTATCATAAAACATTTAAAAGTTAATTATCATTAAGAGAATACCAGCTGTTTTAAAGATTCACTGAAATTTTTTGTTTTTGCTCTCAGTCTGCTAATTCATTTCCTTTATTTCTCAGCATTGCTCTAAAATCTTTATTTTTTTAGTTTCGAGAAATTTAAGTGGTAAGACGATTTATTCTTATTTTTAAAACTTCTTGAATTTTTAAGATTCTTTTGATATAAAAAAAATTTATTTCTTGGTAGATTAAATGAAAATTTAAATTTAGTGATAATTAGAAAACGATAAATTTCTTTGTAATTTCTTTGAAATTGAAATTTAAATAATTTTGTTACTGTCATAATATCACAGAAAATATATAAACAAGATAATATGATTTCCTTGTTTCATATATTATAAGGAATTCATTGAAAGTTGAAGTTGCCATTTAATTAAGTTAATCGACTTTTAAAATTGAACGAAATTAAAGAAAATAATTTTTTGTTAATTTAAATTCTTTAATGGATCGGTGTCGAAGATATTGTTGACACTGTCAAGCTTCATTTTAATATTTGTGGTTTTTGAACATGTAAATATCTTTATATATCGCGTATTTATCTATATATTCATCTCTATATCTATATATTTATTTATTTAATGTTTAGGTAAGAGTTGAGCGGTGAATTGGAAATTCACATATGAAGAACAACAACAGTCATCTCAAAAACACCTTTAATATAGTCAAAAGTATCGTCATCATCAAATTCTTTTTCTGCTGCACTCATTCTGATTAGACTTCGGCTGGCTTAGAGGAACAGAATTTGCCACATTTGTAGGCATTTTGTCGACAAATATAATTCACAGCCTTCGCGAGTTTTTGAAAGACAGGTTTGCTTCTGTTGGGAACAGAATTCCAGCATCAGTGCTCCGAAATAGTTAATTTCTGCGCTTTTTTAAAATTTATATTTAAATTAAACTAGAATCCTTATTATTCGAGAGATCAAGGTGACCTTAAAAGACGGGAAATGTTGAAATCAATGTACTGTTTATTTTCTACGTTCAGCTTAATTTCTACGCAAGTAAATCATGCATAGGGAAGAATCTTTCATCTTTCAGCTTTATCTTGTTGCTATCAATGCACTTCCTATCAGTATTCGTCATAATACCTTGGGAGAATTATTTTTGTCGAATATTATCACTCTTTATCATTTCACCATTTTATCACTTTTATCACTCTTTAAGTTATTATAAGTATAAATTTTAAAAGGTATTCCCTATTATAAAAGGTTATTATAAAAGGATACGTCAAGCGTTTCAGCCACAAGCTATATACTTATGAAAATAAAAGCAGCAAATAAAACGAAACAGAGTCACTTAGGAATAGAAATGTAAATGAGTCCAGAGGAACCTTTCGAATTTTAGGTTTCATGATATACTTTTTCCTATGCAATTTCTTAATTAGAAGAAAAAAGAATAACTAGGAAATAGTTATAAAAAATTGCAAATTCTCTATTTTAATAAATATTTTTCGTTTTTTCATTTTTTCATTAGCATAATTATTTTAAAAATTGCATAATTATATATATATATATATATATATATGCAATAAAATAATTGCTTCATTTCTATTTGAAAACTTTACGTTAAAAAAAAAAAAACGAAAAAAATTCAAGAAATTGAATTGAAAAATTAGCGTAGAGAAACGAATAATTTTATCTCAAAATATTTTTTTATATAAAATACAATTATATCAGCGATTTGCAATTTTCGAAATAATTTCACTTTTATTTAAAAAGATTTAAATTTCATTTTAAAATGGCTTTAGAAAAATTCAACGAATTCATTGCGCAATGGTTATCGAAAACTAAAGAATTTCGAGGAAATATGCGACACATCCGAGAAATACGAATTATCGAGTTTCATATCTTTTAAAATTTTTTATGTTAGTGAAGAAAGCAACCTAAGCCTAAGCCTTCATTACTTATTGAGAATTACATTACATTACATTACTTGTTATTCTTCAGTTTTTGTCAATAACCACATTATTAAGATAGCCGTCCAATTATAAGTGACAATTCCTCCCAGACAATATCGTACCTGATTTTAGAATTCGGTACGACACAATATCGTACCGAATTCTAAAATCAGTCGAATTTCTCAATATGTAAGACGCAGAGAAACTTACTTTTAGGCCATTACGAAAGTACCACTTGTTTAAACGAGTCTTCGCATGTAGTAATCTTTTGAGTCGTATAATCACGCTATCGATGATCGTCGTATATTCAATTGATAAGCCATAATTCTATAAAACGATTTTGTAAAACAAGTGTCTTTTTGTGGGAAATTGAGGTATCTTAAAGAATAGCAAAGAGTACAACATGAGGTGATATGATATAATTTATTTTTCTTCTTTTAACAGCTCTCACCATTACTGGTTAAGCTGGCTACGCTGGCTACAAGAATAAGACGTCTCCAAGTTGCCCGGTCCGACGTTATCGCTAGTAGCAATAAAAGCCATTTCTTTTTCCATTGTCTAAGTCCATATATCGCTGGTCCCCCTACATGTTTAAAATCTTGAAAACTGTGTCAGTCCAGATCTTGACTGGACGCCGACCATCACAGGATTTAGCAAATAACGAATCAATCAATATGGTGGACGAAGAATGTGTCCTAACCAGCGAAACATTATTAATGCAGGTGGTTTTTGAGCGAAGATGGATATAATCATATGCGATTTCATCTGCTCGATGAATCCGCAGAATGTGCCTTAGATATGAGTGGCCAAAGGCTAATAGTTTCTTAATATCTTCCACCCTCATTGGCCATGTTTCGCAGCAAGATCGAGCGAATTGCTACTATATGGACGCGGATTTTCATCTTTATGGTGATTTCGCGACGGTTCCATAAAGGTTTCATTAACCGGAAAAAAATTCTAGCTGCTTTCATCCGAGTTACGATTTCATCCTTTGCCTGGCCATTTGGGATTAGAGAGGATCCAAGGTATTTGAAATCCAGCACTTTCTCAACCGGCAGTGAATTAATAAAAACAGGTATTTTATTAGCATCCTAATATGATTTATTCACAAGAATAAAAATACAAGGTACATCAACGACACATGTGAAATATGCAATGCAATGAAACCAAGTCAATAATCAGCAATCAACAAACTGAATACTAATAACAACCACAATACCCTGGATTTAAAACTATTAAATGGAACTGCAAATATATATGGCGACTTCAAAATGAAACCAAGATGAAAAGTTTCGCTCCAGTTTAAAAAAAGTGGTAATTCATATGTCGCCAGTTACCAATCAAATGATAAGATAAGATAAAATACCAAAATACTAAAATTATACTCTGTATCGAAATGTCCTCCATTACTTTCGGCAATATTTTTTTTGTACAGGAGCAAACCTGTACAAAAATCCGGGTGACTCACCTGTACTTCTATCGCCAAGGGACTCCCTGGCATATTGCTCAATGCGACAAGCCAGTGCAGCGAGTTTAACCAGTAATGGTGAGGACTCTTAAGAAGAAGAAGAAATTCTCGCATTAAAAGAAGAGAAATGCACATCTTTTGTTTCTTAAAAATAACTTCCCAACAACCCTGTACAACAATGATAGAAAAAGGGAGGAAGCGAAACTTTTGCAAAAAGAAAAATCACAGTTGAAATAGACTGCTAAATACTATGAACTACTACAATTTTGTGTATATTTAAGAGAAAAAGAATTCATAAAAATATTTACAACTAAAACGAATTTCAAAACGAAGAAAATATAAAATATTTACATATATCGATGATAAATGAAACATTCATATTTACAGTGCTCTGTTATAATTTTATATTTTTTATAATTTTATATTTTTTCATTTTTCATTTGATTAAAAAAGTCCGATAATTATAAAAAAATTTAATTTAATTACTTATTTAGCTCATAAAAAAGTTACAAATTCCAATTTTCTAAAATAAGGCTATTTGAACAAATTAAGTAAAACTTACAAAACTTAAAAACTTACAGCAACTTATAAATTAAATTTTATCAATTGAATTAATTATTCTGAGCAAATTTCGCTTTTAAAGCTTCGTGCTTGACATCGAGATAACTTAACTGAGCTTCGAGCAATCTCGTGTCTTTACCGCTCTTCTTCGCCTTCTCCAATTCTTTTTTTAAAGCCTTCCTTTCAATTCCAGTTGTTAGCTCAACTGGTGGTGAATTAAATATTTCATCCAAATCCGATGGCTCTCTATAATTTTATTTTAAAATTAGCCAAAAATCATTAACTTTAAGCATATCTACCAGTGAGTAATTGGTTTACAAAAATAAAATAAACTGGTAATTTTAAGCGAAATTGTGTCATAAAATGAAAAAAATATTTTTGAAAATATTTATAAAGTAGATTATTTTAAACAATTTCCCTTTATTCTCCTAAAATAACTTTAATTTTAATTTTAAAAATTTTTATGGAAAAAAGTCAATGAATATGACATCTTAAAAATACAAATGAACTTCCCACAAAACTTTATGCGAAATTTGTAAGAGATTCAACAATTATTTTGATTTTAAAAAATATCAGGAATATTCCTTATATAATTTAAAAATAAAAACAGATTATTGGAATTTGCAAAGGAGGATAAGAAATCAGTTCTATGAACTTTTTTTAATAGTTCATTTCCATTTTTCAGGTAATTTTCAAGTAATTCAGCTTTTTTTAATCATGAGATATTTAGCGTCCATGCACTCAACCATATAATATCCCTTATACGTGGTTATATTCAATACTATATTCAATAAATAAAAACAATTCTTATTATGATCAAATAAATCACCTGTCACCAGAATCAGAACAATCATCTAAGCATTAAATATTAACACACTCATAAATTATATATATAAATGGTCATCATCTATTAACAGTGAAGGTGTTTTCATTTACTGAAATCAAATTAAATTGTGTGTAATTTCTAATATCTTTAATTAATAACCATACTAAAATCTTTCTAAATCCATATATTCATATATGATTTGCCAAAATAAGGATAAGATAAAGGAAAGAATCGCTCTCAATAGGAGTGGATCTTTTGGTATTTATTCTCAGAATCTCGTGCAGTTCATATTTAAATCTATGCAGTTAAAATCAGGACTCAATCATTCATTCAAATTCACTCAATGTTTTCTTTATTAAATTTACTAGAATTACTAATTATTAAAAAAAGTTATCTAGTGAATAATTGTAATTTAATCAACCTAATTTTATAAGAAGCTTTATAAATAAAGCTTAATAAAAAGTGAATTTATAAGATTTAGAATTAAATAAGATTGTGATACTATTATATCTAATTATTTAATATAGTAATTATTTAATATATTATTTAATAATATAGTTGTTTTAACGTTCAAATATGTATATATGCACATGCATATGTATATAATTTTTTTTCTAAGAGCACTTACTATTTCTGGTTGCGTTCACACCACTGGCTTTTCGGAATTGGACAAATATTGTTAGTGAACCTCTTGGAAATAAAAATAAAGATGGGTTATCTTGTCGAAAATAGAGCCGAAGTAAGACCAACGACTATATTTATGTTTCTATAGTCTCTATTTCCTTTAGTTGTTTTATGAAAGCGGTGAACAGCTAACTGCTTGATTTACCATTCATTTACTATCTATTTATTATTTATTTATTTTTATTTATAAGAGCCCTCACCATTACTGGTTAAACTCGCTTCACTGGCTTGTCGCATTGGGCAATATGCCAGGAATATCTTGGCGATAGAAATACAGGTGAGTCGCTAGTACCATCTGGATTTACTATCTATTTACTATTCTATAAATAAATCTAAACCTTAAAAAATGTGAATAATTACCTCAAAATTAAAAAATATATTAAAAAAATCGCAAAACTTCCAAGCCAAGCGACAAGCCGTTGATTGCGAAATTTTTCTGTCGAATAATAATCCGGATTAAATGTCGATTTGACAATTCGTTTCGTCTCGGTCGTTGCACCCCTATCGTATCCATAAAAAGCACCGCTATCACTGAATTTTAATTTTTTGGATGCAGAAGATTCTGAAAAAAAAACGTAACTGAACATAATTGTAAAATATTATAAAATATTGTACATTTTAAAGATGATTTAAAATTTCTAAAATTTTTAAAAAAATTAAGAAATTAAGAAAAATTAAAAAAAAATAATTAAGAAAAAATGATATAAAGTGAAAGCAAAAAATAATAAAATGTATAAGTGTAAAATAATGAAATATAAAAAAATACAAAAGCAAAAAAATAAAAAAAGAAGTCTATGGAAAGAACTGAAAAAAGTTCGAGAACTATTAGTTACCCGTTGTTATATGCCGATAAGCCGCTGAATGAAGAACGCAACGCGGAATCATCGATGCTCGTAACATTTCACCTGTTTTATATTTATTTGTTTCAATAAATGATAAATAATAATAAATCTTTACAAAATCTTTAAATAACCTTACACCATCCTAAATCTTTATGGTACCAAGATGAAGCAAACAAGGCTATAAAGGAAAGCAAGTTCCGCAAAAATCTAACACTCATATCTAAAACGTTAAGGCTTCTAAAAATTTATCCAAAAAAGTAAATCCAGAAAAATTAGAGTCAATAAAAAAATCACGGCCTGGCCTCTTTGCATAGCTTATGACGGCTCGCGATAGAAATCTCGCAGTTAACGGAATAAAGTTAAATTTTATTCTTAAAAGATTTCTTTAATATAAGATTTCTTTCAACCATCGCAAATTTTTGATTTGCCTGGAAGTATAAATTCCCGCAATCATTACCCAATCACCCATTTCCATGCAAAAAATTAAAGCGACCAGTGACTGCGACATACCCAAACCACAGTGAAACCAAATGTCCTCGACCCGACATCGTTACTCAACCTTCTCTACCAAAACATAATAATTGAATGGTACCGCTAGATTCGACTATGGAAGCTGAGAATGGAAACCAAGCGATGCTGCATTTATTTGTGCCTTTATTCATAAGTAACTCTCTGGCGAAGAAGTTCCCTCTAGCAATGCTCGCTAAACCAGAATTTAATTGCCGGCGATGATGTAAAAAAACCAATCACATGTTAGGTCATTATTAATGAAATTTTGCAGAATTAAACCGGTCGAACCTTAAAATGTTTATTTTAAAATAAATTTTAATTAAAAAAACTTTATTTAATTAATAATTAATAATTAACAAACATTTAAATGAACTATATTTTTTAATTAATAATAAAAAATAATAATAATTTAATTAATAAAGGGATTAATAAATATAAAATGATTTTTAATTTTGTGGAATCATAATGGTTTTTAAAAACATTTAGGTGCATTTCAAAAATAATATATTACAAACTTAAAGTAATACACTTGTAGTTCAAATAACATTGTAATAGTAACGCTATAACTGAATTATTTAGAAAAAAATCTATCAGATCAGATTACAATATTAATTTGTTATAGAACCAATTAGAACTAAGACTGTGGAACTCTGAAATTTGATATTCAAATCTCTATTTTAAGAAGAATATTTATAACTGGAAGGTTTTGATATATGTCGAGGCTTTTACGATCAAATATAATGCACGTAAACATAATATGTAAAAAAACAAAAAACAATGATTTATAAAAATTTGGAAGAAAATTTCCTTGCAGAAAATAAGCAACAAGGCAAGGCATTTAGCAAAAGTTTGCAATAAATAAGAATAAAAAAAAAAAAAATACTCGAATTTTAATTGTAAAATAAAATTCCAGTACAATAAATTTTCGAAAAAAACAAACAAACAAAAAACAAATTTTTTCGGAATTTTCACAAAAAATTTTCAAACTTTCTATCATAATTGCGCTAATTTTTTCTTCTAGTATATGGAAATAGAAGTGTTGAAAAAGAAAATGTTGCTAACAAAATGTTGAAACGATTTTTTTAGGCGACAGGTGCTCCAAATGTATCTTCTTCTGCTTGTTCCTCGTAATCGTACGTTGGCGACGGACTTCTTGATACCAATTCACGCAATCTACTGCCCATACTCTACAATAAAAATATCGAGTGAAAAAATAAAATAAAACAAAAAATTGATGAATAATAATAAAAAAAGTGTTGGAGATGAAATGAATAAGGGAATTTTTACATAATTTTTTGCTTAAAAATAAATCTATAAAAATAATAAAAAATTTTCATTCGAAATATATTTCTCAACTTTAATCATTTTGCATAAGTTAATGAATACAAAATTTAACAAATTGATGAAGTAAATCAATCATTAAAGTTAAGACGATCGTTCAATAGAATCGATCTACTTTATAAAAACTAAAATTCTATGAAAATGTTTACATTTAAACCACCATCTTTATGAAAAGTTTCAAGGAAATCACGTATAAAGTCATCCGATTTCATCTTCCAATTCTGTAGCAATTCAATACTTTTTTGCTTAAACGAATCCACTTTATCTTGTAACTGATATTTTCTCGCCTGAAAACAAATGCTAACCGTAAAAAAAAAAGTTTATAATTTTTTAAAAGAAGCAATAGTAAGTTTTACAAAGAAAAATAAAAATATCGACTTACAGTTAAAAATCCAACATTTAATTCCTTTGCCGTATATCCACGTCGCAAATTTCTTCGTACATATTTGTCATAATCGCGAATTATTCGACAAACAACATCACTCGTAGAAACTCCTTCTGTTCGTTGTGTTTCAACAAACATTCCTTCACGTCTGAATTTTTCATAAAGATCTTCCTCACCTGGAGCAACATATGGCAATGCATCATGAGCAATAAAATCAACCTGAAGAAATATTATCGAATATGAAACATAAGAAATGAGAGAGTTTTTACTGCTAACTGTTAAGGAAAGAGAGAGAAAAAAAATAAAACATTCTAATCACAAAATGAGTGTTTTGCTTGTAATTCAAGAAATTATTTAAAGTCAAAAAAGGTTAAAAATAATGGCAGAACAATGGCAGAAAAAAAAGCTGGGATTGCAATTTTTTAAAAATTTTCTCAATTCATTGAAAACTCAATAAAATGCGGCATACCTTCAAATTTTTTAAAAATTCTACCGAACAATACCAAGGTGCATCTCGATAAACTTCATCGACATAACGACAATGTCTTACTGCTTCATAACGCTCATCTTCAGAAGTGACTGTACGCCCTTTGTATTTATGTGTGTTTGCATCACCACAAACTGAAAAATAGAAGAAAATTATTTTAATTTCCGACGATTCAATGACTATCCGAAGAAAATGGCCAACAATCGTAGAACAAATGAAAAGGTGGAAAAGCATATATATGCTAAAAATAACTATGAAATTCTAGCCGCCTATTCGATTAAATTGCTGTAGGCAAATATCGACAACAAAAAGCAGCCTTTTCCAATTAAAAGGCAACTCTAGTTGCCGAATTCGAAGTCGGCCTAAAACCATCCCATTTTGGAGAGAAGCGAGAATCATAGCTGAAATAGACTGTTACATAAACTATTAACTACAGCAATAATTAAAAGTGGGCTTTTTGTAAACATTTAATAAATTCTTTACAAACTAAAAATATTTGGATAAGAAAATGAAATAGAATCTCCGTCTTACAATAGTTTTAGTTAGTTGGATCAAAGACCGTTCGTAGAACCAATTCTGCCATTATAAACGAAAGAAAGAATATTCATTTATGGGAGCAATAAAATCTCTCGGTGATCAAAAATGTTTAATACACGTACTAATTGATAACTGATACTAGTTGATAAAGATTAAAATAACGAAAAAATTAATAATACCTCCGACAATCAGATAAACGTTTGGGAAAGCATTCTTCGCTTGTCTTAATTGATTCGCATGGCCATAGTGAAACAAATCATAAATACCATCGGCATATACACGAATTTCTCGCCCAGCTAAAATCAATTAAAATTAACTTAATTAATTGAACTGAAACCAAATAAATTGAAAACAACTGTTCAAATAATTGCAAAAATTATTTTAAAAATTTCTTCGCTATTCCTATTATTTAAAAAATTTTATTCATTAAAATTTAATATTATTTCTAATTTCTGAATGAAATAAAATTAAATAAATAATAAAAATAATAAAATAATAAGATAATAATAATAAAATAATAAAAAAAATTAAAATTAAATTTAAATTTAAATTAAATTTTAATAATAAAATTTGGTAAAAAATAAAATTCCAACAATATTTAAAGCTTAAGAAATGAGAGAAATTGAAAAAATAAGAATAAAAATTTTATAGTTTCGAATAAATGAATATGAAAATTATGACAATGAAAATTCTAGCGTAATTTGAAATGAACGTTGGAACTTTCTTTGCTCACCGCCTAACGTTTACGAGGTTCTACGAGACTACCAATGTTAATAAAAATTAAATAAAATAAATAATTCAATAATGAATAAAAAATAAAATATAAAATCTAAATAAATAAATAAACAAATAAATAATAAATAAATATATAAGTAAATAAATAATGAAAAAAATTTAACCTTTCCCAGATTTCGCCATTTCCATTGTAACTTTTTTTGAATAATCGATTCGATTCCTTCGCGAAATCGCGATTTCATCATCACTATATGGTGCAGCATCTGTCAAAGCTAATCGCTGCTTAAATTCTTCTTCCTGAAATTCAAAAAATATTCTCGTTTCTCTCTTAATGAACATAATCATTAGCTATCACTCAGAGGTTACTGATAAGAGAATCAATGCGCCTATAATCAATTTAAAAATAAAAATAATTATGAAAATACAAAAAAAAAATCCAATGAACGATTTATTTCGAATTTATATTGGCCGCTGAGCAAACCAATAACGCAAATCGATAATAATAATTAGCTAGGAAATTAACTATGATAATAATAACCAAGAAATTATATCAGAATTAAGCACTAGCAATCCATTGATTTGATATAATTCTGAGGTTTAGCTTAGCTTAGCTTAGCCTAGGCTGCTGCGATTAGTTGATCAATAACGACTGATTTAGTTCCAAAAAAGAAGAAGAAGAAACATACTTACCGTTTCAGGCATAATTTTAACCACTGCATTAGTTGCGGTACTCAATGATCTTTTTCGTTTCAATGATGACAAATATTCCAGCTCATCACCTGACGAATTGTCCGAACGCTTTCGTCGATTAGTAAGCATCTGCAAATATTTTAACTTCACCAGATTTTTTTTTTCCAAACAATAAATGATAAATATGCGATAAGACATCGCTCGTTCATGAATAATGGATGAAAAAAGTAAATTACAGCAAGATTGCGTTTTTTTTTTTTTTCTTAACAAAATTTAAACTAAAAAATTGAAAAAAATTTATCTCCTAAGGATGAACAAATTAATAAATAATTATATTCTATGCATTCTATTTGCACTGATAAAAGTGATAACCGAATGACAACCAACAACATTTACGTCTAATCTTTCACTGATATAAAAATATTTTGCCTATTTACAAATAAAATGAACTTCGCTAAGATTCTTTAAATCAAAATCAAAATTAGAGATCAAATCATTTATAATTTATCATGCCCCTTATCATCGAATAAAATATAATATTGCGATATTCAAAAAATTAGTGCCACGTTGGCTGAAATGTTATTGCTTTGCTTTATATATAGCCATGTTCTTTTTCATTTTTCATTGTAAAAATATTAGCTGATTTTAAATTTTTTGCGTAATTTAGATGGTGAAACAACACATATGATATGATAATATGATTTCTGAGCTGTCGCTTCACATAGGCTTGAACTGTAGCACCAGGTGAGACATGATAATACGCAAATAGTTCCCATGATACTTTTAAAGAAAAGAAAGGAAACGATTGTTTCTGGAAATATAGATCTAGAAAATGTCGCAAGCTTTTAAATTCTACAGGTATGAAGGAAATGGTGGAGGTTGGTCTCAGGATTTGCGCAGATTTAGAACGAGAGTTAGGAGTTTCACCTCGCGCCGTGGAATCATCTGTGGGCAGCGAGGATAACCAATGAATTGAGTGAATATCAGATGAGGACAAACGTGGAGACTTATTGTTCACTGCTAATAAAAAACAAAAATAGCCTTTGGGGGAAAACGAGAAAAGATTGGAGAGATGGCTGAAGAAGAATGAATCCGCTCAATCCACCTCAAAACCCAACCTACATTTGAAGAGATGGTTGTGGTTATCGTTTATCGTTTAGCAGTCTGCTGCAAGTTTAGTTCATTTCTTACGACTTGGTGCAATGATAACGGCAAAGTGACGAATTGGAAATAGCCAACCAGAAATTACAAATACGAATTGGCCAACAAGAATTGGCCAATAAAAAAAAGTGTCTTACCATTCAGCTCGATAACGCCACACATTACGCCGCAAGAATCATCTTAAAAATTTCGGGAAAAACTGAATATCGATATTTTCTCACCCATCAATCATATTTCACAGATTTATCGCCAACAGAACTTTCACTTCTTCCAGTCTCTCAAAAATTTTCTCGAAGAGAGAGAGAGAGCCGTTCTGAAAACAGGAGGATCGTCAGACCAATTCCCAATAGCTTCTTCGGTTCGGGAAATTCGGATTTTTACGAAAATGGAATAAATCACGCCGTTTAGGCGATAAAAATATTCAACGATGCATATTTTGAATAAAAATATTTCCAATAAAATTATGGATCTTATTTGAATTACTACAATTTATGAAGCAATTTTTGGGTGATTTTCGTCAATAATTTATATAAAATGAAAAAAAATAAAAATTTTTATATTTATTTAATTTCTAATATTTCTAAGAATAAACAAAAAATTCAAAAAAAAACCAAAAATGTGGATTTACGAACAATTAACAAACAATTCCTGTGATTTGCTTTTATGTCACCTTTGAAGACTTATTATATTTATTTATTACATTATTCTCTAATTATTTAAGAAAAAAGAATAAACTGAAATAATCAGAAAATACAGAAAATTATTAAGAAAGCTAATCAAACGTAATTGTAATTTGAAAAAAAAAGCAAATAAGCTGATGAAAATTTTCAATGAAAAAGAAAAAAAGATTGATAAATTTGATTAAAAATAAAAACGATGATCTTTGAAATTACCAATAAGTGATAATCGTTATCACTATTATCATTATCATTATCGTTATTAAATAACAAATAGCAAATTGCTCAAAAATAATTTCGAATAAAAAATAAATAAATTTTTACAAATCGCTTGAAATTATTTATTAAAAAAATGAATAATTTATTTAAATATATTTGTTAAAAAAAACATAATAATGTTAACACTTATTTTCTAAAAAGTATAAAAGCTAATTGTTAATTAATTGTTAATAAGAATTATTTGTTAATTATCTTAATTGTTAAAATTTAAAAATTGTTTTAAAATTTCAAGTTTCAAAATTTTTAATGTGAAATTTTTTCACTAAAGGTATCGATTAAATGAAAATATTTATAACAATTATATGCAAAAAAAAAATCATAATAAATCGACGAAAAAAGAGGAAATTTTCTTTACATATTTTCTAAAAATAAATGAAAATATTTTAAGAAAATCAGATACGAAAATTTAAATTTAAATTGACTGAAAAAAACAAAAACAACGAACGCCTAAAATCAATCCATAAATTGTCAAAAAAACAGAAAAAATATTAGATAGATTCACTGGCTTTATTGTTGAGAATATATAAAAATCGTACAGTCGTGTAGAAACGCATTAAACACAGATGATAGAGGTGATAGAAATATTACTTTTCAAAACAAGCACACTGATTTGGTTTGCACAGGTTCCATTAATTACGATGCGATAGTTTTCGCTAGAGAGTCTCAGTTTGAAAGAGAAATGAAAGATGAACACCAACGTCACAAAGATTTCACTTCTGATGACAGAATTAGCCCTGTTTAACTGCACAAATCGAATATTTCAACTAGTAGTGCCAGTTATCTGTAAAAGTAGGTCAACTGTTCAAGCATTTTATTAGCAAATATAGCCATTCCCACCTAACAAAAAAATTTTATTATCAACAAAATAAACGCTAGGATAGATGGTTTATGTAAGCGAAAATGAAACTACCGTTGCACTACCGTTGATAATACCCACAAAGCAATAAAATATGCAGCGAATATGAAAAGGTCAAATGTTGGCTATGAAAGGTCAATCATCAATCAGGTCGATCGACAACACTTCAACAAATTTTTATAATTTCTCCATAAATCTGAAGAAGAAGAAAATAAATAAATATATTGTTACGTAAAAAATTTTCAAACTGCAGAATGATTTGCTAAAACTGCACGGCCTACATTCCAAGAGTTCATCAAATATTTCATTCGCACCACCTTTTCATAAAATTAAAACCGGAAAAATTTATTAACAACAATAATCTTCAAATATTTTAAAATAATAATATAAATATGAAAATACAAATATTATTTTTTAATACATAAATAATAATATAAATAAAATTTCAATTTAAATAATTTAAATCAATACAATTAATAAAATTTTTAAATGAAAAGTTATATCTAATAAAAAATGAAGATATATGAGAAGAAAAAAATTTCCTTAATGACGATTTGTTTCTTTGTTAAAAAAAGATGTTTTGCCCGTCCGACGGGTAAAATAAGTCGAACAAACTTCTATTTTTATAAATCAATGATTTAATTACCCAAGTTTGATGGTCTTTTGTGACGTGTTCATCGCTTAGATTCGCAGCATTTACACAACATAAAACACATATAACTTCTGGTTTGGCTGATTGCGTTGGCCACTACGATGAAAATAATTCAACAAAGAATCGTTCGAGGAGGATAGAGGTAGAGGCATTAGAGAGTGGAATGACTCGGTGAGTTGCTGGCTCGATTCGTAGCGCCGCTGCTGAGATTCTACTCCGCCGCACGAATAAATCTCTCCAAAAATCCGCGTGACGCTGACGACTCACTAATAATAATCAGCAATCCCAGAATTATAAGCCAAATCGTCCACGAAACGACTTTAAAGGGAGTCTAAGTGCCTTCCGAACGAAGCGATTCGAATTCTCTGCGTTTTAGCTGACTTTTGCTTTTAGGAAACGATTTATCGCGTTAATGGACGCCAATACGAAGAAAGAATTCGAAATGATGCAATATTTCATAAAAGAAAAAATAAAATATTTGATAAACTCATTAGACCTTTTTTTTATTTAAATAATTTTGACTCATTTAAAGAAGGAATTTGACCTTTGAACCGGCGTTGTTCATTTGTTCGCTATTTCATTCGAATGGAAATGAAAACAAAAACGATAAATGCCAATTTTTATTGAACGCTATTTAGTAATAAACAAAGTCGATATTTTGAAAAATAAAATATTTCTGAATTAAAAAAAAAACTTTAAAATTTAAGGAATTTAGCAATATATTTATAAAAATATAACGAAAACAAAGCAAAATAGAGAAAAAATAAAATGAAATAAAAATTTCAAATTTTAATCTTTAGCACTACAATTGCTACATCTAAAAAATCACGGCTCGGCCTGAGATTGGTAATCACGTGGCCCCAGCTTTGTGGCTTATTTAATTCGGTATAAGTGTATATCGCATATAAGTGTATACATTTAAAAATAAATTTCTTTTCTTTTTTGCTTAAAAGAAATAATAAGCAATCAAATAAGGCAATGTAACGATAAAAAATCCAAAAAAATAGAAAGTTAGAAAGTTTTCTAAGTA